TAAATTTCTTGAAATTAAAGACGAAAATAATTATTTTGATCGTTTATTAATTATTACAAATTTTGTTCAAAATGGCCTCGGCAACGTATACACTCACGACATCTTCTAATTTCGACTGTTGTTGTATGCAGCCACATTTCTCTTTTTATTACTACAAAGGCGTTTTCTACTCGTGGATTGGAAGACATGGCCCCATACAGTGGCCTGCACGTTCCCCAGACCTAACTCCGTTCGATTTTTACGTCTGGGGACAAGCTAAAGAACTGGTGTACGTAACGGATTCAAACAATAGAAAAACTACAACGAATAGAAAACACCTTTGTAGTAGTAAAAAGAGAAATGTGGCTAGACGAATAGAAAACGCCTTTGTAGTAGTAAAAAGAGAAATCAAAATAATTATTTTCGTCTTTAATTTCAAAAAATCCACATTGAAAAACGATAGAGAAAAGGTTTTTACATTGCATAAGATAAATAATTTTTACCTGTTAGGTGTTCAACGTGCTATTCACACAAAAAGGGGCTATAAACACAAATTTCGAAAATCAGTCCGAGTAGAGTCAATGCAGTAATTTAAGGAATTTGTGAAGTTGTTGTTATTATTTAAACAATATTAGTATACCGTTTGAATGAGGATAGACTAGAGAAGTTTTGATAAAATCCGAAGATCGCTATCTCTTTAAAAAAAAATTTATACCTATGTAAACTTAAATGTTCAGTCCATTTTTAACTTTTCGGAAAACTTCAAAGCTGAATTAAAAAAAAGTAGATGATATTTGCCAGTAAATTTAGATTTGATGCAACCCTACATTAATGCACGTCAAAACAAAATATTTACTTTAGGGCTGCGCCTAGTAGTTTTTTTTTAAATCGAAATTAAATGATGCGATTTGGGTATTTTGGTGAAATTACTAAAAACGGAAAACTTCAAAGCTGAATTAAAAAAAAGTAGATGATATTTGCCAGTAAATTTAGATTTGATGCAACCCTACATTAATGCACGTCCAAACAAAATATTTACTTTAGGGCTGCGCCTAGTAGTTTTTTTTTTAAATCGAAATTAAATGATGCGATTTGGGTATTTTGGTGAAATTACTAAAAACATTAATTTAAAAGTAGCCGCCTGGCATGGAACGTGTTATGGGGGCTGCAAATATAGGAAATGACCTATTCTATCCGCCAAATCATTTTGGCACACGATGCGCCAAACACCCTGTATATTTTAAAGTAGATTTTCTCTTTTAAAAGTAAACCTATGAGAGCATTGTTTTTTGATTCATAGTATCACTACATTGTCCCAAGCATGGCACATTAAAAATTCCACTTCATACTACCGCCCGATTTGATCTGTACCAAGCACCCACAATTTCTCTATCTGCATACAATGAACGTTTAAAATTCAAATCGTTGCTTATCGCTTGTTGCCAAAGCTTTTACTCGACGTTTCGAGTTTTACAATGCTCATAATCTGATGCTGCATTATGCAGTTACTGCAGTTAGTGCATCAAGATACTTCAATGAGAGCGAAAGTGAATATTTTGGTATAGGTAGATAGTCGACAGCACAGCTACACAGAGTGAAATTGAAATCGTTGGCTAGCTTTTAAAATAACACTCTACATGATACACAGTACCCTAATATATTCCCAAAATATAAGACAAATCCAATGAGTATAATGAAAATATTGAAAAACTTGTAAATAATTTTAAACTCTTCACAAGAGTACAATAATACTAGTACAAATAAAATTATAGTAAAAATCGAGAAAGGGATATAAATTCATAAAATAATTTTGATAATTAAACGAGATATTTTTGCATGAAAAGTTTTAGCTATAACATTGCATTGACAATTTGACATGTAATAAAGATTATAAATCAATTTCATACTCTCATTCAACTATGCTCATGATTTTTCCAGCATTTGATCCAGTATTTTCTTCTACATTATTCGCTCCTTGTTAAAGAAAATCGCAATTCGATTCGTATTATAATTCAATTTAGTTGTTGTATACATTGATTGTAAGTTGTAACCCAGTTAGATATACTAGTATTCGTGAAATTAGAATTAATTTCGTTTAATTTCATTCAATTTAATATAAATTGCTGTAACATACACCCAAGTATTGAAACATGTAGTTAAAATGTATGTACGATTGTACGTACATGTACAACTTGTTATTAATCTTAGTACAGCCAGATTCAAAAGAATATAACCTATTGTAAGTAGAAACAAAATATTTTGTTATTGTAATTTATTTACTTATCAATATCAGAATACTTGAAACTAACTTTGTGGTCTAATAATACTGATTAGCTTTTTTATAATTATTTATTTAATTAATAAAAGCGTTCAAAATTGAAAAAAACTAACGCTGGTATTCATTTATTATACTTCGTAAGAATAACATTTATGTACTATTCTCGGGATAGACATTTAGACATTGCTCGAAAGCCACTAGAAAGTTTTTATTGTTAAATTTTCTGCAAAATTAACATCTACATAATTTCCAATTTCTCCTATTAATTTATATTTACATACATCTTAATTTTATCTATGCAAGCGAGTATCTGTTTAATTTAACTTGATATGATGAAAACTGCATTAAACAGTAAAGAAAACGCATTAATCTTTAGTAGAGTTAATGACTTGCCATTATAATTTTCCTTATAATTAACTGGTCACTGATATTATACGCAGATGTCCGTAATAACTTGAAAGTTCATCTCGAGGTATGTACCTACCTACTTTATTAGGTATTATACTATACTAGCTGTGCCTGTGACTTCGTAGGAGTGAAATCATAGGACTTTCATACAAACTTCCAACCCCCGTTCCAAACTACATCCCTAAGGTAAGGTAAGGTAAGGTAATATTAGATTTTGTAGCAAAATAGAAGATAACATAAGGTGGTACAGTGTTTCGTCATCTAGAATTACTATGATAGTTGTACCTATTTTTCTTGCGAAATGTAGGAAGCAACATTTACTTTAGTTTTTACTTTATCGTAACAGTTTTTAGACTAATTCATTGTCTGTAGCCGTCGCGTTAAAAATAACTTATTTAAATTAACCTATTTGGTTGTTGTTGATTCAATTTTATGTCAGCGGCGTGAATAATGGTGATCGATTTACTTTTTCCTTGTTTAGTAAATTTTAGAACAAAAAGGAAGGTATTATTTGACTTAAACATAAAAAATATGTAATATCTACATGCTTAATTTATTATCGTGAATGTAACAACGAGATATACTTACGGTAACATAATTACGAGACACCTGCGTAATTATGACTTACGTTTATGTGACAAATACTTGCCAGTGTAATTTACATTTAATATTTATAATTATTATTTTGCACACTGAAACATTTTATAATAACTTGTCAGAATAACAATATGTTGTTTGGAATAACTAGCACAACCTGGCTCTACTAAATTCATATTTAAGTAAATTTACATAAGTTTATTGAAAATCTACGAAAATTTAATTATTGTTTAGTTTCTCACACTCCGTAAAGTTAAGGCTGAGATGCACCATCTTACTTTAACTTTGATAAACGTCAAAAATCTGTCAAACTCCATACAAAAAGCACCGGTTATTATTACGGTTCAAAAAAGGTGGTGCAACTCAGCCTAAGACTTTATCCTCACTGCCTATGAATCTATGGCATAATTTATAGTTGTAACCCCTCAGATTTTCTTGCCCTAGAGTAAATCCTCGGTCTTAGTCCATAGTCCAGTTAAGACAAAGTCGAGAAGAGCGTAAAAAATACTTATTAGGTATGACTTGATATTAGAGTACTTAGATAGGTACTAGGGCTGGGTTGCACCATCTTACTTTGACTTTAACAAACGTAAAAAGTCTGTCAAACTACATACAAAATACGCCGGTTATAGTTACGGTCAAAGTTAGGTGGTGCAACTCAGCCTTAGATTGACTGAAAAAGATTCAGACAAGTTTGATCTTAGGTTGCTAATGTTTACAGAAAAACACACACTTTACAAATAAGTACCTACTCTTAAGATGGAAATGTAGGTTATTTCGAAAACTTATTGTCCTTATTTATGGAAATAATGAATACCCAAATAACGTAATGCCGTTGTGAATCGCCTTCAGCGAATTCCCTGGTCCAGAGAATCGATTCGAAATCGATTGTCTCACGCTTGGGTGTGGTGGGTGACGCCCCTGGCATAATCCATTTCCTGGTACTTACAGCACATCAAACTATCTTCATTCGTTACAAAATGACTCCTATTCCAACTGCATTAAGTCTTGAGTTTGATATGCCACCGACGTACGAACTACTTTGTGCCTTATTTCGAAGGCCTGAAAATTGGTTAGGTATTAATTCAACGAAAAAACGCGCCTCAAGCGCAATAAAAATCCTACTGTTAGTAACATAAATAAATAAATAAATAAAATAAATAAATCTTTGGACAATTTCACACAGCGCCAGCTAGCCCCAAAGTAAGCAACTCAATGCTTGTGTTATGGGTGCTAGCTTAACGGATATACTACTTATATACTTTTTTTTTATTAAATACATACATGTTATACATATTTACACCCAGACCCGTCACAGAAATTAAAATTCATCATTTTTAATTTCTGCCCGGCCGGGAATCGAACCCGGGACCTCTCGGCATAGTAGTCCGTTCTGAACCACTACACCAAACGGCCGACTACTTTCTAGTACATTCATAGGCACAGTTCATAGGAAAAACTGAAATTGAAAGAAGAGTACATAGAATCCTATGAAAGTGTGAGTGCAAACCTGGTGACGCTGTAACGGATTCACGACGATGCTTGCTAAAGTGAAGCAGCAAATCGAACGCATAGCGTTGAATAGAGCTCTGTGATTGGTTCGTGTGTCACCCTGTGCGTCCACGCGCACTGTGAGACCTCATAGCAATGTTTGTGAATACGTGCCTAAATCTTATTTGTAATTTATCACTGGAAATAATTTGTTACAGATTTATTAACCCTGTGTTTTGCGTTTCAGGCCCAGAATGGATTTGACGAGCTCCGCCGCTACGTGAAGCAAGGGAGCGACTTCAGCAAAGAACTCGCTGCAATATTACAGGAAAGGTATGAAAACATTTTATTACACTGAAAAACTCTCGCTTAGTTATGTTAGTAATGTAGTAATGTGTTGATTGAAAATGTGTCCCGTTGAAATTGTGTCTCGTTGGAACCAAATCGTACCAACCTTAGGCTGAGTTGCACCACCTAACTTTAACCGTAACTCGAATAGTTAATAACCAGTGCTTTTTGCGTGGAGTTTGTCAGATTTTTGATGTTTGTTAAAGTTAAAGTAAGATAGTGCAATCCAGCCTTAATAACTATTTCATTGGAAGTACATAGGTAAGTACCTAAGCATGAGAGGGGTTTTTCCTTAAGATTTTAAACCAGTAGATAAAGCAATGAAGTGAGTTACAGAAATATCACTGCTTTGAAATGAAATCCAGAGTTCTGTTCACAGCTAACATGTGGTTAACTTCAAAGCGGTTCCTTTCCATATTTCCGTAACCGCAATAGATATAAAATATCCAGTACATGCGGTATAGAACGAAAGTAGTTAAACTACAATACACAGATAAGTGTTATCGACATTTCTTCGTAACATTTACTTTCCACGCTAGAATAAACAATACGTCATTGTATTCGCGATCGGCAAGTTTTTAACTCGTCACATTAGAAATGCAATCTACGGGTATGAATGTGAATGAACAAAACGTTTCGTTATTTACCAACTTTCGATCTTACGCGTTAAAAATGTCTCAAAAGGGCGCGGCAATGGCCACTAATCAGAAATAGCAGTCTCAAGGCGCCTCCAAGTGGGCCAAGAAGAGCCGACAAATATAACATTCGTTCTACAAATTTAAATCGTACCATTGGCCGAGACGGCATTATCGCTTTTACACAACAGATATAGTGGAGACGTTACGCCATCCACGATTATTTCTATGTCTATTTCCGTGGCGGATTGTGAAATTGTCAAGCGGTGCACTGACTGCAAAGTGCAAATTATCGGAGCGAGCATCGAATTTCTAATGTTGGCCAACCCTATTGCTGTTTCAAGACAAATATTAAACTCTCAATGGTCACCAACAATAGAATTAATTGTATCGGGAATTATATCGTGTACTTGTTTAGATCATCCGATTGCACTACGAAATAACACTTAAATTCTTCAATGAGAATAGATATTAAAGGCATTTGCCCGCAGCTTCACCCAGCCTCGGAATTTCGGTTTAAAACAGAAAGAAGTTCGCGCGCGAGTCTAATTTTCAAAAAGGGGGTTTTCTTTCCTGGGTCTCTAATTATATTACTATCTCTAACTTTCTAGTACCAAGAAATTTGTATTTTTTAACGAGGAAGCTCTTGGTTTGTATCTCACCTGATGGAAAGTGATGAACAGACCCAATCAAACTGCTTTGAAACTGCCGCTGCCTTCAGTGTGTCTACTGCCGCGCTGCAACTGACCCGCACTGCTTCTGACCCACGCTTAGTCTGCCGAAGCCTTTGCGATCGCGCACGCGCACGCGTTGATGTGGTTGAAGCTTTGCGATAGATGTTGGTAGGGTATGGATGTTGTAATAACAGTTAAGGCCGGGTAGCAGAGAAAATGACGAAAATGAGGTTTTCATTTTTCATTTTTGAGGTACTAAACAGTAAAATTAAAGGCTAAGATTTTTATTGGGCATAGTTGAGGATATTTTCTAGGGCTATTAACGGATGGAAACACGATTTGATGAAGTTGACTCGATAGAATAAATTCCCAAAGTTACCTCTATTCGTTTTCTATTTATGGTTTTATTTTTAAAATAAGCGATTTGAGATTCTAAATCTTTTACTAAACTAAAGTTCAGAAATAACTTGAGGGCTTTTAACGGATGAAATTTTTATATTGCGTCTTATTTAGTTACTATGTTTAAAAATGTGGAAAAATCGTCCATGACGGCTTGGACAATCTCAATCAGTCGCGCGGTGGCGCTTACGGAGGACGGACGCGTGTCAGTTTTTTGGCCGTGACAGTTCGCGATTTGTCAATATTTTTGACAATGATGACTTTGATGAGTCACAGTATAATAATATCAGTGTTACTGGAGAAAGCTAAAATTTTTGATAATTAAGAATTATCAATTTTGTCTACCTATTGAAATTTAAATCGTTCGCATCCTTTTAAACGAAGACTCTACTCATGATACATAGTACATTCCTCAAATATGAGACAAAACCAATGAGTTAAAATTACATTTTAATAGTACCTACATACAATCGTCTTACACTCTTTAGAAGAGCACACTGACACAAATAAATAATAAAAAATTAGGTCAGTGGGTCAAATATAGGGGCAGCTGTTAGGCTAGTTGCCTAAAAAAATTTTTTTAGTCCGTAATGTTTAATATCAAAAAATATTGGACACATATATTTTTATTTGTCAATCTAACAAATAATTACATAGTTATGGTGCGTTGAAGTTGCGCACGACGTCACAACGTGCGGCATTTTTAAGCAAGCGTTGACGTCACGGGCCTCTTCTTATGAACTTTGGGGCGCTTTATCTCTTTAAATTTTCATTAGTTTGAAAAAGTGAAAAATATGTGTAGAGTATTTTTTGATAAGTTAACTGACGGACTAATTAAAACTCTTGCTTTTTGACCCAGGCAACATCCCCATTCTGTTTACTCGGCATCTGGGCTGGAGAACATGAATCCTTGCTTACAGATGCAGATGTAAATAGAGTTATAACTGGACAAATTTTACATAAAATGTTTAACAGAAATCAGTTAAAAGACACATACATGGAATACCAATAAGGTTGCTGAAGGAAAGCTACCTATTATAAACTAGCGGCCGCCCGCGACTTCGTTCGCGTGGACCTCGCTTTACCCCCGTTAGATATGATGTTTTACCTCGTTTTACCCATGTTGATAGATGGCGTTTCACGGCTTCCCCCGAATGAATATTTACGAACGTCATACCGTAGTTTGTCCAGTGCTGTAGATTTTAACCAATGACGATAGATGGCGCTTTTTAGACACGTCTTATTTATTTATTGAAATTTATTTACCACATATCGTCATAATGTTAATCTGGGTTATAAACAATAATACTGTAAAGTTTCATATAGCATTTACTTACAGTAAATATAAGTTTGGATTGTGAAATATATAAAATAAAAAAAGAATATAACAAAATAGGGTTTCAAATTACCTATCTAGGTATATCTAATATTATAAAGAGGTAAAGTTTGTGTGTTTGTATATTTGTTAAATTGTAAGGGGTAATATCGGGATCTACTGAACCGATTTAAAAAAATCTTTCATCAATAGAAAGCCACATTATATCTGAGTATAATAGGTTATATAAAAACCGAAAAATTCCCGCGGGCGAAGCGGCGGGCGGAAAGCTAGTTTATTTATAACATAATTTATTTGTGTGGACCTATATTAACGAGAGATTACAAGGCGTCAAATATTTCAAGAAAAATTTTAAAAACTATTATAAAGCTAAATTTTGCTCTCATAGAGCCTTTACCTACTCTGACAAATTAAGACTTGGAGAAGAAACAAATAATAAAACTATTTAACTGTTCTGAAATGAAAAGCTTGATTGGGTACAACACCTGAAGTTATTTCAGAACTTGATTTCATTAAAAGACTCCAAATATCAAATCGCTTAGGTATCTAAAGTCAAACGATTCTGAAATGTCAAGTGGCATAAAGTTGGGACTAATGAATAACCCATTAAGATAGTAGCGCCCTCCTGTCAGTGACATACCTGGAACGATAGAGTATTGGAATTTGGACAACTAATAAAAATGCTTTGTCCTAAATGACTGACGGATATGGTAGAGACCTGAAAGTTGTTAGGTGTGTTCTTTGTATGACGTAGGCATCTCATAAGAAAAGATTTTCCGAAATGGGGTCATGAAATGAAGGTGGTGAAAAAAGGGGGCAAAGTTTGTATGGGACAAAGTGATTCCTTGGTTCAATCTACTTGAAATTTAGCTTAACAATTCCTTAATATAATTAATGAAAGACGTGTGGAACGGGTAGAAAGTAATTTTGGCAGTTATTTTCTTCGAAGTTGATATCAATACTACTTAGTGCCTTTGATTTAATAACTTTTTATTTTTACAAGTGTTTGAAAACTCCATTTCAGATTGTGTTCAATGTCAAGTGAAATCTCAAATTGAATTAATGTCTCAATCTCAATGAGGAGACTTTGTATTTACCTATTCCTAGAATTCCCCTAACACCGTCAAATTACCCTTTCGAATTCAAGACAGTGCAGTTTCCCATCAGTCTGCTTCGTAATGACTATAAACAAAGCTCAAAGTCAAACTCTAGGAACCTCTGCTGAAACTCCCATGAGTGTACAGAGGTACGCAGGTAACCGCGTGTGATGCTCATAGTAATTTTCGATACAGAATCCCGTACATACGTCATACATAATATAGAAAGAAAACACCCAGACCAATACAAACAAATAAGTTTTTTGCAATTTTAGTATGATATTTTTATTTATTAATAAACAAAATTGATGCGTGTACTGATTAATGTTATTAAGCACAAGCAAAGCTTCGTGAATTGCAACAACTATAATTTATTACCCAAGCTCTAAATAATCGCTACTAAGAGTAACTTTTCATTAAATGTTTTTCCAATCGCTCAAGCTCCCAAGGGCCTACCGATAGGTCGGGTGACGTAATCTTGAAATCAGAAGGTCGGGCGACGCCACGGCCACTTTGAACCTTGTTTACTTCTGCAGTTATATTTTATATTTATTTATTCGATTCTAGAATATATTCCCAAAAAGTCTGAAAGGTGTTTTAATTTGTATCACTTATCCTTATGGATATGATTTGTATTAGAAAGTGTTGTGAGTGTGACGCTTGAAGGGAAGGAAGTCAACCTAACCTAACCAACTGCGTATTTCTATACTGTGTACTTGAAAATTGTGGCGGGAGCTCTTTGGCGCGCTGTCTTTGGCGAAGAATTGCGCGCGCAGATTTTGACAGCGCGAAATGCCTACTTTAGCCGAAATACCAAGCCTTAAGTACTTAACCCTTTCCAATCGCAGGGTTGAAGCTGAGAACTACTACTCGAAATGCCTGGCGAAGCTGGGCACGAAGCTCAGCAAGGCTTGCAAGGAGAGCGTGGGCTCCTGCGCCGAGGCCTGGAAGCACGTCGCGCTGGAGATGGAGAAACGGGCTGAGATACACAGGTTAACTAACTAATTATAGGTATACTAGCTTTCCGCCCGCGGCTTCGCCCGCGTGGAATTTTGTCTGTCACAGAAAAACTTTATCGCGCGCGTACCTGTTTCAAAAACCGGGATAAAAACTCCTATGTTCTTTCCCGGGACTCAAACTATCTCTATGCCAAATTTCATCAAAATCGGTTGCGAGGTTTAAGCGGGAAAGCGTAACAGACAGACAGACAGACAGACAGAGTTACTTTCGCATTTATAATATTAGTTGGGATAACTCAGTCAGTACCTGAGGCTGCTCCCATCAGCACGGGAAAGGCGACTTTAATAAAACATAATGTGACGTGAGAACATACAAATATGAGGGGATCTGAAGTCTCGACGTTTGACCATCACCTAAACACCCTCCCGTACCGCTTTTATACCTGAGGCACTGTTAAGTGCTAGACCTTAAAGGATAGTTTTGAATGCGACGTAGTGGTAATTTAATTATATAATAATGCAAATATGGCTTTAGGTCACATATCATTGACTTGTGTCGTTTTAATCATCTTGGTGTCATGATGTATTGGTTTTATTACGCGTAACAATCGTTTTATTATAACGAATTCAAGTGTGACTATCTAATATTCACGTGTCGTTCCCATTTCAGAAACTATTCCACAGCTCTATCGGAAGAGTTGGTGAAACCAATGAAGCATGTCATTGATAACCAATTGAAACTTAGAAAAAAGGTAACAAAATATTTAATTCATTGACGTGACGAGGTCGTGGAGGTTGAATGCTGTTATGTAATTAAAAAAATAATATTTTAGATTGAAGGTAACGTGGACAAAACAACGCGCACTCTCACGGAATGGAGGACAGCGGAAGCAAAATCGAAGAAACAATCCCACACAGCGGCGCGAGAGAATGAGAAGCTGCAAGACGCTACGCTGGAGACGAGGTCTGCTACCCTATGGTGTACTTGACGAAACAATGCTCCTTTTATCTTTTATCTTAGTAGCCAGGACATTTTTTCGATCAAGCTTTTTGGAAGGATCCTTCGTGCTATGCGTTGTTGCGATGCGATTTTGTTTACAGCCACTGCGAATTTTGTCTTTCGAGGGTCATGAACAGCAATGACAACCGCCAAATCGTTTGATTGCAGCCGAATATCCCGCAGTTCGAGTGTAGGTCACATTCCACATTCCATCCTGAGCACGGCCAGGGCTGAGAGACACGCACACGTCACGAGTGAGAAGGACGCCGCTAAGCTGCAGGTGAAGAAGAGGAAGACGGAAGATGCTGTTAAAAAGACTGAAGTCGAATACTACAATGTTTGTGTTCACGCTGAACGCTCTAGGTAAGAAGACGGACTTTGCTTGAGCAGTCGACAGCACACCAACTACTCACGTTGCAATATGGTATCTATTACAACTGGATAGATATCACAATATCTCCGCCTTGATGTGCCGTCGGCTGAACTTCCGATCTTTAATGTACCTATCGAATGGTAAAATAAAACGTCTCGAATATTTACAGGCTAGAATGGGAGTCGGGAGTGGTGAAAGGTGCTGGAATGCTGGAGTCTCTTGAAGAAGAGAGGCTGGCTCAATTGAAAGCCTCTGCTGACTGTTACTTGAGGCTGACGGCTGCTGTACCTCCTCAGTTAGCTGAAGTGAGTACAAAAGTTTACCGCTTTAATAACATATTGGTTTAAGAATAACTCGGGCACTCCAAAAGCTCTGAATGTCTTGACTCACAAAGACATTAAGAATCTCACCTCTCTTGCCAAGTGCTGCAAGCCATTGAAGGTGAAGTTTGACCCAAGTAAAGGTCTGCAGATTGAATTAATAACTTTTTTCATTCCAGTCAACAAATACGTTAGTGGGTCCAATAAACAACGCGAACGCGAACGTGGACATGCGAGTGGTGCGAGGAGTGCGCTCGGTCCCAGCAGGCGCCAGCGAGCAATTGCTGCCAGACTTCTACTGCGAGCACACCACTCTTGCGATGAACAGGGAACGACGGAAGCAGGTACGCTAGCCCCTTAAATAACGGAGAAACATCGGCTTAAACAAAATAACAATCGTTGTGTGCGCTTGGCTCTCAAGTGCTGGAGAAACATCAGCTCAATAAAAGACAATCGTTAGTTTTAAAAACAATTATCCACAACGTGGAAGCTCTTGGCCTGTATCTCACCTGATGGTAAGTGATGATCAGGCCGAAGATGAAAACGAGCTTCACCCGAAATCCTCAACCACGGAGGAACTGGCTATCTTACCTCTAACTGCGGGAATACAACAATGCTTTTTTTAACATTGTTGTTATGGCGACAGACTTAGGTGGTAGCTAGCCAGGCGGACTTGGAACAAGCCCTAATATCACCAACCAAACCGAATAGAAAAATCTGCCCCCACTGGGAATCGAAACCGGGACCTCTGCGTCTGAAGCAGGTGGTCTTACTACTAGACCACAGAGACGGTTAAACAGCAGTTTGCTTGCCCTTGAACCACTAGAGAACCATCAACTGACACAAAAAGCAATCGTGTGTTTGACTTTCCAAATATTTCACCAATCATCTGATATAACCATCGATGAGTGGTCTACGCTTGACTTAGTACTGGAGCTGGACAACCATCTCTTCAGCTTTGGCCGTTTTCATAGCTTTCCTCTTCAGTTGACTTGATGATGTGATGACAGTTATGTAGTTACTGATCTTATTGTACCTAATGTAGGATGCTGTAAGCACTCGTATTTCTTAGTAACTTTCGATCGTATGGTTAAAACTGGCCAAACTGTAAAGTTTGATTAGTGCTCCTCGGAATCGAACCCAGGTCTTATAAATACCAGAAGATTCGTGAATGTTGAATTGTAGACAATTACGAAGATGTTATTCATTAGAAATGGACAAGTTAAAACAATAGGCAAATGAATATTGATCATTTGTGATCTTCGTCATGCTCACGTCACGTACCACCTACCTATCTGAGAAAAACGTCATGGTATTATTGTTTCCAAGTTTTGTTCGTTAATGCTTGTAAAAGATGCCACAAATATCAATAGAGTCGCAAAATTGTAAAATTCAGATTCCATTCTGGCTGAATTGTTTGAAATGCTCTACTTTTTTGCGTAATGAGCGCGTGGCAATCCTATGAATAACAGAGTCCATCATTCCATGCAATTTAACGATAATTAACACCAATGTCATAGGTTAATCGAGCTAAATTTGTTTGCAGGCGCTGATGAAAATCCTCCAATTAGTCAAACAGGATATAGATAGAGAGCGCAAGTCCAAGCAAGGATTGGAGAAGTTGTCTATGGCCATGAAGCAGACGCCTACCTTCGGTAGCGACGACTCGCAGCAAAACGTAGCGGACAAACTATACCACGTAAGATAGTGTTTAACTATGAGACAAGGTCTATGCCAATCATTAGTGATAATTCGCAATGCGGGTTTGCTAATAGCACCCTGTGTGTAGGAATACATAGCATTATCTTATAATTACTCTACTCTTTTGTCCAACCCGGAAAGGAGATCATTCAGGCTTCATACATTTTTGGGCCTTTTCTGAAAGTGCCGGCCAACAAAAAAATTGGTGCGTATTATTAGAACTAGCTATTTGGAGCAATAGTTAATATGGCATTAAAGTTGTAGGACCGCTCTGAACCAAGTTATACAAGTTCGATGATTCATCATTTTCATGCATTTATTGATTTTTGAAAGTGCAGAGAATCATATAATGATTATTGATATTGCTAGAACTAGTTATTTGAAGCATCTGTCATTATAGTGCGAAAGTGTAGTTTCATTGTCTGTTCAGTTATTTAAGTGACAAAAAAGTAGTTTTCATGTTACTTCATTTTCCACCAGTTCATCCATTATAATCTGAGCAATATTTATAAAACCTTCCTCTCACGAAGCCCAGGTGTATCTACGCCGTGTACCAATATCTCCACGACAGCTTATACACAAATGATTAGCCACTTCACACAACAAACGGAATCTGAGTCGAATATTCACATATAGTCCGGTCGCCGAGCACGTAGAAGTTTGGCCAATGACCCCAAGCTACCCATCATTATCGCTCGCACGTAATTATACCTATTGCTGTCGCGATTGTGCGACGGGCGGCCGCAGTGAGTGTGCGAGCGCGACAGCAACATAGATTCGTGCGAGCGAAAAAGATGGATAGCTTGGGGTCATTGGACGAAATTCTACGTACTCGGCGACCGGGCTTTAACAATGATGTTTAACGATAACGCAAGCAGGTAGCCGTTTGATGTAACGCGAGTCGCATGGATAACTGGATGACCTTCACTTCAGTTTTCAATGTCCCCGTCTCATTCACTGACGGGTATGCTCCGAGCCATCCTATTGGCTGGCATGTTTGCTCGTTTCTTCCCGGCCACAGCGACACTGCTAGCGCGGGCCACGGATGTATCTTTTTCGTTTCGTCATCGCGTCATTTGATCGCTAACTTAGAGCGGTCGGTTGATAATTGTTTTGGATCATGAGTTTCTAACAAAACATATATGTAATTATTTTCAAGTTTGCCAACACTTTAAAAGTCAATAAATGTATGAAAATGATGAATCATCGAACTTGTATGACTTTGTTCTGAGTGGTCCTACAACTTTTGTGCCATATTAACTATTGCTCCAAATAGCTAGTTCTAACAATACGTACCATAATTTTTTGTTGGCCGGCACTTTTAGAAAAGGCCCAAAAAGAATGATGTCCTTNGAATCTGTGTTTTATTCTACCAGATGATGCCATTTTGTTTTGCAGGTAAGATCTATGCTGACGTATTTAGAAGCTATCAGATACAAGATCACCACCAGCCTGAACGAATTAGACAGCAGGCCACCGATACAGCACCCGCTCGCCACTCACATACAAATCGTGAGGGACAAGCAAGGTCTACAACAAAGTATACTGAAGGTAACACACATTATGTTCACTTCAAATTATCTGTAGGTAGATGACACTCATTGTTTAAATATTAGACCACATTACATACTCTAGTACGTACGACTAATTTACCTCAATTTATCTAAATGAGGTAGAGTCACGCAAACTCACTGGATTTCCCCCATACAAAGTGTCATAAAACGTCATCATAATACAACGTTGAATGATATAACAGGCTAGAGACCAGCAGTAAATAATTGTACCTACTTCTACTCTTAGCCACACCTAAAGAATCATTTGTCAATCAATGTCTTTTTCCCCAGGTACCCCCATGGCTGCAAGCGGACTACCAGAACGAGGTGAACAAAAACCTGCAGCCAAACTACACGGCGTTGACCAAAAGCGTGAACGGAGGTGAAGAAAGAGAGCGCCGAGACTCCATCATGAGTCGAGCGTCCAGTAAACTCCGCATAGAACACTTATCGTTCAGAAGGAACACTGAGAACAAGAGCGCCCCAGTAACGCCTGTATGTGTGGAGATTCCAACCCCACCTATAAAGCCCTCCACTCCTGACGCCCCACTTCCACCAGAAAGCCCGTTAGATTGGAGCGAAAGGGGCGCGGGAGATGGGCTGTCAAATCAACACGACAGTGATTTTGGTAAGTTACATACCTCAACTGTACTGGCAAGTGCCATGCCTATTAGAAAAACCATAACTGAAGATGCTCCGACTAGAATAATCCGACACAGAAGATAGGTCAGCTTTATCTGAAGTAGTGCAGAGGTCACCAAGCTATCAAATCATATCAACTTTTATTTGCCGTTCAAAAGTTGGAACTTTATTTCTTCTGTGTCAAAAGAACATTGACCTCAATCTAGGTTATTATGTAAATAGGGCGGCGATAATGCTTTGCATAACTCTTAAGATTTTAAACATTAATTAGTATTGACATTCGATGCCGAATAAAGAAAAAATGCGTGATCTGAGTAGTGATAAGTTTCTGAAATGATACAAGATATTCTGGCTTGTGTAATTTAGCTGGTCATTTTGCGCTGTTTAATGTAAAACTATTTGGACGCTCTAACCAAATCCATTATCCTTCTAAATCCAAAGCCCCTTCTAAATCTCAACCATCTTCATTTCCAGATGAGTTCTCGTCCCAAAGCGACAGTTCCACGGACTTGACTGACATGATAAAGAACGACGCAGAAGACGCTCCTGCGCCGGCGCCGACCGTCGGCAAATGCCGCGCGCTCTACACCTACGAGGCCAGGCTTAACGATGAATTAACTCTCACACCAGGTAATTAAAAATACCTACGTACCTACTGAACGTAAAACACGCAGAGTAAATTAGTTCCAGAAAGAGTAATATCCACTCCGCTTTGGTGGAAAACGGGCCTTATGGGTCATACATTTTTGTGTTTCGAAAATAAAGTTATGGATGACGAAAATGTACGCACATCCAACTAAACACTGTGGCGTCTTATGTAGTTTATTATTGACGCTATTATACAAAACCATTGATGTGCTGTTGACTATATAAAAATTGTAAATATTTGCTAAGCGAATTACTTACCTACTGTAGTTTTCTTTCAGTGTACGTACCTACTTGTGTATTTTTTGTTAAAATTAAGTCCTTAGCAAATCTGCAATAACAATTGTTTGGCCAGTTTACACCATGCGAATGACCGTAATAATGTTCTCTAGGTAGGAAAATGAAGTATAACTAATGCACCCTCTGTTCCAGGGGACATCATCAACATCCACGAGAAGCAGGACGACGGCTGGTGGACCGGAGACCTGAACGGCTGCTACGGCATCTTCCCTTCGTCCTATGTAGAAGAAATTACTACCTGCATATGAGAATGTATGATAGAAATTGTATAATCTTAGGCCTTTATTCATAAAAACTGGAACAGACTTGAAACAGTTTCACTAAAACGCTGTTTTGTTTCTTCATTCTTATGCTCGGGTCACACTAACATCGCCAATGATGGCCACCCACTTTAGCGCGTTAAAAATTATCGCAATAATGGACATTGACGTTAGCCGTTAGTGTGGCCCGAGCATTATGGAATCAATCAATTTGACAGTGACTTTTTGAAGCTATAGAGATTCTAACTAAATCGTGGTCCTCAAAACCAAGTTGTGGCCAAAATAAAAGAAGAAGAAGAGATTCTACTTAAATAAAACTTTTTTTTTGTGAATAAGGGAGTGAAAGGTTAATCTAAAACTCCCTCTCTAGTGTGAGCATATAAGATATGCGGCAGACGACAAAAAAGAAACCAAGACAAACGTGACAAGTGGTGGTAGGGCAAGCTATATTTGGGTCGTATAAGTGCCCTGGAAAGGGCCTATGTACTGAATAAAATATTTGAATATGCCCTGGGCAAACGGCGCATACGTGGGGTCAAATGTTAAAAGTATCACCTCAGAGTAAAATATTCAATCAGAGCTAGCTTGATTGATGCGAATTCTTTGAATCCCATTTCTGCATTGCGCACCAATGTTCTCTTACATACAGGAAGTAGAGGAACATATTGGAGACTAGCACTCAAAAACAACGTATGGAAAAAGATATTCTACGCGGGTTACCTAAAATTTGGTAAAAATGTTCATCAAATTATCACATAAATAGTAGAGGGAGTATGTAATACCTATACGTATACTTTATTATATCAATTTTATGCAAACATTATTTGAACTTAGTGGGAAAAATACGCATAATGGTATTTTTATGCTAAACAACGCCATCTGTTTACTGACTTAAAGCAGTTTAATTTGTCTTACGTTATAATGAATGAAAGTAAGACATCTGAGCAAATATTATATTTTATTTTTAAATAAGTGGAAATGTATATAATGTATTATGTTATAGAAGTTGATCAAAATGAAACATTTTCGTTGAACGAAGTAACAAATATTGCATCAAAACTGAAAACGAGTGAGAGTTTAAAGTAATATATTAATCATCACAGTAAATTATATCTTAACTGTTAATATCACTACAATAACATCTGTGTAAGGAATTATTTAATTAGTCAAAATAAATATAAATCGGTTGACAACTGTATAAAATCAACAATAGAATAAGCGTATGTTTATATAATATTATTTGAAATGAATGTATGTGCTGATATTGTGATTAATATTTCACTAAAGATGTAAATTATTATATACGCATAAAGAATAAACCAAAGCGTTGTTTAATGTTGAAATAAAATGTTTAAGAATAAAAAGTTATATTATTTAAAAGCACGATGAAACCTTTTTAAGTTTATTTTTATAAAGAATGTTTTGTGCACTGCAAATTAATAATACTCTTTATAGAAAAAATACAAGTTATGCAGACCAGAGCAACACGTTCGTTCACAACGTTCAGTGCTGTCCTATAGGTAGGTGACCTAAGGTGGTAATAAAAAACCTTAAAATTTGGACATCGGGTTTAAAGTATATCAAAAAAGCAATTTTGTGAGATGACAACATATTATTTATTAAAATAATGTTCTTACATTACGTACGTTGGCAAGAAGGGACCTCTGTCCAAAAATATCTAGAACTAAATCCGTGTTACTTATTTTATCATTATCCAGCATTTTCACGTTCTAAAAGATACCAATCATACCGATACCAAAATTTTACTATTTATGTTATTTATACAGGTTTTATGATGTCTAATAACAATATTAATCAATTGACACGTAATAAATGTTACTTTTAGTGTTTCAGAAGCATTTATTGTCCATGCGTTGAAAAGTTTCGATATACCTAGTAAGTATATCAGAATATATGGCAGTGTTCTTAAAATACATAATATCAATGGTACAGTGCGACCAACGAGGGCTATCGTTTCTAAAATACTTAACAGTTGGCACCACTGGCTATTGACACGCCTCTACTCTACACTGCCGCCATTCTGATGAGTGAAACGATAGATCCTGAGCCCCGATTGCGCTAAATATTTTCAACTACAACGCAACTAGACGACGAACGGAAATCACAAATTCGTATCGCGGTGTCGCTTTGACAGCTAGTTCAAACGAAAACAAAACGCAACTGCTTCTTTATGTAAAAGCTGAAAGAAAGCTACTTTTTTTCAAACGCAAGTCAAACGCCTTCACGAACACGCTGTGTTTTCATGAAAAAATAAGGTTTTCGGACTTTTATGGAAAGTGATTAAATCCGTTGTTTTCTTTGTTTGCGCGTGAACTTTACTGTCTTTACCGCAATACCGAATTTGCACCTCAGCTGGAATGAAAAACGGAGCGCAACTGGAGAAGAAGCGCCAATGAATTGGAGACGTTAAAAATTAGACCAATCGGGGCACTGCTACCGCTTCAGCACTCACCAATTAGCGCCACTGTCTTCGCCACTCGCAAGTAAGTGATCTTACTCTACAGCGGCGCCAACTGGTGAGCGCTAAAACGACAGCCCTCATTACTGTGAGTCGAAAGAAAGTCTTATTATTGAATTACTACAATATTTAAATTTATAAATCACTTACCAAACATTAGGTAAATTTTGGACGCATACATTAAACTTTATTGTAGACAAGAATGCTATTAAACGAAATCATTTAATTTACCGAGAGAAGCAAAGTGTTTTAGGTTTAGCGTAATGTTTCGATAAAAAAAACTGCTGACGTGTATTTAAATTGATTACTATTATTTTTCACCAGCAGACAAGAAGTTTGAAGATAAGATATTACATTATTATCAAGATTTTTGCTATATCATAAGACTGAAATCTTAACGGTATGAGGTGCTAGATGATTTCACTCACGCATATTACCTTTTACAAGCCTATAGTCTAATTAATAACTCGGTACAAATTAGATTAATTAGAGGACCATTTTAAACTATTTTTAATAATCACTTATGATTTTTGTTCATTAAATACAGCGTTCCAAAACTTCAAAACTTTTATGCCTAATTTATTCTACCAATATTATAATAATAGGCGCTATTCACTTATTTCATCAAAATACCGTGACTTTGTCACTGTACGTTATAATCGCTACTGTTTTAGACAAATTGATAACATTTCACAATTAGTACAAAAACATTCAATTTATAACGAAGTTAAAGCGCGCCTAAATGTCTTGGTCCAATGAGAGCTATCGTTTATACCTAGCAGTTGGTACCACTGGCGATTCACATGCCCTTCTCTATAGTGGCGCCATCCTGGTGAGTGCATATGCGATAGTCTTCACCTTCACCAGTGTTACTGTAGAATAAGGTCACTGTCATTGGTTGGATAATGGCGAAGATAGAGGCGCCAAAACGATTCGTTGGTTCCTATGTCGGAGTTTTGAAAACAAGAACACAAACTGCATGAAAGTGTATCCACATTGCGCCAGTTACTTGCACATGCCGTTAACAGGCAAGGCAAGCAACTGGGGGCGTAGTGTGAGTTGACGTCAAACGCGTTCGATAGGTGTCGATTGCGGTAAAAAAATATGAAGATTTTAGTTCTGGAAAGTTTCCGCTAAGGGCGCTGTACCATCCGTCATACATTTAATGTCACTTTTTTACGCAGTTGATATCGAATGCGTTTGACGTAAACTCACACTAAGTACGCCCCCTGTTCCGTTTTATTTTAATTATACATCACTTTTTTGTGTCGTCATTTAGAAACAAATGGTAAATATACGAAATGTTGTCAATCTGTCATAATTACTTATTTACACATGGTACCGGTACCGATTGCAGACATTGAAAGTTATTTCATACTCTGATCACATTCCTTTTCGTTTATTTATATGCATAATTACATCTACACTATTTACCAATTTCATGAATAACTGTTAAATTCTCGTGTGATTGGACTGGACTAATCTGCCCTTACGAATATGCCTTATGTTATACAGCTAATCATATAAATACGGGTTAAAATATATTATTAAATGTCATTATAATACACAAAAATTGTGGCAGCCATTTTTGTTGCCAAAATGCGTTTTGATCTTACACACACTACTACAACCCGATCGAGTTACTGCGCACCCGGTAGCCGTGACGTCACATCGACGCTCGGTACCTCTAGTAGGAAAAACTTTCGAGTTCGTTTCGTTGCGTATTCAAAGTGTCATCGAAAAATTTTGTATGAAAAATTAAACAGCGCCCCCTAGGGCGGCTATAATATAGGGGGCGCTGTTTAATTTTTCATACAAAATTTTTCGATGACACTTTGAATACGCAACGAAACGAACTCGAAAGTTTTTCCTACTAGAGGTACGGTACGGATAGAGCGAACGCGAGGAGCTGTACGGAGTACGAGGGAGTCGCATTCCAGCGACGTACGCAGTTTGCTCGATCGGGTTGTAATCTGCACAATCGTTTGTTACTAACTGTAAACAATATAATAAATTAGTTGATAAATATTAATAAAATATACACCACTAAATTTTAATCACCGAAAAAAAAAATTCTGGGTAATGAGTTATTGATACTGATCCCATTTGTGCAAAAAAAAAGAGTAAAATAAAGTGACTCAAAATATCCTCCTAAAATCGGTAATTTATTGACACACGCGTCGCTAGCACTATTTAAGTACGATAATGTAACACTTATTAGAATTAAAAATGGTCTAAGTTAGCTAAGTATGTAATAATAACACTGGAAGCGTGGTCGAGGCGTGAGCGAGACAGACAGATCGATGCAACGTGCGAGCGCGTACGACTACTCTAGCGAGCAGCGGAGTGACCCAGCTGTGACGCGTAAAATACGGACTAACGAAAATTTAATAAAAAAATTAACTTCATGAAAACCATTTCTTTTGCTTTCAATATTCCACACGTTTCTACATAACCTGTTAAAATTTTTTCGGTGATAAAAATTTAGTGGTGTATATTAAATAAACAATAATTACATTCTTACGTCACAGTTTAATTAAATTAGACAAAACCGTTATAAACAAAAAGCGCCACAATAAAGCAGTAATATATCGGAAAATAACTTTAGTTTAAAACCACGGCTATATGGGTTATAGTTATAATACAACACACACGAGTTTAATGCAAAACATCTTTAATTCCTACTTTTATTTATTTGATACGTCATATTAATATGAAAGAACTTAATTAGTAAGCAAAAAGTTTTATTATTGAAGTCAACCTTTAACTGTTTTTTTTTTCTTTGAGCGTTATGTATTTCAGAGAGATCTATTTTATTATATTTAGTAATCTGTACAACACGTAGGTAAACTAACTTATTGTATCTTAAGTCTTATTGCATGTAGCTAGGTTTATTGCAGAATATTCAAGGCAGTATGTAACTGGATTAAAATACGTTTTACATTAGTATTATTGTTATTTGTACAACCAATTATAGTAACTTACACTCAGCGTCAAATAGTTCGTGACAAAGCGGCAAAAAGTTGACAACACAATCTTATTCCAATTGTAACAAAGACATGTTGCGTACTTATTGGCTAATTTGGGTGTCACTAATTATTTGACGCTGACTGTACACATTTTGACAGGGCATCTTGAGAAATACATTGCTAGCGACCTAGATTTGTTTAAATACTTTTTTTATTCTTCGGTTTACATTTTTTTCTTTTAATTCTACACTTGCCAGCGATAAAATTACAGTCCGGCTATAATAAATTTTAAGTAAGTAATGTTTTTCCGTCAATTATAAAAAAGGTTACAAAAATCACTCGGCGTTAGTTAAGGCTGGAACGATCACTTTAGGTTTTTCAATATAAGGTTATTATTGTATAATACCGTTATTGCGTCAATTATGTAGAAATATAATACCTAATAAATAACAATAAATATGACTTCGTTTTTATTGTTATCAACAGGTAACTAACTTTTACTCTAAAAAAGCATTTACCCCTTTTGGTTCATAATTTATACGGTTTCTAGAAAGGAATAAAGAAATTAAGTTTTTTTCCTCTTTATTTTATTTAGGAGCTTAAGAAATTAAGTTAAAAGGCCAATATCATTACCAAATAATATTATCTCATAATTTTTAAAGTACAAGTGTCCTAAATTGTCAACATAATTATTATCAGACCTAAAATCTAGCTCAGCTATGACTTATTACTCTCACTTTAAGGACTGATGCTATATTGGTATAATCTACAATTCAGATCATGTTTGTAACGTCATTACGTAGTAATAATATCTTCTTAAGAGGATAAAATACGCAATGTTTCATATTTTTGCGTTTTCTAATCAACATTTATGCTGTCACCAGTTTCCACGATTGCATAATTATGCAATATGCATCACATCAATAGGTATTACTGTGACGAATTGCGCACCAACTGAATTATACCTAAATTAATGTTGAATTGAAGTAGGTTTTACTTACGTTGGCAGTGTATATTTCCGTTTATTCTTTTATACGTTTATCTAACACAGTATTTTAGTTCATAATTTTATATCATTAAGGTCCATCCACTAATGACTATAATAAACTGATGCTCTTGGACGCGATACTTATTGTTCCGTGAAATTAGTTGACTAATCTCAGGCCAAATCGAGGTCGATGTTCGAATGATATGATACATGTGACATTAAGAATATACATACAGTCACCATCAAATAGTTCGTGACACCCAAAGTGACCAAAAAGTTGACAATACATGTACAACTTATTGGCTACTTTGGATGTCACGAAATATTTTACTCTGACTGTACACAGAATTAACAGGTGGCTTAGTGCGAGTTTGTATCAAACGTATTATATCGAGTGCGACAAAAAAGTCTATAAAGATTGTAGTTCTTGAAAGGATCCGCTAGGGACGCTGTACAATCCGTCATACATTTAAGAGCGTTGTAGCAAAAAGTTGGCGTTCGAATTTTAGGTTTTTATTGCTTGACGTCGCGTAGTGAGTGCGCAAACTGCATTTATCTGTACAATTTCAACGCTGCGTCGACTAAACGATCTTAATCCTTAGTTGTATCGTACCTAAGACAGTACATCATACATAATAATAAAGAAATAATGTATAATTTACCTATTTGATTTTTTCTCAGATCAGACTTTTAGCAAAATCAAGTTACGTAATTAATGTATTTTTTACACTAGTAAATCCCGCGACAAGTTTTTAATCTTTAAATTGAGTAAAGTAATAAGTTGATGGGTTTGAAAGAATTTATGTTTTATTTTATTCTTTTTACAGCATCAAAAGCTTGTTTATGAAAAATATTTACCTTAGAAATAAATTTGTTGTAATATTAGTTCAAAGTTGTGCCTTCGCGAGTTACCTGGAAATCGGGCTTTCGAAATTCGCTGTTTTCGTAGGCAAAAATCCAATTTGAACGAAATTTTGTCAATAGACATTCCGTAAAAATGTATGATAATTACGATGATATAAGTCAAAAGAAGCTATAACAATAAATTATATGACTAAAATCATTTCGAAATCTGCCAAATTCTCGATTTCTGCATGAAAAATGTGACAACGCTCTTAATGACATTTTGTTACGCAGTCTCAATATCGAATACGTTTGATATAAACTCACACTAAGCCGCCAGATAGCATTAGTTATGTATGTATTCAAATTCAAATAATTTATTTGTGAAACACAGGTAAGCAGTATGATGTACAAACAAAATATGTGTTCAAGCCGTGATCAGCCTTGTCGGCATACAAATGTTAATGCGTGTATGTATGACTTATGTGAGTGACAGACGAGTACGTAATCAAACACTATCAGAGGCGCACCGAGGACTGGTGCCTTTGAGGCTACTGAGTGATCGCATGTATGCGCCATTGTGTCATACAAACTTTACGGTCGGAGCAATACGTCACTGGGATGAGTTTGTTTTTCTAAGGCGAAAATTGGGTACGCGCCGATGTCGCACTTCTAGGCCCAATATTTAAAAATACCTTTACCATCCTGTACATGAAGACAGTGAATTTGATTCAAAATAAATGCCAAGTCAAATCTAGAGACGAATTCAATTTTAATTTGAAAAGAATTTATTTAATTGTGTTCAGTGAGGGAGTTACTATGTTTTTTTGAGAGAGGATGTTTGAGTTAATAGGAGAAATAAAACAAACGTAATAAAACTAAATAGGTACATTCAATAAAATAATATACACAACATAACATAACATCAATAAAATAGTCTTAAGAATACAAAAGACCTTATAAATTAAAAAAGACAATCTCTGATAGTTATGATGTTAAAACACAAGCTATTAGATTTTTCTTTAATCTTAATAGTACCACCAAACTTAGAGAAATTAGGTGAATTTCGAAAAAGGTGCAATATTTTTTCTCATATCAACGAATTTCAATGGCTGCTTCAAAGAATAAAGCTGTTTTTTATATTATACCAAATACGGATTTTAGAATTTTACAAAAACACATAAAATAAAAAATCTAATGGCTTGTTTCTACTTGTCAGTCCTGTGTTTCATGCACACACAGCTGCAAGTTAAGATATTGAATAATACAAATTCATTGAGCGAAGCATGATGCAATTATAAATAAAAAATTAAATAAAGAATTTCACTAAAGTAATACAACAAAGGAAGCACACTTAACAAACATAAAAGATACAATAATAAAATTAACTAATAAAAATGACAAGTTACATTTGCGTATACGCTAGTGATGTCGGGAGGAAAACGAATACAAAATAGGACTAGAAATGGAGAGTGAACTTTACTTAAAAACAAAAGGAATCGTAGTGTTGACCACCGCGGCACGCGTGTCCCTTACACTGAGCCCTAACTTTCTACCTTACAAGTACAATAATATATACAAACGTTATCCTTTCTAAATGCAGCTGGGAACCGACATTTATTTGTGGAATGAATCCATACAAACAGCTAATTAATACATGTCATTCAAAAAGCACAGTTTCATTTATTCAAGAATCTGACCACTTTACTGCCAAAGATCGTCGGTTCACCAAACTCATATACATTGAAATAAAATCAACATCCAAAGACAGTTAGTGCGTAAAAGTTAAAACCATGAAAATAATATTTGTGCTCTTAGCGCTGTAACAACTAAAATAAACTTTGGCCAAATAATAACTTATCACATGTTTAATAGAATGTACGAGTTTTAGTGACCACTTGAACACATTTCCAAATGATAATTATTTTGATATAAATCGAAAACGTAACGCCTTCTAAAAAATTTACGACATCTTGGTGTTAATCTTAAAAATAACACTGATCAAAATTGTTTTTTTATACTATAATTTTTTATTAATAATTAAAAATCGTGCTCAAGTGTACACTACCTTTGAGGTTAAAATTATCAATAAATCGTTTAGTATTCAATCGAAAACAACATTATGCTTTGCATTGACGTCAATAAATTGGATAATTTAACATTCAATAAAAATAATCATAATAAAATAAACAAATTACGTAAGTATCGAATCGACATTAATTTTAATTTTCTCAAAATATGTTCGCTACTTAAATTCTTGTATATTACCTTACACTAGACTCTTCATAAGAGGATACCCGTTCATCACATCCAAATCGCAGTGCTTGAAATAATTTCGCTTCAAAATAAATTAAATATATCATTCAAATTGTTATGGACAATTGAAGCATTTCGATTATTCCACGAGGAAATTTTGGCAAGAAAGACATCTACTTAGACATACATAAATAGATATATTATTATAGTAAGACTAAGTCGTATGTAATACATATGGTATGAATTAGTTTGTATTCGTGATTCGATTTAGATTTATTGTTGCAGTCATTAGACTGACTATGGATTGCCATTAATATGATTATAGTAATTATTTTTGACGCTTACCGGGTATTTTCACATGTCATAATTTACATAAAAAATTTCGAAGTTTCTTATTTTCCAGTCTATTCATTCCTTTCACTCAAAACGAGATACCCGCATGAGTGACAGAGACCGATATACTCGAAAACACGACGACAACTGACTTTTAAGGGTTTATATTACGTCGTCGGGTGTATATTCGTCGCGTTGATTCTCAAATCACTTGAAGTTTTCAGTGCTTTACGTCACAATCAAATCTAAGTTCTAATACAAGTACATATACAAAGTAAATATTCCAAGAAACAACACAACCATATCTCAACATTATGGAGTCCAAGACCGTACAAAACGTAGAGAAAGCTAGCAAAACTCTACGTGTAACAATGGCAGTGTTCGTCTGAACTGGCGTGTTCTACAGCGGTTTATTTTTAGTAATTTTAAACATTTTTATTTTTTATAAAAAAAATCTACATTAATCGTTACTTAAAATCTACTTTCAATAGTATCAAAAAATTTTGGAATGTTCATTTTGGTGTTAATCTTCGTTTTACGAGATATGTCATTATCGACGTCAGCGGAAGGATTCACGGGTATTTATTGTAAATCCTTCGAAAATATCAATACAAAAATCTTCCTACCCAAACTATTTTTTCGAAAGTAAACATTGATGTATACTGGATAGTTTTCAGATTTCAATACTGTTGCTAAAAAATCGAATCTACAAATTAAAATTTAGTTGACACCATAATTCAATTGACATAATTTATTGACATCTGTCCAACCGCGATTTTTTATGGCAAAAGGGAGCTATGACGTCATCAGTTAATGAACTCAATTAACAAACATTGATTTCAAAGATACAATAATTCCAAGTAGAACACATGGAATTATTGTTTGACTATCCAATTTACATCAGATATTATAATTATTTACTCTTGCGCAAAATTAGTTTGAATAAGTTTTCGACTGACGCGATCACGTCATATTGTGGTGACAAACAAACTAACTTAGGCCTTGAACCCCTCTACTTATACACGTAATTCCAAGTATAATCATAATACAATAATAAATTCACATGGAATACAAATATATGATTAATAATTATAAACCACTAATAATAATATAATATGAGTGGATTTCTTATAATACTGGATACATAGAATGAAAATTTATTTTGCTCACCCCTCTAAATCATTTCATAGCTGTCGCACCACCGAGGGCACTCCGTCTGAAAATTAAAATTATAACGATAAATACCTTTGGTTATTTAACGTCTTTAATCGTTAAGTAACGAATGTAGCGACGGATACGGGACTGATATTCATTTATGTTTTTTATCAGGAACATTTACCACAAAATAATAAATAATAATAATAATAATATTTTTTTAATACTGTATTTATANGTTTATTGCCAATAAATCTTAATACAAAATATTCTTATAACTAGCGGCTTCTGCACTAAGCATAGCTTGTATCGCAGTAGCCTTTTTAAGTTTTTACATATGTATTATCTTTACTTTGAGGTCTGGGAACACAAATTCAGGCAATTTATTACTGTAGTTAAATTAAGGTATAAAAATATAAAACGTGGTATCAAAAAAAATAGTTACAAGGCTTAAAATGAGGTCAATGTTTAAAAAACTTACTCTATTAGAGACTGACAGTTAAAATTACAATTGCAATTAAAATGAAATTAAAATTACAATTAAAAATTACGTCTTATGTAATATGTATAATATTATTTAATATAATATGTAGTTATATTATAATTAAAATAATTAACAAGAAATTAGAAATAGTCACTGCAAACAAATACAACCCAAATAACAGCAGTTTCATAAGTAAGCCATGTTCAGATTGCCACAGGCGCGTGGCGACATCTGGGAAAAGCATTGCGTTTATAGAAACCCATTTTATTTTTAAATGCTTAACACATTACTAGATGGCGCTGTGCTCTATTAAATCGCGGTTTCCTGTGAATTTTTCGGTTTCTATAAGACAGGGTCTATAGGATGGGTACAATAAAAACAGTGATTCGCCTTTTGAAATTTTTGAAGCGTAAATTGTAGCTCATGCTACAATACGCAATAAAATTCACTGTAATCGTCATCGTTCTCTTATATAGGTTCGATTTTTCAATCGTCAGATAACTTTTAACTGAAGAATAAACTTGTCATTTTGACATATTTCTCATACTGAACTGTCAATGTGCCACTTATTCTTCAGTTAAAAGCTATCAGCGCTCTTAGGCCCGATTCGACCAAACTTTTACCCGAGAATAAAATTAAATCCACATAACTGGCACATTGTCAGTTTCAGTATGGGAAATATGTCAAAATGACAAGTTTATTCTGAGATTGTTATTTACTCTTGTTTGGTCGAATCCACCCATAATCGTCTAAAAAAATGACATACGTCATGACAACACTATGAATGGAATGATTTCCTGAATAGCCAGGATCTATAGTTTGGCCGCGAATGAAATATAAACCAGTGAAAGTTACAAGCGTCTTGTTTGAACTATAGGGCAGTTCAAACAAGAGTGCGTGTCACGTTGTGCGTGTGTTAAAGCACTGTGTTGGAAGTTCCCTGTGGTCACGTGATAAGTGTGTTACTGTACAATACCATGTTGGAACCTATGATCACATTTTGCATGTTCTACGGCATTAGGTTGGAACCAGACTATGATCACGTGGTATGTATGTGTTACAGTATTGTGTACGAACTTTGGAAGTGCCCTGTGATCACATTATACATGTGTTACAGTACCGTGTTAGATTGGAAGTTCTTTTTGATCACACGCACCGTGTGTGTTACAGCATCATATTAGAAATGTGCCCTGTGATCACGTTGCGCGTGTGTTACATACAGTACAGTGTTGGAAGCGCCCTGTGATCACGAGTGTGTTACAGCAGCACCAGTTGCCGCCTGGGCCTAGTGTGTGTCTAGTTTTCTCTCGGTGTTTGTTGGCAGTATGGCCACAAAATATTAACAAGTACTAAAATAACTTCGCGAAGGTATTTAAAAAAATGTATGCTCAATGTCATTAACAATATGGTGTAATATAGCCTGTCTCAAGAGTCAAGCAACATTTTGATGACAAACGTAAGTGATGGGTACTGCGCTGAAGCTATAGGGCTGACTTGGGTAAAATGATGTGACGTGAGATGCCAAACTGCAGAAAATGGCGGAGGAAATACATGATTTAGCATGAATTATCATGAATAATATTAACTACATATTTACCTCTCAGTGTCTTCAGGCAACTTAAAAAAGTACATTCTGTTTTTATTATTATTTAGGCAGTTAAATACTGCACAGTATTTAGTACACCATTTTCTTTATTTTTTTCCATCATACACAAGAATACGCGTGCGTGAGTCAATGTTCGCTCGTATGTGAGGCCTTGTCGAATAGTATCCTGTAGGGGGCCATCGTGCGTGTTTTGTTTTCGATGTAAACTCGCGGAGATGAACAGGCCTGGTCTGGCCAAGTATATTTTGGGAAATCAATTTTCACTGTAAACAAGTTTCTCTCAAATATGTAATAATAAAATAAAATATTGACGAGTGTGTAAAAATTACTAATCGTCTTTGCGTCGAGTATAGTCATCACCATCATCATTTCAGCCACAGGACGTCCACTGCTGAACATAGGCCTCCCCCAATGACTTCCACATCGCACGGTTGGTAGCGGCCTGCATCCAGCGCCTTCCTGCTACCTTTATCAGGTCGTCGGTCCACCTTGTGGGTGGACGTCCCACGCTGCGTTTTCTGGTACGCGGCCTCCATTCCAGAACCTTGCTGCCCCATCGGCCGCCAGTTCTGCGTACTATGTGCCCTGCCCACTCCCACTTTAGCATGCTAACCCGTCGGGCTATGTCAGCGACTTTAGTTCGTTTACGGATCTCCTCATTTCTGATTCGATCTCATAAAGAAACACCGAGCATAGCCCTCACCATAGCATGCTGTGCAACTTTGAGCTTCTGTATAAGGCCTATAGTGAGAGGCCACGTTTCCGAGCCATAAGTCATCACAGGCCACTCATTCACTATAGGCCTTATACATAAGCTCAAAGTTGCACAGCGTGCTATGGAGAGGGGCTATGCTTGGTGTTTCTTTGCGAGATCGAATCAGAAATGAGGAAATCCGTAAACGTACTAAAGTCGCAAACAGCCCGACGGATTAGCAAGCTGAAGTGGCAATGGGCAGGGCATATAGTACACAGAACTGACGGCCGATGGGGCAGCAAGGTTCTGGAATGGAGGCCGCGTACCGGAAAACGCAGCGTGGGACGTCCACCTACAAGGTGGACCGACGATATCGTAAAGGTAGCAGGGAAGCGCTGGATGCAGGCCGCTACCAATCGATCAACGTGGAAAGCATTAGGGGATGTCTATGTTCAGCAGTGGACGTCCAATGGCTGAAATGATGATGATGATGATGAAGTCATCACAGGTAACACACATTGGTTGTAGACTTTCGTCTTCAGGCACTGAGGTATTCGTCCAAAAGATGTTGCGTAGTTTCAGAGTCGAGATGTCGAGTATAGTGCGAGCGCGGTACCTGGGCCCACTAGCGCGCCGCGCGGGTCTGGTTGAGCTCGTCGTCGGAGTCGGTGGGCGGCGCGAGCACGGTCAGGTGCGTGCTGCACTCGCCGCCGCCGCTGCCGGACCAGTTGCCGCCTGGGCCTAGTGTGCTAGTGTGCGGTACCTGGCCTGTTCATCTCCGCGAGTTTACATCGAAAACAAAACACGCACGATGGCCCACCTACAGGATACTATTCGACAAGGCCTCACATACGAGCGAACATTGACTCACGCACGCGTATTCTTGTGTATGATGGAAGAAAATAAAGAAAATGGTGTACTAAATACTGTGCAGTATTTAACTGCCTAAATAATAATAAAAACACAGAATGTACTTTTTTAAGTTGCCTCAAAACACTGAGAGGTAAATAAGTAGTTAATATTATTCATGATAATTCATGCTAAATCATGTATTTCCTCCGCCATTTTCCGCAGTTTGGCACCTTACGTCACATCATTTTACCGAAGTCAGCCCTATAGCTTCGGCGCAGTGCCGATCACTGACGTTTGTCAACAAAATGGTGCTTGACTCTTGAGACAGGCTAAATTACACCATATTGTTAATGAGATCGAGCATACATTTTTTTAAATACCTTCGCGAAGTAAAACTTGTGTACGTAGTACTTATTATTATAGCGGTACCTGGGCACACTAGCGCGCCGNAAAAAAAAAAAAAACATACGGGTCGAATTGAGAACCTCCTCCTTTTTTGAAGTCGGTTGATAATAACGTAAAGGCTATAGCGACGACCGAATGTTTTTATTTTATTTTTCATTTTCTTGGTTAATCTGGTGTACATAGGGTTGCCAGGTCCAAAACCACAAAAGCCGGACTCTGTGCTTCATTTGGCCGGACATTTAACCCTAAAAGCCGGACATGTGAGGGGGGGGGGGGGTGCAATTAGTGTCAGCCAAATAGAAAAGCCTAACAAAAGCCGGACAAGCCAATATTTGGCCGGACAAGACCGTAAAAAGCCAAACATGTCCGGTTAAAGCCGGACACCTGGCAACCCTAGGTGTACAACAAAGTGTTATCTGTCTATCTAAAGTCCGGTCGCCGAGCAGATAGAATTTTAGCGCTCGTATAGTCACTGCGGCCGCCCGTTGCAGAGCGCGACAGCAATATAATTACGCGCTAGCGATAAAGATGGGTAGCTTGGGGTCATTTTACGAGAATAGGAAAGGAGGGGAGAGGAGAAAATAGTAGAAGGAGAGGAGAATAGGAGAGGAGAGTAGAAAAGGAGCGGAGAAGAGGAGAGAAGAGGAAAGGAGAGTAGGAGAGGGGGGTAGAGGAGAGTAGAAGATGAGAGTAGGAGAGAAGTGGAGAGGAGTAGGAGTGGAGAAGAGTAGAGAAGACTAGGAGAGGAAAGTAGAAGAGGAAAGTAGAAGAGGAAAGTAGAAGAGGAAAGGAGAACAGAAGTGGAGAGGAGTGTAGGAGAGGAGAGGAGAGGAGTAGGAGAGTAGGAGAGTAGAAGATGAGAGTAGGAGAGGAAGTAGAAGAGGAAGGAGAGCAGAAGTGGAGAGGAGTGTAGGAGAGGAGAGGAGTAGGAGATTAGGAGAGGAGAGTAGAAGATGAGAGTAGGAGAGGAGAGTAGAAGAGGAGAGGAGAGCAGAAGTGGAGAGGAGTGTAGGAGAGAAGAGGAGTAGGAGAGGAGAGTAGAATATGAGAGGAGAGTAGGAGGAGAGGAGTAGGAGAGGTGAAGAGTAGGGAGAAGAGTAGAGAGGAGAGTAGAAGAGGAGAGGAGAGTAGAGTAAGAGAGGCGAGTAGAGTAGGTGTGCAGAGGTGAGGAGAGTAGGAGTGTAGAGGAGAGTAGGAGAGGAGAGTAAAAGAGAAGAGTAGGAGAGAAAGCACTCTGACAAGAGTGCCCGACTGAGAAGAAGAAGATGTATAATGCCAACGCACCTGCGATATCACGTCCCCGTGCGCCGTGCGCACCTGGTACAAGTACCGGTACTTGCGCTGCTTCATCTCGGCGCGCTGCTCGCGCGTGACCGGCCGCGACTGCTGCGCCTTCAGCCGCCGCTTCTGGGCGCTTATACCTGGAAACATTCAATGCTTATTTTATAGATCAAATAAATATGACGAATTTCCATGGTAAGGATCCAACCCACAACTTCACTCATATTGGGTTGGATCCCTTTCAATGAATATACGTGCGTTACATCCACGAAGACGCGCCCCGCCATTCTTCCGCTAATATTTGAGTGTTTTTGGTACACGCTTAATCATCCATGAGTGCACACGCACACTACAATAATGACGCTCGGATTGCTCGGCTTAAACTTAAGGGGAGTCCCTCGGCCGAAAAAATTGGTGGGGCGCATCTTCATGGATGAAAAGAACTATAAATACTACACCAAAACATTGTGATTCTGTTTAACAATGAATAGTTAATTAGTTGATAGATTTAATTTCTGCAACAGTTTCTTGGAATCGACATGTCAGATTGTCAGACTTCTAGCTGCAGGAGGTACACTCTTGTGCCTATCAAAGGTATTTTTTAATCTTAGGTGTCCCTATGGTAACAAATAACAGGAATGTTGTTTACATAGGGGTCACTTAAAAATAAGGGATTGATGGTGAAAACGGGCATAAGGCTCGCGTGGCTCTGTTACACTTTGCCCGCGCTAGATCCCGTTGCTAGGCTCATGACAGTTTACACGTCACTCTGCCCGCCCTAGATACCTATGCTGCCCTCATGATAGTTTACACGTCACTCTGCTCGCTTTATACCTGTGCTGAGCTCATGACAGTTTACACGTCACCCTGTTCGCCCTAGATACCTGTGCTGGGCTCATGACAGTTTACACGTCCCTCTGCTCGCTTTATACCTGTGCTGGGCTCATGACAGTTTACACGTCACTCTACTCGTCCTAGATACCTGTGCTGGGCTCATGATAGTTTACACGTCACTCTGCTCGCTTCATACCTGTGCTGAGCTCATGACAGTTTACACGTCACTCTACTCGTCCTAAACACATGTGCTGGGCTCATAGTAGTTTACCCGTCACTCTGCTCGCCCTAGATACCTGTGCTGGGCTCATGACAGTTTACACGTCCCTCTGCTCGCTTTATACCTGTGCTGGGCTCATGACAGTTTACACGTCACTCTACTCGTCCTAGATACCTGTGCTGGGCTCATGATAGTTTACACGTCACTCTGCTCGCTTCATACCTGTGCTGAGCTCATGACAGTTTACACGTCACTCTACTCGTCCTAAACACATGTGCTGGGCTCATAGTAGTTTACCCGTCACTCTGCTCGCCCTAGATACCTGTGCTGGGCTCATGACAGTTTACACGTCACTCTGCTCGCTTTATACCTGTGCTGAGCTCATGACAGTTTACACGTCACTCTACTCGTCCTAAACACATGTGCTGGGCTCATAGTAGTTTACCCGTCACTCTGCTCGCCCTAGATACCTGTGCTGGGCTCATGACAGTTTACACGTCACTCTGCTCGCCCTAGATACCTGTGCTGGGCTCATGACAGTTTACACGTCACTCTGCTCGCCCTAGATACCTGTGCTGGGCTCATGACAGTTTACACGTCACTCTGCTCGCCCTAGATACCTGTGCTGGGCTCATGACAGTTTACACGTCACTCTGCTCGCCCTAGATACCTGTGCTGGGCTCATGACAGTTTACACGTCACTCTGCTCGCCCTAGATACCTGTGCTGGGCTCATGACAGTTTACACGTCACTCTGCTCGCCCTAGATACCTGTGCTGGGCTCATGACAGTTTACACGTCACTCTGCTCGCCCTAGATACCTGTGCTGGGCTCATGACAGTTTACACGTCACTCTGCTCGCCCTAGATACCTGTGCTGGGCTCATGATAGTTTACCCGTCACTCTGCCGTTCTAGATGCCTATGCTAAGCACTAAGCCAACTTGTTTGCTCTCTTGCAGGTTTCCTGTCACGGTATGTGTTATAGCAAGGCCACAGTGTAAACACCCGCGAAATAATTTTAATTGGTCTTAATGGTTGAGTTTTTATTGCGCTTGTTCTGAGAGTACCTGAAATAGGAAATGTAAGTGGGCCGTCGTTAACGACTGAATCCACTGTTTGGCCCGTCTCTTCAAAAGGTTGAGCAGCGTTGTGTTATACTCGTAGTGTACAGATACAGTCGCATTGTGTTTTGTTGTGTTAAGAGGCCACTCACTCTGCTCGTGGTAGATGCCGGTGGCGGTGAGCGCGCACTGCGCCGTGAGCCCCACGATGGCGGCCGCGGGCCAAGCCGCCAGCGTCAGCCACGACAGCCGGCACGGCGGCGCCACGGCTGGCTCAAGCTTCGCGCGCTCCCATAACTGGAAGAAACAACAGACATGTTGACACCACCAATCAATTGACGTACTTTTTAAAACTGCCAAAACGAAACTCTCCCATAGATTATGTATGGCACTACAAGAAAGTGACGTCACTATATTGTCAACTCAATTATTGGCCTACAAAATCTACTAAAAAACATTGTTATTAGATACAGATTGATATTGTGCTGTGTACTATCCTTAAAATAAATAAATAAATAAACTACTTTTTCCAATTACAATGCGACCAAAAATCGTAATTTACAGGCAATTTAAAATTATTAAAGTTTTTAAGAACAGAATGAAGTGTCTTTTTAGAAAACTTGTGATTTTGAATTAGGGGAATGGTGTCAAATTTTCTATTCATTGTTACTTTTACCACATAATAATAATAAGTACTACGTACAGAAGGTTTTCTTCGCGAAGGTATTTAAAAAAAATTATGCTCAATGCCGTCAACAATAAGGTGTAATTTAGCTTGTCTCAAGCGTCGAGCACCGTTTCGTTAACACAACGTCAGTGATCGGTACTGCGCCGAAGCCATAAGGCTGACTGCGGTAAAATAATGTGTGACGTGAATTACAAAACTGTAGAAAATGTCGGAGGGAATACACGATTCATGTCAGGAATTTTGGCGTACTAGCAACGGTATCAGTATCGGACTACCGATTAGATGGTCGATGCTTCGAAATAATGACTTCATTAGAATGGAATGTCCCTGAGTTATCACAATTTCAAAATCATATATTTAGACTTTTCAAAACACTACACAAGCACTGCCTAAATATGATATCACGTTTAAGTAAGCATCGCGTTTTTATCAAAATTATTTGTAAGCATATTCTGCAACTGGGCTGCGTGATTTATTGTAGAGATGAAACGGATATCCGGTAACTATCCGGTAGGCCGGATATCCGGCCTAAATTTACTATCCGGCCGGATACCGGATAGTAACTCACTATCCGGCCGGATACCGGATATTAAAAAACTACGACATTTTTCTATTAATAAAATGAAATACATTAATCTTTGAGGTAAATATCAATAAAATGGCTTATAAATAATAACGGCTTTTATTTAAAGTTCAAAAAGTTACAAAAAGGCCTTTCAAAAAACTAATTTCTTTTTCTGTGCTAATCACTCTAATGACTAATACATAAACAGTAAACATCTGTTAATGTCGAACTATTGCCAAATAAAAAAGGCGATCTTTTTTTTCACTGATGGTCTGGTGACATGATGCATGCATTTCAGTCAGATGACGCAGCATGTAAACAAATTTAATTTTCGCTATTTTCAATCACACTCTCGCTATAGTAACCGAAGTCACCCGAATTGATCTGCCCCCTAGACAAGTGGCAAAATCTGACATTCCATTCGGACGGATTCGATTTTCGAAAAGTGTGACTAGTCTAGTCTACTAATAGACCCACTGATCGAGGTCGAAGCACCTGTGCGGCGTTAAACTCGTCACGACATGCAACGAGACAATGGGCCAACTATCCGGCCGCCGGATATCCGGCTATCCGGCCTAGCAGCTGGCCGGATATCCGGTATCCGGTATCCGGCCAAACAACTATCCGTTTCATCTCTAATTTATTGTATTCATTCGACTTCTCCACGCACCATAGAAGGGTCATAAAACAAATTAAACTTATCAAAGTAAAAGTTTACACATTGTCCGTTTTTATCTGAATTTTATTGTAGGTATCAATATCATTAAATGTTTTTTTATAATCCTAAGGCCCGTCATTATCTCTGTATGTAAACAAACCATAAGTAAACAAAAACATGAGTATTATTAAGATGAATTAACACTCCTCTCAATAACACAGAAACCCATAAAAACTTCTGAATCAACTTCAACAACAGTAAAACTTAGTAAGTACTTCAATAATGAACTTTTACAAATACAAAGGATTAACCCAAAGTTTTCGAAGCCATAAAGTTATTGTTTTAAAGTCTTAAGACTTAAGTTTGTGTTTTTAAAAGAATAGAGGTTAAACAGAAGACTTATAAAGGTTACTCCAATGACGGATGGTGCTGTTATTTCATTATTGCGCTGCAGTTACTGGGGTGCTATAAATTACTCGTTGACAGCTGCATAGTACATGATATAATGGATGTAGTAACAGCATGATTGTCCCACTTGTTCTATTAAGGCGAGAAGCAGTATTGCAATATTGACGAACTACCACTAGAGGATATTAGCATCAACGTTGTCACATCCAATTTCAGCAATATACGTCGCTTGTGGGGTCTTGATACTTGACAATGACATGATGTACTTGTTGATTAGCTATGATATGCAAGACTGGACTCGAATACAAGACGGTACAAAATATTAGTCGTAAGATTATTTGAAAAATCAAATTGGTCAGTTGTTCTTGTTATTATCTTGGTCAGTTGAAAGTAGGTTCAATTCGTTGCTCTATCTGCGCACAGATTTATGAGTTTGCATAACCGGTGACAAAAGGAATCGACAACTTTTCAGATCATGCAAGTCTTGCATTTTTGTGAGATGTTTGAACAATCAGAAAATGAAGACCCTGTAGGTCTAGGATGCGTGTCGCGATAAGCGCCTATCACACTATTTTATCGATTTTGACGTCGATAAAAGTATATCACGGCGCACATCTAACCCCGGCTGGAAGGAGTTTTTAGAATCGGCTCCAAATGTTTATGCTGTGTCAACCATTTATGTGTGCATCTTTCTGATGAGAAGACTTTTACTTGTATAATAGACTAACCATAAGTAATTTGTTACTCGGCAATGTGAAGTTTTTAGAGAGCATAGGAAACTTTTGGTGATTGGATTTGTTTACTTTTGATTTAATAGTGTAACATACCCATTTAAGCATCATCATTCTTTCGAAGAAGTAGTCCAGAGACGTCGCGATGACTGCACCGCCGTACACGCTCGTGCCGAAAATGGTTAGAACTGAAAACAAATATTTGGATGGTTATAAAATAACATAACTAGGAACAAAGAAATTAATGTACTTTAATCCAAGTTAAATTCACAGCTCTTTGAAGAATCATCACCCAATTGAACAAAACAAAATTTCCTAATTGTTTCAACATGTTTGAAATAAATTATCGTTTTTGTTTATGCTCACAAGGTACTGCGCGTGCATAGTTATCACTGATAAGACCCAGCGGTCCTTTTTATTAGAGATGAAACGGATATCCGGTAACTATCCGGTAGGCCGGATATCCGGCCTAAATTTACTATCCGGCCGGATACCGGATAGTAACTCACTATCCGGCCGGATACCGGATATTAAAAAACTACGACAATTTTCTATTAATAAAATGAAATACATTAATCTTTGAGGTAAATATAAATAAAATGGCTTATAATAATGACGGTTTTTGTTTAAAGTCCAAAAAGTTACAAAAGCCATATTAAGTAGTGATGGGCCGACTATGGTCTTTGCCGACTAACCGACTAGCCGACTAATCGGTTTTCAAATTGCCGATTAGTCGGTCGACTAGTCGGCAATGCCGATCATTCTAATACCTACTTGTCCGAAGTATAATATCTAGATTTCTCAAAGAAATAAGAATATCTAGATTTATAAAGAGATGTTTTGCATGTATAATGTAGGTATGTATTTACAAAAAAAAAGTATTTAATGTTTAGTACCCATAGTACAAGCTTTACTTAGTTTGGGACTAGAAGCGCAGTGTAAAGTGTCCAAGGATATTTATTTATTAATTATTTAGATAAATTATAACTTCTTGAGAAATGAGATTTCTTTAATTATGAGATAAAATAAAAAGCAACATTACAATCACCTAGTACAGTATGTACCTAAGATAGATGTCATAATTTTTGATGGCGGAGGGGTCAGAGGAGGTGACAATATGATCACCTCCTGCTGGGCCAGGATGCTTAGGACTTATCAACGTCAAAATGTATGGGTAAATTGCGCTTATCGCGGCACGCATCCTAGGCCCACTGATTCCTCTCCACTCTCCACGGTGAAGGTCAGAAGCTGGGGGCGTGGGCGTACCCCCGCCTGCATAGCACGGACTACCACCACTGTCGGATAGGCAGGGCCCGCCAATTGCTGGCACAGACTGTGATAGTTGATGGCTTTGTCCGGATTCCCATAGTTCTTCACACTAAGGCGATCGACGGAGCTCAGGTTATTTCTGTAGGTATTCCTCATGACCTCATCCTTCCGATGAGAGGAGCCCACATAATCTACCACTTCCCCGCAGGATAGGTATGCAATTCCATGCATTTTTTCCCCAAAAAAATGTGCCATAATTTTTATAAGGACAAATTACATAAACTTTACACATTTTAGATGATTTCCTAGTAATTTTAACTAATCTTAACTTTATATGAATTTAGACTGATTGCCAAAATTTTAAAACAGGTGAAACCACTTTTTACTGATTTTTTTCAGCCAAAAATGATTTAGATTAGCGCCCTTGGTCTACCTCATAATCATCTTGGTAATTATGAGTTTTATTTCATTCACATATTAAATTTTGTAATGCGCCGATTATAATCGGCAGATTTTGCCGAATAGTCGTCACTAGTCGGTCGACTACAAATGATGCCGAATAGTCGGCTTTCCCGACTAGTCGGCGACTAGTCGGCCCATCTCTAATATTAAGGTCTTTCAAAAAACTAATTTAATTTTCTCTTTCTGGGCTATTCACTCTAATGACGAATACATAAATAGTAAATATCTGTTAGTGTCGAAATATTGCCAAATAAAAAAGGCGATCTTTTTTTCACTGATGGTTTGATGACATGATGCATGCAGTTCAGTCAGATTACGCAACAAGTAAACTAATTTAATTTTCGCTATTCAATCACGCACGATAGCAACCGAAATCGCCCGTTGATCTGCCCCCTAGACAAGTGGCAAAATCTGACAATCTATTCGGACGGATTCGATTTTCGAAAAGTGTGACTAGTCTAGTCTACTAATACCCACTGATCGCCTTCGAAGTACTTGTGCGGCGCTAAACTCGTCACGACATGCAACGAGACAATGGGCCAACTATCCGGCCGCCGGATATCCGGCTATCCGGTCTAGCAGCTGGCCGGATATCCGGTATCCGGTATCCGGCCAAACAACTATCCGTTTCATCTCTACTTTTTATCTTTATTATAGAGTAAGTACACATATAACTTTCTCGAATTTTATTAAAATTTCATCATTATCTCACCTTTCTTCCAGTACAAGTTGATGACAGCAAAGAAGATCCCTGAAGTAAGCAATACCACTACGCATAACCAGTACTGTAACAATAAATATTGTGATGTTAAAAAATATAGTCCAAAAAGACTACGGAGGGAACGATGTTATTACCACCGCGATTAGTCCTAAGAGAAGTTATTGAATTTTCAGTTACGCACCAGTGTGTTTGGTGCCATTAAAGACTTCATAAAAGTGGCACACATTAAAGGATATGTAAGCACATAATTTGAGTCGTAACAAACATGGAACAGCCACATACTTGCACATGATGTTTAAGAGATATAAATAGGTTTCGCTCAGCTGCTGGGCACTAGCTAGATTATTTGTTTGCATTTATATTATGTTACAGCTAGTTAACATTTTATTGTCTTAATAAGCCTTCGTGATGAACGCACGCTTAAATTACTGGACAAATATGATAAGTATTTGAGAATACAAATTATTTGTTCCATTTTAATAGCCAGCATTTGATGATGCACATAATTATTATTATGGATAGAGACTATATCGAAATAGTTCTACAATTATTCCATGTAATCATTCGTTTTTTTTTACTTAATCGTGCATTCTTGTTTGTTTTTCCAGCCATTGCTGCGTGATTATAAGCAATAAACATTCGAAATGTTCAACATGGAGATATGATCTCGAAAATTAGTTCGATGAAAAATAACTATCGATTTAAATACAACAGGCTTTAAAAGAATATAAAGTTGTCTCATTTACATTAATATTATTCTCAAATAATATACGCAAGCATGTAATTCAAAGCAGTTGAAGATCACAACACAAACATAGCAGCGATATTAAAATTCACAGTTCGCTGGAGCATACAAGCGCGATTCGCGTCGCCACGCCGCAAGCCATGTAGGAAATAGCCTACTAATTCGTGAATAAATTAACAAATTATAATGTTTACATTCATTTCTGCCTTCTAGCTAATCGGTTCCGATCAACTAATTATAATTATCGTTCAAACAAGTTTAGAAAACATGATTTTGTTTGTCGAGGAGACGCTTGCAAAAACGGAAACATATTTTTCTTCGGCCTCCGTAAATTCTTTTAGGAACTGTAACAGACTTTTTAGTGCAACTTTTAATTACGAGTTTCTTTCGTCTGATTAATTAACGTGCCATTATTTGAAGCACAGATGTTTCTTATCGGACAACTGGATTACTTCAAAGCTTATCAAACTATTTGTTTAGTGTTTCTACACCAATAATAATTCCGTAGTGAGAGCCGTTATCACGCATCGCCGCCCCTAAATTTATACTTTTCCGGGATAAAAAGTTAGTTATGTACTAACTCGGGTAAATGCAATTATGATTGCTCAATTTCAACCTAATCCGAATTAATCGCTGTTCATTAGTAAAACCATTTACACATCGGAAAATAATAATAGTAGTTGGTATTCAACTAGTTTTATTTTTACTAGGAAGATATGTGTAATTAACCATTTAATTAGCTCAATTTAAATAAGCGAGCTGCCTGTCCAATGGAGTAAAAAGAAACGTCGAAAGCAATGATATTGAACTGTTTTCACATAATCTTCCATAGCGCAGACAACTATAATACCGTCATGGGTTCTGCACAAATACAATGGACAGGTCACACACTAATTAAGAAGCTGCTCATAGAAAATAGCTGGTTGATTATGTAATTGTACAGATTGTTTGCCATTTTAGAAACTTTGCTTGAACTTCGAAACTTAGTGTATCGAATTTTAGCAAGTACAACCGCTAAGTAGTAATAACATTAGCATAAGGCTGCCAGTAGAGATTTAAATTCGTTGCAGAAATACTATACGCAAATAAAACGAAGCTTGACGCTATTGTTAAAAAAACGTCATTAAATATGAAAATTTACGATTGAGAGTCAGGTCGATAGCCTTTGGGGCTCCCTAGACAGCCAAATTTACATACCTACTTCACAACCTCTGACATAATGTCCAATTTTATCCGCGCCTATTCAAAAACCAATAAAACCTACATTCTCAGAATTAACATACTCCTCTCATTATCCATCACCATCGGGTCATTTAGACTCTACAACAAGAAGACGACCCTCTAATTCGTCAGAAACAAAAGGATTTGGCTTTCAGATTACAGTCTATAACTACTCTAATTACTGCTTAATTTAGCTACAATTTAAGCTACAAAACGCTACTTTCGCTCATGAATGTCAAATGTTTATCGAGCAGTTGCGTCGCACGTCACAACTCACAAACGAATCGTATAAATTCACCGATCGTAAACTTTCACCGATAACGGAGAGCTTTCGCGCTATAAATTAATATCGTTGTAATATTATAGCTATTATAAATAATATTACATAACACTGCGGTTGTGTAAACGAAACCAATTAATCGACTCGGTAATGAGGATCGGTTTTAAATGTGTTTGATTTTTAGAAATTAGTTTGGTCAATTAAAACCGTGCCAAGTCTATAATCTGAGCAGTATTGATCCACTTTGGCATACTGTGCGAGACCTTGCAAAATACTTGCAATTATATCGAAAACAAGCATCGCACGTGTTATTATGAGTTGTTTAAAGTGGCTACATTAAACAAGCACGTTATGAAATATTATTACAGTTCTTGATTTTTACTGTAACAATAACAACTCGTTTCTTTATATAAAACATTGTTGATCAATTTAGTTTCACAGCCAGTTTTAGTAAACAATTTATAGCAGAGGATGCCAGCGTTTTGAAATAGTTATCCACTTGTGAAAGTCCCATTGAATTCGTTCTAGAGATTAACCAGAACAAACTGCTAGACTTTGGATTCTAGTGATGACAGTGTTTTTTAACCTGTGGGTCGTGACCTCCTGTGGGGTCGCGAAAGGTCGTAAAAACTACCTCAGGAAAAAAAGCAGTAGTCTTTAAGATAGATTTAAAAGCGAACGGTCGGGGGGTCGCAAAATATTTTATCACACTAGGGTGTCATGAAAAAGGTTAAAAACACTCGGTAGAGTGTAATTAATTACAAACAGACAATTTACTTATTGCGAGGCAACTATCTTTTAACTCTCAAGTTGTCTGTCTTCATCCTCTCTGTTTTTGTCAATAAAACGCTCAATTTAATTCACAAAGATCATTGACCACACATCATATGTCATAAAACTCGTAGCAGCATCATTCAACGTGTAATTTATCGCAAGTGTCAGTAGTGCGAGCCTGTGATTTGCATGACATTATTTTCAATTGCCCCCAATGTCGAATCATAATGGTTCCGTGTTCAGCGGCGCGTGCGCAGGGAGATCAGCACGCAGGCGCGCATGCGCAGCGTGATCGGTACACTTTGCCGGGAATATTGCGAATGATTGTAAGGCAAATAGGTACATTGCATAAGGATAAAAGTCGCTTGTGTAGGTCAGCGCTGAGAAGAAGCGGCCAGAAAACGAAATATTATCTGCCTCTTTTTAAATATTTTTTGGGAAAACTGGCCAGTTACGTCATTCAAAACAAAATCAACGAAATATTATCATGCCTCTTTTTAAATATTTTTGGGAAAACTGTGGGTCTAGACAAATGCAAATTATAATCGCAAACCAGTCGAAAAGTGGTCGAAAAGCCCCTTTTTTGTATGGAGTTTTGACGGATTCGATTTTCGATTCGATCAAAAAGTGCGTTTTGTCTAGGGGGGCTGGCCAGTTATGTCATTCAAAACAAAATCTTCTACTTTGTACAGAATCAGTATGGGCACACCTTTCGAAACTATAAAAGATCGAAGAGTATTTTAAGTGTAGTAGGTATGCGATAAAATCCGTATTATCGTTTTTTGAGATAGCAAAATATTACATACAGTTTTATTACTTGATTCAGAAATGAAAGAGAGGCATTTTTCAAGAATTTACATAATAAAGTGATGCTCGAATTCTTGCTAATGGCGGATAACGTCTAATACTTAAGTAGGTATGTTCGGTATACATCCGCGGCCGGGGCAGGACGTAGTCATTCGAATATCATTATTGCCAAATTATAATGATGCTAACTAATTGTTACACACATTGTTACTTTTAGTTAAAATATGCACAATAAAATACATTGGCGGCTGGCGTCCAGTTAATATTTAATGTGCAGTAGCAACAGTGTTGTTTTAATAGGCTAGTTGCCTAAAAAAATTTTTTTAGTCCGTAATGTTTAATATCAAAAAATATTGGACACATATATTTTTATTTGTCAATCTAACAAATAATTACATAGTTATGGTGCGTTGAAGTTGCGCACGACGTCACAACGTGCGGCATTTTTAAGCAAGCGTTGACGTCACGGGCCTCTTCTTATGAACTTTGGGGCGCTTTATCTCTTTAAATTTTCATTAGTTTGAAAAAGTGAAAAATACGTGTAGAGTATTTTTTTATAAGTTAACTGACGGACTAATTAAAACTCTTGCTTTTTGACCCAGGCAACATCCCCATTGTTGCCAAGCTCTCGATCAAACGATTAAAAATTAATGTATAATCTATATGAAAATCGTATATTCTGCCGACCTGAATAACGGGAATAACTGACAATAGCTGTTACAAGCACGTACGCCATATCCGTTTCACATATTAAGTTATTCATAGTCTAACTGCAGTGATAGTCTATCATTCGTAGCATGCAAATGGCTTTCTTTATTATGAAAACAGATATCGAATTTAACAGCTGAATCTATCTCTTCTATACTATTATAAAGCTAAAGAGTTTGTCTTTGTTTGTTTGCTGGAACGCGCTCAGGAACTTCTGGTCCGATTTGAAAAAACATTTTAGTATTCGATTTATCGAAGAAGGCTCATCACGCTAAGACAAGTAGGTACTATTCCAAGTGGACGAAGTCACAGGCAGAAACTAGTCTTCGATATAAAATAGCAATCCTTATACGCGTGTGCCTGTCCTATGCGCTGCGCCTTGATGGAGCTATCCGGTCATTGAACTAACGAGACGTCTATTTTTAGTTTTATTCTATACTAATATTCGCAAAGGATCTCTAAATACCTAATACCTGTGGGGAGCAAAAACACGGAATTCGCAGAGCATAGTGTCCACATATTCAAGCGTGCAATTGAGGCCATCATTATGTTGTTAGAGTGCATCAATGCAATACGTACGATACATATCATATACATTCCTATATATGTATACGCGGTACGTATATATGCACTAGATTACTGAAACTATTTGCGTGAGCTGCATGACCACACATTTTATGAAATCATAAAAGAGTAATATCATTTTAAATTAATGATGTTTAATTACTTTTGTTTAAATTAATAGTTCTGGCAGATTTATACTATAACTAAAACATTATTTTACATGACACCTTTATGTACTAAATGTAATTAAAGCATCATCTAAATTATCTCCAGAATCTAGTTAAAACTCAACTTTAGTTTAGACTAAAAACTAAAAAATATTTAGTTCCTTCATTAACTTTGCTAACAAATAGTTTTTAAACAATTTACATGGAAAAATCGTAGTGAGAAATGACGTCATAGTTTGCTATTTTCGTTAAATCAATGGTGTTTATTAAGAAAAAGATGCTATCTTTAATTCTATTATGGATTTTAGATTCTTGAAAATACACTTGAGTCATTTTAAACCTCACAAGTGCATCATAGTATGAGTCATTAGTAAAAATCAGTCATTGGTATTGAGTAAATTGTGACGTAAATTACAAAGTTTACAATTTTACAATATTTGACGTAATAAAAAAGTATTATTCGATTAGTATTGCACAACAAGTAGGTAATCACATATTTCTTATTTTATAAAGTACTTACATAATTTAAACAAAACTAGATTTTAAAATGATTATGAACATAGAAAGCACAGATAAGAAAGATTATTTTCCTTTGCAGCATACAATACACAAAACATTATTTTGTTTAAAATCAAAAACAATTTTAAAGCTCTGCTACTTAAGCCTGTTTCAAAATGCGTAAGACCTCGAAATCACATGAGTCATACCAATTCAATTTTAAGGAAAAATGAATATTCATCAGAATACTCACCGTAGTAGGTCTGCTGTCCAGGAAATGATCATAAATGGCCAGCCCAGCTATAGCTAGGAGAAGGCCAGTATGGAAACCAGTCATGAATAGTCCAACATACTGGATCAGCATTGTGATGAGTCCAAAAAGCAATCCAGCACAGAGGGCCACACCTGTACAGAAATAATTGAAAATCATCAAAAATTCAAATATCTCAGAAAGTAGGATCTGACGTTCCACCAGTATTATCCAATGCTTACCAACGTTGCCGTAAGGTGGCATCAAGTACTCTTGGAGGCATATTAGGTACACAATAGCTGATCCAAATGTGAAACCAGTGAGAAACATGCTAGCTTTGAAGCATCTGTAACCTGAAACATAAGTCCACATTTACAATATACCCGGGAATAAACTTCATGAATAAATTAACATGACATGATAATTAATTCATTTAAGATACAAAATAAATAATATACTTACCAAATAATGTGTATACGATCCCAAAAGCTATGTACATTGCACAAATAACACTGATGACAGGATCATAATTGTAATCAATTGAAGTGCAAAATGACCCCTCAATGTGAGGGCCGTTGAATTTGATGGTCATGTTGGGAGGAGCGCGCGTCACCTGTGGGACCAGCTGGCCCACTGATGACATGATTTGCAGCCCGGACCAATCTGTAGCTATATGTTACTAGCACTGAAACAAGGACCATATATTGTTATAGTTTATTCCACTGGAAGTTTGTCACAGAGACAACTTATTTTTTTTATTAGCAGCAGGCAGGCTTTGTACCCAAGCTAGCTCACTATCTCACTTTGTAAAGGTAGGTATAAAAAAAATCAACAAAAAAATTATAGAATTACCTACACAATCATGTTTCTCTCTACTAATTTTACTTACGTTTTCACAAAGAAAAACAATAAAGCACGATTAATTCACGATTTTATTACATCACTAAGGATTGCTTAGGCTCTTCACAAGTTGATTGTGACAATTTTTAATAAAAACTTATACAGAGATTCCACCAGAACGACATCGAGCTACGAACTAGTTCTGTGAAGTACAGATACTTTCACCATGCATACGAAAAAATCAGTTCAATAACACTCTGCAAAAACAAACAACCAGTAGACAATATAACATTTTTAAGGACAAAACCTTGCTCGCAATCATATCGAAAAGCTTTATTAAAGAAAACACTCACCATCCTACGCATCAAACGTTCGATTTCACATTGTTAATTTATTATTATCACAGCAATGACACCTTTATTGTTTAACTACAACTACGAACACACACTGCCTCCACTTATATGGTAGAACAGATATTTCTGAAAATTCATCACAAAGCTCGGAGCTTTACTACTACCTACAAAAGAAAATTTAACAAAGGTTCGGGCAGTTTTCCTGAGTTTTCTCATACATAAACCCAATCATTGAATTTTTAATAGGGATGGGCCTTACAATGAATAAACGATTTCAGAAAATGACAGTTTGACAGTTAATCCGAGAAGTCTTTGTCTATTGTCAATTGAATATTGAGTTTTATAAAATGAAAAAACCGACCAAAAAATCAAAGTAATAACGAATTAATGATTATTTACAAATCACACTTACTACAAACTTCTTTTTCAAATTAATTTGACCATTTATCGATTATTCTATCCAATTTCAAGAGAGATTGATAGACAAAATTGAACTTTAAAAGTCATCACTCGATAACTCAATTGAACACTCATAATCGTAACTTTTACAACACTATTTATAACTGAGCTGCAACTTACACCTTTGCAAGCGAATTTTAATTCTAGGGAACGGTTCCAAAAGTTTATTTGTTCGTGTTTTAAATACCACAAGGACGTGTGTACTTAAATATACTAAGTGTGTCAAAACTAAAATGTTTTGGACAGTCATTCCTGTAGTATAAATCGTTCTACATAAGCCTTCCTTCTACCCTCGTAGTGCTAGTTTGCTTCACGTCGACAGTGTACCGAAATTTCACCATGAAAGTCACTGTAACCACGCTCAACGATGAGATTTTCGTTCTCGACGTCTCCGAAGACTTGGAGCTGGAGAATTTCAAGGCGTTCTGTGAAATAGAGTCGGGTTTCCCGGCCAAAGACATCACACTGAATTTCAATGGAACACCACTGTTGGACGACAAGAAATCTTTAAAAGCACATGGTGTCCACGACGGCGATGTTATCGTGCTCATCCACATGCTGCAATCCGCCACAAACACCAACATGAACGACTCAAGCCAAGGTGCCTTTGTTACACTCACTATTTTTGTTTACTTGAAACTGCATTGTCATTCCCTTGATGTTGATAATCATGACAATGCATGTCATTTTGATGTTAATTTTACAACTGGCTGTAAAGCACAATTTAGAAAAAAAATGAGATGAATCATATTGACATTTGTGTCACACACATTTTCTCCATTTTGTATTGTTTTACAGGAATAAAATAAATTAAATCATTAAAAAAACTGTATATATTTTGCAGCTTTGCCAAGCGGCTTAGCAACTTTAGACTTTAGTAACATCCGAGTGCCACCGGAAGCAGCGAGTACCTCAATGGCTGCAAGGAATCCTCCGGTTGAAGAAGACCCTAGGATCATCAGGGAAATGTTTCTTGCAAACCCTGATCAGCTTGCTCTACTGAAACAAAATAATCCACGATTAGCTGATGCCCTGCTGAGTGGCAATCTTGGTATGTATAATAGCAGGCCGCTTTAGGCTTGTACTGTATACTGTGAAAATCATTGTGTTCTGTCTCCTTACCAAATCTAAAAATACCATTTTTTGTAGATACATTTGCTTCTGTGCTCAGAGAACAAATATCTGCTAGGACTGAGCGTCAGCAACAAAGAATAAGGTAAAAATATCAATGTAAAATGGTAATTTTGTATACCATAACGAACTGTATTATGTTAGTGCTTAAAACATTGTTTATTGTAACTTTCAGGATGATGAATTCCGATCCTTTTGACACGGAGGCTCAAAGAATGATTGCAGAAGAAATCAGACAAAAGAACATAGAGGCAAACATGGAAGCGGCAATGGAGTACAATCCAGAAACTTTTGGAACCGTTGTCATGTTGTACATTAACTGTCATGTGAATGGGTAATGTTCTGTAATTTTTTTACCTTCCTTTTTTATACAAAATCATTCCAGTAAAGAATCGAAATGATTAATTTATAAATCTGTGATTTAATTTCAGATTTCCTGTAAAAGCATTCATTGACTCTGGTGCTCAAACTACTATAATGTCTGCGGCTTGTGCTGAGCGGTGTAACATTATGCGTCTGGTGGACACTAGGCAAGTTATTTCTTTTGTCTTTATGTTCTTATTTATATTTCATTTAAAAAATCTTTTATACATCATTTGGAACGAACCCACAGCAACTTTGTAATTCTAATACAAATTTGACTTTCAAACATAATCAATGTATTTTTTATCGTCTTTCTTTGTTTCTTGATGACAGAACTTATAAATCACGTTATAATCTTAATGTAAACTACATATTTATTGGTTGGCAAAGTAGCTAAATCATCAATTTCGTAATCTTACTAATTACTTCAGTTGATTTTTACTTAATGCTCTTTAATTATAGTTCATTAGTTCACTAACATAATTATCTTCTTTAAGCTATAATACAAACAAATAGCTGATGATATTCATAATAAAAAAGTTGCTATGTTAATGATATGGGTGTTTTTATGTATAATGATAAAAACAAATATTTAAATATCCAGGGATTATTTATTACCTTGGGAGTCTCATTCTCATATTTTTTTGCAGATGGGCAGGCATAGCCAAAGGTGTGGGTGTACAAAGAATTATAGGCCGTATCCACATGGTTCAGATGCGGATCGAGAAGGATTTCCTTACCACTTCCTTCTCTGTGCTGGAAGAGCAGCCCATGGACATGTTACTTGGACTTGATATGCTTAAGAGACATCAGGTAAAGAAAAGAAAATAATTTGATTTAATTCATTTACTATTTTTCGTTGAGACAAATAGCACTCTAGATAAGATCTGACCCAATATAGACCTATTCTTATCTCCCATACTCAGTATCTAAAATGTAGAGATAACAATGTCTATAGTCCAGGCAATATGTTTTTGAAATCTTATCCTTTCTATTTGTTTGAGAATTGATATTTTCTTCAAAAATATGCCTCCAGAGTCCAGAAGTCCAGATGATAACAAAAGTAAACAACGTTATGAGATGTTTTTCAGACTTGATTAATGGAATCTTTAAAAGTTTTTTTAACCTTATAATAATATTAAATGAAGGAAATACTTTACCATTTCACAGTCTTTTCTTGATATTATTTGTCATTAAAGCCTTCATTGAACAAAATATTGCCATTTAATCAAATATTTTACTGTTTACTCACAGTGCAACATTGACCTGAAGAGAAATGTCCTTCGCATTGGCACAACTGGTACAGAAACCCCTTTCCTGCCCGAATCCGAACTGCCAGAGTGTGCCCGTCTGTCTGGCTACTCCGAGGATGAGATCGTCAACCAATCCATGAAGGATCACGAGGAGCGCCAGGTCAAAGAGGCGATGGAAAAGTCCAAACAAGGTGGGAGAGGGAAAAAAAAGTAAAAAATATCAACGCTTACTGTGCATGTGCGAAATGTTTGTGATAAAGCTGCAACGAAACAAGTAACGTATTGATAAAATAAAAATCGTAAAATTGCATGTTGTTTTTGTGTAGATTTGTGTCTACTTATGTAGAAAAGGGACTCCACAGAGGACAATACTATTTGTACAGGGTACAAATGGGGTACCTTTGCATCTCGGGTTCCATATCTGATACAGTTAATAAGAGATTTATATTTTTATGGAAAAGGACCTCGTGGATGGTCCCTCGTCTGCACAGGCTTTTGGTGTGTTGGATTATTTGGCGTGCAAACTGCCAAATAACTAGTTCACTGTTAACGTTATTTTAGTTCTAACTTGTATCTTATATCATACACAATTTTCTTTTGTTGTACACAACAATTTGTCTTTTCATCTTTTCAATAATTAGTGAAGGTATAATAATGAGTAATTGCAAAGTTAACGTTACAACATAACAATACTAATGATTGACACTGACACAATAATCTAATGACCAGCTTTTCCGTCCATTAATTAATTAATAAAATAACAGTGTACTTTCAGAAAGTTAACAATCCTGGGTATGAGTATAATATGCTGACTTATGTAATTATCCCGCACTGGCTGTTTGTTACATGCAAGTTCCAATTGACTGCTTTCTTACTATTTGCGAATGATGTGTTATTTTCTAATTATATGTTATTTATGTATCGTTTTACACATCATTCATATTATGTTTCCTTTTAGCAATGCAATGCCAGTAAGGGTGTTTTCATACAAGTATTAATTATTGTAATGCGTGTAATACGCAGCATAAGGTAGCAGGGAATCACTGGACGCAGGCCGCTACCAATCGATCAACATGGAAAACATTGGGGGAGGCTTATGTCCAGCAGTGGACGTCCTATGGTTCGTTTCAGCCAAATGACGTCCACTGCTGGACAAAGGCCTCCCCCAAGGTTTTCCACAATGAACGGTCCTGCGCTGCCCGCATCCAGGCTCTTCCCGCGACCTTTACCAGATCGTCGGTCCACCTAGTAGGAGGCCTGCCCACGCTACGTCTTCTAGCCGTCCTATGGCTGAAATGATAATGATGATGATGTGGAATACGCACTATTAAACTAAAAATAAATGTAATAAATACTTGTATGAAATACCTTCTTGTTTATTTTCTGCAAGCAAATGGTGTCAGTTAAGTACTGTTAAAAATATGTCTGTCTAGTTTCATTTTAGTGCACTTGTAACTCAATGAAAAACTAGTTGTTTTTCCTCGTAGTAATAAAAATACACTGCTTTCCAACTAAATAGCTGTCAATTGTAGCATCCATAGACAAGTTTCAAATGTAATAAAACAAACCATAGCAAAAAAATAAGGCAAAACCTATTGAAATTAGAACCAGTTTCATAAAACTAAAACTTAGAAGACTAGTAATTATTGTTTAACAATATCGTCACCATGGAAGCATTAGAAATTTATATTTTGATTGTTTATAGTTCGTTTCATCCACGAAGACGCGCGGGGTCCGGGGAGCCTGATCCGACCAATCCGAGCGTCATGATTGTAGTGTGCGCGCGCACTCACGGACATTGTCCAATAGGGATGTTTCCTGGGTCAAAAAGCAAGAGTTTTAATTAGTCCGTCAGTTAACTTATCAAAAAATAATCTATACGTATTTTTCAGTTTTTCAAACTAATGAAAATTTAAAGAGATAAAGCGCGCTAAAGTTCAAAACAAGAGGCCCGTGACGTCAATGAGTGCTTAAAACTGCCGCACTTTGTGACGTCGCGCGGAACTTCAACGCACCATAACTATGTAATTATTTGTTAGATTGACAAATAAAAATATACGAGTCCAATATTTTTTGATATTAAACATGACGGACTAAAAAAAATTTTTTAGAAAACTAGCCTGTTGCAACGCTGCCAATGCCAACAATGCCGCTCGAATTGGTCGGATCGGGTTCCCCGCACCCCGCGCTTCCCTCGAACCCGCGCGTGTTAGTGGATGAAACGAACTATATCAATGATAGTACTTATGCTTTCATCTGTTTGAATAGTGTAGTAAACTTAGTGTTAACCTGGCTGATTTATTTTTATCTAGCGGAACCAAACTCGTCCCAGTTTTCGAGACAATCTTCAGCTGGCCAGTCCACATCTTCACAGGCGAACCCTAGACTTGGTAAATATTTATTTGGAAATAAAAAAAAATAAAAAAAACGTTTATTTGGCACAACACAATACAAATTAAAACTTAAAATTAAAATAAAATTGTACCAAACAGGTCCTCGCTCAGCATAAGCCGAGGCACGTAGTACCTCGACGCTGATATTCTGCGAGCACCGCATACCGCACCAAATAATATATGAACATAACTTCTTTATCAAATATTGGTACACTATTGAAGTCATGATAAGTCTGTATTTCGATGATTAGCGCAAACGTATACAGAGTTATTCGTAAAGCATCAGCAACCGCTAAATTTTTGTATTCAGTTACCTAAGATGTCAAAAATTCACTGATACCAAAGTATCTACGTTTGCGTAGCCTAACAATTAACTAAGTAATAACAATCACCATTATTTTTACAGGTTTGGGCGACCCCAGCCAAACTATACTCCCGACTGACAGATTTGGCGAGAATGAGGTAGAAGAAATTGTGAATCTTGGATTCACCAGAGAACAGGTTGGTAATATACTTACAACTTACCTTAGCTTGCAGCTTCGCGCCTGAATTTCAGTAGACAACAAAATATGCTTTATTTTTAGGGTTCCGTACTCAAAGGGTAAAAACGGGATCCTATTACTAAGACTCCACTGTCCGTCTGTAACGTCTGTGTGTCACCAGGCTGTAGCTCATGAACCGTGATACGTGGTGATACTTAGTAAATTTTTTCACAGATGATGAAATTTTTCTGTTGCCGTTATAACACTGACAGAATAAAATAAAATTTTTAATGGTGTTCAGAAACAAACAAACGTATTTTTTTTCTTTTTTGCTCAAACTATTTACATACCTACAAGCTTGTACGGAATACTCATAGATTTCACAGCTCAGTTTTAATAAATAATCATTTTTCATTAATTCCTTGTCTCGTGTGGTGTACAAATAAAATGTGATCTATCTATCTATCTTCTTCCAGGCCATCGTCGAGTTGCGTCGATTCAACGGCGACAAGACGCAAGCCACAGTGGCTCTCTTCGCCAAGTCTCTCAAGTTCTGATGACGATGCCTGGCCTGGGAATCAGCACACCACTATTCGGTTGAAGTAATGCTTTGTTTTAACTATTATTATTTAAGTACGCACATTCGTACTACATCGACATAATTATACACACTATACAGGGTGGAAACGATAAGTGATCTCACTCGATTATTTCTAAACTATACAAGATATCCAAAATTTGGTTACTGATCCTGAAAGTGCTTCACGAGCTCTATCCAACGGTATCAATAATAAGTGACAAAATAAACTGGATCTATCCGAAATTTCAATGTTTCCAGCTTCCATACATTTAGTAAAACCACATAAAATTAAAAACTATACAAGATATCTCAAAACTGGTTACTGATCCTGAAAGTGCTTCACGAGCTCTATCCAACGGTACCAATAATAAGTTACAAAATAAACTGGATCTATCCGAAAATTCAATGTTTCCAGCTTCCATACATTTAGTACTCCCACAGTCATGGCACTCATGTCTTGATAATATTATAGCAAGTAAAGCCTAAAACCAATATTTTCCATGATTAATTTTAAATTAGAATGCATGTTACGAGTTAAATTTAAGTGTTTATTATTTAATAAAATAAAAATAACACTTCTAATATTGTGTGGCTGGCATACATTTAGTATGGAGGCTGAAAACATTGAATTTTCGGATAGATCCAGTAAATTCTGTAACCTATTACTTATACCATTGGAAAGAGCTCGTGAAGCACTTTCAGGATCAGTAACCAGTTTTTCGATATCTTGTATAGTTTAGAAATAATCGCGTGAGATCACTTATCGTTTCCACCCTGTATACATATCTTCTTTCTGTACATTTCTGATGTTTGATTTCTGATTACTTAGTCTACGTAGATCGCTGACGCACGCAGTGTCTGCAATGAGGGTTTTCGCGTATGAAAAATGCGCCAGATGGCAATACGTAGACGCGAGGTCCAAATGCTGCATGATTGGTTATTTTTGACATGACATTGACAGATATGTCAAAATCCACCAATCACGCAGCAGTCAGACCCCACATCCACGTCCCGCCATCTAGTGGATCTTTCATACGCGAAAACCCTCATTCTTCAAACAAAATTGAGGGACTATTCTTGTCAATCAACTGACTTACTTTTAGACCCTGACAATAACGGATTTAAATCTCGTCTCATATGATCAATTTTAAGTTTTAATAACTTTTTATAGCTTGACATAGTCAAGTCACCGGTTGCGTTCTATTTATTTTAGGGATCGGTGATGAATCATAAAACTGATATATTTGATTCAGGTCATTAAATAATACAAACTTACCTTCTACGGTATATTATGACAGCAAGCTAAGTTTTCTTAGTTTGTCTTTACCCCACGCTAATCTGTCAAGCTGTTCAGATTAGCATTTTTATGATATAGTTCCAAAATACTGAACTGTCCTACGCATGACATTGACAGTGGGGCGCCACCGTCAATACCGGATCGCTGGTTCCGATTTTTGCCATGTTGGAAACCATATAGTTGAACGATGGTAGCGCCCCCTGTCATTGAGTTTGGTGGGACAGTTCAGCGTGGGTCATCTATACATTATTTTATATCAACTCTCGTTCCGTTTATTACGTTAGTGACGCCGCGCTGCGACTGCGCTTCCAGAAATTATAATTATGTAAAGTAGTGCGGCGAGCGCGCCGCAGTGGTATACTGCCGCGCTAATTTGAAGGCGCTTTTAGCGTTTGAATAAATTCCGAATCAATTCGTGTTCATTATTGAATTGAAAGTCACGAAGAAATGATTAGCTAAGCCTAGGCGAAGACCACCGACTTTTAGTTGGGCGATAGTTGGGTCGGGCTGTTAATCAGTATGGAGATGTATGAAAGTGCGCGCATTACACCAATTTGATATCGGCCGATTCATCATACAAATTAGAATCGGGCCCAACAATTGGCCGATTAAAAGTCGGTGAACTGCGCCTAGGCTAAACGTTTTTTGTCAATCACTAAGTATGTCAGTTGGTCATGGTACTTTTGTACCTTGGAGTAAGATGAAAGATAACTTCATCATTGTCACTTAACAATGAACAAGTTACTTTGATCGAATAGTTTGTGATAAATGTAAGTTAAGTTTTGGGACCTACAGGTGTAGGACGACTACGCCGAATTTTATGCGGCATTTAGTAATAGGTAGTAATCGTAAATTTTCTAAAGACTAATTGATCGGTTAATGATAATATGTAAAACCACACCTAAAAAAACACCGTTAATTACATTATCAAAAAATATTGGACATGTTTATTTTAGTTTCTTTGAAGTTATGATGCGTAGAAGTTCCCCGTTACGTCACAAAGTGCTACACTGTTAAAAGCACGCCTTGACGTCAAGGGGTTCTTTTGACCTGGCGCGCTATATCTTTTTCAACTTTCATTAGTTTGGTGAAAAATACGTGTTGAGTATTTTTTTCTATGTTATACGACGGACTAATTCAAACTTGCTTTTTTACGCAGGAAACATCCCCTATTACTGAAGGGCTTCTCCCTAACGTTGTCTCCGTACAAACGTTAATGTCGTTTGGCTTATGCCCGTTTTCACCATCAATCCCTAATTTTTAAGTGACCCTTATGGTGAAAAATAACAGGAATTTTATTGTCATAGGGGTCACTTAAAAATAAGGAATTGATGGTGAAAACGGGCATTAGTCTCTTTTTCGTTTATAACGTCCAAAAATGCAGTTAATTTAGCTCAGAGGTTTCTTATTTTAATGAAGATATTAACAATATCTTATTAACAACTATAGTGGCAGACATAATTATATTAAAAAACGGAAACGGTGTTAGTGAGTAGTCTACTGGTTTTACACATTATTTGACTAACTGTTGACATTTACCCCCGCATTCTAAGATTTTGCTAACTTCAAGAGAGGATGGGTCAAAGATAAAGTTACACATTCTGGTAATGACATGAACTTTGATATTCCATCCCACTGAGTTGAAAAAAAAATCTTCGAATACGGGTATAGATAGTACGAAGTCTGAAGCAATCTAACACATATTTAAATTGGTACGTGTACAGCATACGATGTAATAAGCAATAATTATTAATTTTCATGTCACTAGGACTGATAATATTATAAGATAAAAATACATAAAAAACACAACTTGTGAAGTAAAAAAAAACAAAAGAGTTTAGGCTGCTCTTCAGTCAAAACTTAACCTGATCATAATAGGGGTTAGACATTAGATTAATTTATCATATCATTTGCTTCGCTAGATTTAAATAAATTTCAATCTACCTAACATTATTTAATCGCAATAATAATTAAGTAATAAGAGTTGCATTAATTCGACAAAACGCGACAATAAATATGTGAAAATTACATCGCTTGCTGTTTTCGTTCCAATATTCAAATTAATTTTATATTCTTCATAATGAATTACCTATATTATTATATTTTTATACCAAATAGTTCTAAAAGAGTGTGAAATCGCATGTCTAGCCTTTCGTACATACATAACCTATGCTCTATATAATAGTAACAATAATAATAGTGTTTAGTTATGAGTTGAGCCCATTTGGAGCTTCATGAGTTCATGAACAGTTCTTCCACCACACCCATGTTTTCATATAAAATATTTTAGAGAAACATATTTAGTGTTCATTGAGTGTCAATATTGAAAAACGTGGGAAACTTCATAATTTCATCAGAAAAAAGTTAAAACCGAAGCTATCTACGCAAGGTAAGGATTTAATGATGTTGCTATAAAAAGTATTTAATTATTATTTTCATAATAATTAATATTAAAGGCGACAAGACCGAAGACGAAAACCGTCATCAGCAGTCCCAAAACTGGCAGCAGATGAAGTTAAAGTCAAAGTAAGATGGCAATGCATGAAAACCGAAAAATTGAAAATACGATATGCATTGAAAAGTACCACATTTGAGCGCATTGTCCTCCTTGCTTAAGGACAATGTTTTTTAAATACTTAATATTTTTTAATTGGATTGCTTAATTCTCTTTACATGCCTCCTGAAATTTATTTAACAATATTTTTCTCATGTTATAGTTGCACTTGGGTCTAAATGGGTTAATAATTGTATCGCTCAGTCTGATATATTATAATCGTAAATCGTATTTACTAATAACATAGTGTACCGAAACTTATGATACATGTTCACAATGTGGATTGGTGTACATCACACTGCCGGTATTCTGACTTATGAACGAACATACTATGTTTGTACAGGGATGATGACACCATCGTATTTGATCTAATACATCTGTTTTACACACATATAAAATACTTGACTATAATGATTATTAAATTATCCTATGCGTTACACAGTTGGATACGTTACTACCGTTGATCGGTAGTGTCATCATATATCTGTAAAACGATGCTATATAAATATAAGTATTTTATATCAAGTCTATAATATTTTCTTTTGACTATTTTTCTGTGTAAAAGCCTAGTCGGAAAATAGACCAGTTTTAAAGATTTTTTTTGAATATTAATTGTATTCAAATTCAGAAATAATTTTTGCATGGGCAATGGAATGTACGATCAAATTATTATTGTATTTTTAACCAAAAGTTTTAATAATTATTTTTGTAAATAATAAATAGAATACTTGTAGCTTTGGTTGTAATCGATTGACAACGTAATAAAAATCGTCTATCAAAATTAGTACAAAAAAAGAGCAATTTAATAGTACGCTTTTAAAGTGTAATAATTATAATTCCTCAAAATGCTATGTTTGGGAATATACAGGTTGTTGCAAAATTAGCTCGTGACACTGACACCAGAAATGATCTTAAGACGCATCGAACAAGTCTATTGAGTAAATTTTTAAATAACTAATATCGGTTTATGTTTTTAAACTTATACAACTTCCAAATTGGACATATTAAGCTTGTTGTGTCGGCCCAGCTACCTCCAGTGTCAGTGTGACGTGCTAATTTTGGGACCCTGTATTAATATATTTTACTACATTATCTTCCTTCGATGATACATTCAGCCTTGTATAATAATAGTATCGAATTATAAAGATTTTCATTATTTTGCAGCTTTTATATAATGGAAAATGATCGGGGTTACATGGAAATTATTTTAATAATAAATAAGTATAATGCGTAGACTAAACTAGAATTTATGTTACATGTTTTGTATGTTTTCAACTCTGAAAATAAAGGTTTTTATATAATTCTTTTCTTTCACTCCTCGTTAAATAAAATGACGGATCTAGCTTTATTGATATTTTTATTATTTAACTTACAAAATGCAATAATCTATCTGTTTCACAAACTTCTATAGTTAAACGGCTTGATATATGTGAACATTAAAAGAAAGTTTTACTTATAACTGGCGCCAACGGATAAATAGTTAAGACTACTTCCAACTGTGGCATCAAACAAAAACGACGTGACACTGTTCAGTGCCCAACGCCATATGATTAGATGACACGCATCTGTGTCTTCAGCCATGTGGAAAAGAAAACAGTATTTTGACCATTTTTACACGTTCAAACCTTTTAGTTTGCATTCGAAGTCGAACGTGAACGGCCAGGCATATTGTTTTATGTTATTAGAAGCAAAATAAGTGTATTTTCTGGAAATGGAGGTTAAGTGACTTTTCTAATACAGTTGTACTAACCCTTTTCAACTTATTTTGCATTTCCTAACGATTTGGTTGATTACGAGGTATTATTAGGTCTAAAAATAATGTTTTGATTTTCCTCATAACAAATTTTAACTATACGAATGTAATAAAACTGCCATAATTATTTGATTATAGTTAATAGATATTCATAAAATAAGTATGTGAAAATTATTATTGTTAGTAAATAAATAAATAAATAAATCTTTGGACAATTTCACACAGCGCCAGCTAGCCCCAAAGTAAGCAACTTTAATGCTTGTGTTATGGGTGCTAGCTTAACGGATATACTACTTATATACTTTTTTTTTAAATACATAAATATTATATAGCCCGACCAGGAACATAAAAACCCTCGCCATATTGCGGAAAACTAATGGTACTAATTTCTTTTAATGGCAACAGTAACTGAAAACTTCATTGACATGTCACCTTGCATGTCAGTCTATTGCTGTCAAAGTGTAAACAAACTTTATTTTAAACTAGCTGACCCGGCGAACTTTGTTCCGCCTTAATGGCAATAAATAAGCAGACTTTTTTTTTTAATTTCGAACGGGATAAAAAGTATCCTATGTCCATCTCCTGGCTCTAAACTACCTCCCTGACAATTTTCAGCTAAATCGGTTCAGCCGTTCTTGAGTTATAAGCGAAGTAACTAACACGACTTTCTTTTATATATATAGATGCGCAATTGATTATGTGAATGAAATTGCTAAAATCTTTTTATAGTCGTGAAAGAAAAGTGGTTCACAATGTGTTAAAGTATTTGTCGAAGAGAAATACCAAGGGTTCGGACCATATTTTCATTGAATAATGTTTCCAACAAAGGTTGTCAAATTGACTGACATGTTTATCGTATAGTACAGTCCACTATGAAAATTAGCTGTGGTTTGTTTCAACTACCTATTTTAAAGTTTTTTGTCACTTTGTAAGTGTTGAATTTTATGGAATTCGGAAAAAGTACCGAGTTTGAAGCGTTCATGAGCAGACATTGCAGTTGAATATTCAAGTTCTGAATTTGATTATTGATGAAAATTAAAATAAATCCTACTAGCTCGATTGATGGTTTCATTTAATTTATTTAAACCAGGTTACCTTATAATCTTTTTCCTTAATTTATGAAAATATCAAATGATTCCGTAATCCTGAATCCTGATACATAAAATTATAGCCTATTAATTTAACACAGGTACGACTGTACTCAGTGTTGCACTATCAAATGCAATTGGCGCGCCTCTATGCCAGGGTTTTTATGTTCCTGGTCAGGCTTATACATAGTCACACCCAGACCCGTTACAGAAATTAAAATTCATCATTTCAATTTCTGCCCGGCCGGGAATCGAACCCGGGACCTCTCGGCATAGTAGTCCGTTCTGAACCACTACACCAAACGGCCGACAAAGTAACAGTAAAAAATAACTTTTTGCCTTTTTTTATGGATAACCATAATAAATTATTATAATGGCAGTCTTAGCAAAATGTTATAAATAATTGAAGTCTATTTATTGTTTAATATTACAATTAACGCAACTTTCAAAAAAGGTTTGTGATCCCTATTTTTTTTTTACAATCTTACAATACCTAGAAACGAAGGCTACGTACATAATGTACGTGGGTAAAATTTCCCTGAACCTGCCTAACGCCACACTCAAAAAAGTGATGACACTGAAACGTGCCATCCGCAACGAATCAGGAAACCGCACAGAAAAAAAAATGGTAGGTATGTTCCGTATTTGCCTCCTTTCTGTTTTTGCCTACTAAAATTTATTATTCCTTTGGAATTCCGCTAGGTATATGTATTAATTGTCTATATTATGCAAAAATTTATTTTAAAAATCATGGTTTTCCAAACAAACGTCCATATTACGGTGGACGTAATTTTCGTAACTTTTCATTCCTCAGCCGAATGATATTAATGTGGCAGAGATGTGTGTTTCAACAAGATGATGTTACCATCCAACCAGCACGCGACACATTCAATTTATTGCGGGAAACATTAGATGAGCGCATAATTTCGCTCGATGGATCTTTGAATTTGCCTCCACAATCGGGTGATCTCACATATATGGATTTCTCTGGGGATATGTGAAGTCCACTACTGCGCAGATAAACTACGGAATTCAATGCCAACATTCGTCGCGTTATTGCCGATGTATGGCCCCAGTTGCTCGAAAAAGAAATTGAAAATTGGCATCTCGATTATGCTACATTTGAGCCAACCGTGGCGCCCTTTGGCCCGAAATCATTTTGAAGCATAAATGGCATAAGAACATCTTTTAAACAAAACCAATACCATGTGAATCAAACATATTTTTACATATTTTATTTCCTTTTAAAGTTGTAACCTCTAAAAAAAACACCCTATATAACAATAGCGCCAAAAAGGTCGCTTCTGCAGAACTAGACGACCGAGAAAGAAATTTGTGTAATAACAAATTACTAATTACCAGAACTTTGACAAATTACGATCTATGTTCACGAAATCCTTATGTTTTCTTTATAATTCAGCCATATTTTCATTTATTACTTTTTGCTGCGCAATACTTAACCGTCTTTCTTTTTCAGATCATGCTGTATTTTTTATTCAACCATTAGGTATGGCAAATCTTTCATAGCCAGGATCATTATAATATTTTATTATTATATCAAGCGTGTCGGATTCGGTTTTAAGTATGAAATCCATTGGTTACTAGTCTAGTAGCAAGCTTTATACCTTTAAATAATTTTATCTGCCTGCTACCAAAATCAAACACATTCGTAAAATACATTTATTTTTGTAGTCTATAAATATAAACAGTTGTCTACACCTATAATTAGTTACAATAGGAATAGATTATTCATACCAATCATATTATCTGCAGAGCCGCTGAGCCTCAAATCCTCAATGGATAATTCCATTCTATGATATGATCATAATATAAATAAGTTATAAACGCATATTTATATACAAACTGTTACGTTCTACCTGACTCAATGTACGGTCAACAGCACGTCAACGTAAACACTGTGGTATCTTACGTAGTTGCGAAGGGGCGACTTTGTAACGAAAATGTATAGCTTGATGTGCTGTCGACTGTACTATAGTTAAATTTGTTTTAACAGCCTAAAAAGGAAGATTTAAAATTCAGTAAAAAATATCAACACTGCGAACTCGCTGTCCACCAGCTAATGTGTTGAATGAATGGAGAAGTGTCTAAGAAAAGAGTTAACATAATGTTAAAATTTCGCTTGGCGCTAAAGATTGCTTTAGGATGTTATTATTTATCATCAGAATATTTTTGGGTAGGTAAACCTACTCTTAATATGCGAACGTAGAAGCTTTTTGTAATATTTATAAAATAACTAGTATAAATCAGTAGTAATATTTCTAATTAATTTATTTTAGCATAACTTGCACACAGCTTCGATGGACAGCGAGCATAAATAATAAATCGCAATGCAAAATTTAATCTGTTATAATACATGAACACTAATGAGTTTATTTTATGAACTAACAATTCAGTCACAAACGAAACATTAAACAACATCGTCAACATCTGCTGGTTGAGAAGCCAGCTTATTCGCCATTGCAGTGAGAATGTCGGTTAGCCTCGCGAATCTCTGGTAGGGGGTGGTTAAGGCTCCCCTCTCTCCCCAGAGGAAGTTGATGTGGAATTCTGTTCTGAATAGTTCCAGTAAAGTGGGGTCGAGGGTCGGACCGAGAGAAGACATCTCCTGGACAACAGTTCTGGCGTTTCTCTTGAAGGTGTCGACTTGGTTTGGGAATTGGCGCGCGGTCTCGAGGTGGGCAGCCGTCGCGTTGAAGTCGAAGTCCAGGGTGTTCATCAGACTGCTAGGGAAGGTGTCGTCTGGCGGCATCAGACCTCCGCCTTCACCGTCTGCGGACACAAGTAAGTGGCTATTAATTAAAAGTTATTTGTCTGCAATTCAATGCAGATTTGAAAGCTATCAAGGTATATCATCAACGAAATATCACAATAACATTTCTTAGGCTAGCTTCTAACAACATTCAAATCCACAACGACAGCTGTGTTTGTATTCCAATACCTAAGTGGACAGACCTGGTGGGTCTGGAGAAGCCGTGTTTAAGTATAATTGTTACTTACCAAATAAATGGAAGCACAGTATAGGAGGCAAGACGTAAGGTGTGGTGGTATTAGGAGGTAAGGGGTTAGTTCCCTCATTCATGCTTTTGAAGCAAGGGCGTAGCTTCGCCTCGAACATGAAGGCATTGTCAGTATACACGCGCCGAAGTATGTTCCATGCATTCTCGAGGCACTCCACCTGGTCAAAAGAATAGTATTAGTACATCAAGTGGCTCTTCTGACACTAAAATACATACTATTTCAAATTATTTCATAGATGTGTATAAGCGAGAGCTTACCTGTGGCATACATAATCCGAACATAATGGCTGAAAAGCCATACAGATTCCCAAGAGCGGTTTTTGTTTCAACTGCCAGCAGTATCCAATCATTGATTGTGTCAGCTCTCTGTCTGTCCGTCTGGCAAGTCAGGATAGTCACGGCAATCAGCAGACGATAAGTTTCCACTCTGAAAAAATACAAATGTAGGTTAGGTATGTTATGGATCATGAATGTTACTATGTATTTTATAACCATTCAGATCGTTACCTTTCAATTACGTCCATTCGCAAAGGTCTGCCTTGCGGTAAGAAGCACAACTCTAAACCTGATGCAGTTTTGTCCAATCCCTCGATCTGAATTGCATCATCCAAAAGAAAATGCAAATCAACCTTCGTCATATGATTCGCCAATATCCGCGGGCCTGATGTCCTGAGGAGCAACTTTATGGTATGCAGCGTTTCAGACTCCAGAGGCTTCGTCAAACCAGTGGGAATTATTTGTGAATGGAAATTCTCCAGATTTATTCTGGAATCAACGACATAGTCCAAGTTTTCTGCTTGCAACAGCCTCGCTTCCGTTAGGTCGTAATCAAATTGCTGCTTTATGGTGGGTGTCACCAAATTGTAGTCCGACTCGATTCGTTTGTTAGGGTCGCTGTGGGCTGAGCTCTGAGTGGAATCCCCCGAACCATTGCCAGAGTCTGATCCAGAAACATGGTACAAACGCTGGAGTTCTAAACGCCTCTCATCGGCTTTTGGTCCGTCGTACCTCGCCGGCTTAGCTGGAGGGCTAGTCGGCAAGTTAGCATCCCATGTGCTGGAACTGGAATTAGATTCGCTGGAAAAGTTTTTGTTGTGCTTGTTCGTTTGACTTTGAATTACCCCGTCGGCGCTAGCGCTTTTTCCGTGGTTAACATGTTGGCCCATATCGATTGGAGTGAGTGAATGTGATCGTTGCTTTTTAAAAGGCACTCTTAGCTGTAATAACCCTGGTTTGGCTGCAAAATGGCTGTAGAGACTGTAAGGGTTGCCGTAATTTGCGGCGTCGCCCACAGGTGACATAGCGGAGCTGACATCATCACTCGGAATGTAATTCGTCAGAGGCACAACACGGTTCGCCGGGTATTGAATCCGGGCCCCTGATGCTGCTGATATGGGCTTCCCTGATCCAACGTATGATGTAATGAGATCTGCTACGGTATCATAAGCTTCATCTTCGAATTGATACTGGTATCTTTCGTATACTGTTTCAGGATGGACTACGATCTGTAAATACATTTGTAACAAAATTACAAGCTGTTGAATTAACTAACGAAATCCGCACGCATATTCAACGTATCTAATTCTCAATATTTTTTTTTTACCATAAAAAACTTGGGATAACAAATTACTATATTACTTAGCTAAGCACAATGTAAGATACAAATAAGTATTTACTCTCAAAAAGTCGCGCGCGCGCGTTGGTCTTAAGTAGGTAGATTATATTAAAATATTCACTTACCCGCTGTATCACGAAATGGAGATGTTGCCCATTAGACCGACAACTAAGGACGTAGTTGTCGGGTTGGGAGGATGAATCCCGAACCAGAAATTCTCTATCTTGCTGCAGAAGGTTTTCAGCTGAAGTGCGACTTAGAGCTCCGTGATACCAGCCATGGGATATAATTTGATCGGATGGCAATGAAAACTCCCATTCCAGCAGTCCAGATGTGGACATGGCACTTGTGTCCTGAAATATTAGAAACGCGTTATAAGAGGGAACGAACAAACGTATTTCAATGGAAGCTTTACTTGAATCAATCGTGAACAAACACATAGCAAAAATAATAGCTACCAGGCTCATAAACGAATACTATCTAGCATACACTTACCATTTCTGGAGGTTTTTTGTTGTTTTATAACGATAAGGTTAAGTTTTTCATGGAAAGTTGTTGCGTCGGGTGTTGTTGAGGGGTGGACAGCCGGCTCCCTGCGCGAAGGGCGGCGCGCGCGGGCGCGGTTTGCGGGGGCGAGAGGGTTGCGATCAATACGTCCCCTAGGCAACCGCCGCCGTCTGCGAGGGCTGAGCAGCTTCGCAATTGCGCACAATTTATTTTCGCGCTTGCGTCTGAACTTTTAACGATTGTTTACATACTTGTTGGTTGTTTTCTTTAAATGACCGCTCTCAATGATATGCATTTTTAGGGTTTAGTTTGGAAAAAGATAATATTTGAAATATCCCTACTTTTAACTATTATCTACACATATAATGATCATTTAATATGTTTTGTCTTTTTAAATAATATTAAAAATTAAAACCAATACAATAGGGCCTGCGGGTGTCTTTGGGCGACGGTAATCATTTACCATCAGGTGATTCGTCTGCTGATTTGCCTCTGTCCCATAACAAATATAATATTTATTTAATTTATAGCATCAGCTAGATTTTTATTTAACTTAACTCATAACATCTAGGAATCAGTGTACAGCGCGGCGGAGACATTTGCACTCTAATTACTCGTACAACATCATGTATAGATGTATCATCTATACAGGTTTTAAAATTATTGGCATCCTTTTAATATACTTAAGACTCTACCATCATAATATAAAAATGAATCGCAAAATGTGCTGGTAAGCGCATAACTCAACAACGCCTGGACCAATTTCAACAATTATTTTTTATGTTCGTTGAAGTCCAAGGATGGCTTCTACGGCGAGATTTGCAAAATTCACCACCTAAGGGGGTAAAACTGGGTCCACGCGTACGAAGTCGCGGGCGGCCGCTAGTTATCTATAAATGCATCCCAATGAGAATGTGGCGTGCATCTTTAGAGACATTCTACATTTATGCAGATGGAAAAATTCAAATCGCTACAACTTCTTAAAAAGCAAATATTTTCGATTTGTTATCACACTTATTTTGCTTATACAGTGTGTCTGGTCACCGGTGTCCGACCCGTTAGGGTGTAATAAAATGATCAATTTTATCGACAAATCCACTGGAATAAAACATTTTATCCCTACTTTTAAAAAATTGCAGCTAATTGTTTTTTTTTTTTGTTTCCGAGTCCAGGCGGATTAATTTATTTAGCAATGTCCACCGATGTGCAGGGCCTATACTAAGCATAAAAGGAAATTCGTTCGACAGCTAGAAGAATAGGCAATAAGTCTTGTAGACATCAACAAAGGACAATGACCAAAAGTGGTCCAAATGTCCACCACTAATGAGACCTATATTGGCTTATCTACCTTCACCACTAATGAGACCTATATTGGCTTACCTATATTGGATATACATTTATTTACTAAGAAAAGTGACGTCCACTCATTTAACACGAGACATAAGAATAAACTTGCTGTTCCATCATTTAGGTTGCATAAGATAGGTAATTCATTCTTGGGGAAATGTATTACCATATTTAACAAAATACCACACAACCTTGTCGAATTGCCAATAAACAAATTTAAGATACATATAAAAAATACCCTTATGTCCAAAGGGTACTACAAGGTTCGAGACTATATTGATGACAAGGATGCGTGGTCAGTTCAGTCTGCACATATTTGATGTACTTAAATTTGACTATTCTTACCGTTAGATAATTCCTGGCAATAAGTGGTGACTGAGTTTGTTCCGGCGTTTCTTCTCAGCACTTGCCATATGTTTGTCTCGAAGCGCTGGTAGGGCCCAAAAGATAAGGAGACATGTAAAGTGCCCCATAAGGGCTACCTTTTTCTTTTTTTCTTTTTTTCTATTGACGTTCATAAGTGCCACTTGTGGTCTAAACTGAATAAATATTTTTGATTTGATTGATTTGATTTGATATAGTCCATTAAATAGAGATTAAATTTCAGTATGGGACGAAAAAAAAATAAGCTGTCAGTAAAAAGTTATGACCGTATGAAAAATTGTAGTAGTTTACACGCTAATCTCAGGAACTACTGCTCTGATTTGAAAAATTATGTTTCTTATGTATAGCCCATTTATCAAGGATGGTTTTAGGTTAATAACATCACCCTACAACCAACAGAGGCGGAGCAGCGACCACCCGACCATAATTCCAATATTGTTGTCTTTCTTCTGAGCTTATTTTTTTTTCTTTTAGCAAGAATCTAACACGGCACACTAAGCGACATGACATAACATGCATAGATTAATCCAAAATGTGCGATGGATAGAATGATATGAAAAACATTTTTCGGATGAAAAGGTGAAAAACATGACTTTTCATTCAGTCATAACTTTTTACTGACAGCATATTTTTGATTGCGGTTTGGTTATAATGAATCAGTATTTAGTAGACTATTTTATTACATAGGTCTCGTTAGTGGTGGACATTTGGACCACACTCCATACATTTTTGGTCATTGTCCTTTATCAAAATCTCCCATTAAAATCTGTAAGAAACACTTGAAATGTAAAAAATATAATAAAAATGATGCTTTTTCTTAAATTTTTCAATTTTCCAAAAAAACTAGAATGTAAACATACTTTTTTTTCCACTTTTTAGATGCACTAAGTCATTACCTAAAACTGGTGTTAATACCTTAGCTTTAAGTCAACTACTTAGTCTAGGCGTTATGAGTTTAATTGAATATGACTCCATCAAACGCGAGTTCATCCCGACACACAGTATGTTATGAGACTGTATAATCGGACATTCTCATTTATTTGATGAACCATAGGTATAGAGATCAGTTATACAAACATGATATTAAAACTCCCGTTTGAAAATTCCACGTAGTTTTCGCGGTATGAAAATTCAAAGTTACCTATTTTTTGACTTCAAAATTATGCAAAAATATTCTCACTCGTTAACTAATAACATTTAATTCAGAAATGTTATTAATACTTTTTAGAGCTCTTAAAACTACACGTAATAAGCGTACCTATTAAGTGCTTCGTAAACGCATTCAGTTAATTAGGAAAAATGATTTTATTTAACGCTTATTACGTGCAGTTTTAAGAGCTCTATGAAGTATTGTAAAATTTCGGAATTAAATGTTATTAGTTAACGAGTGAGAATATTTTTGCTTAATTTTAAGTAAAAAAATAGGCAACTTTGAATTTTTCTACCGCGAAAACTACGTAGAATTTTCAAACGGCGGTTTTACTATCATGATTGTTTAACTGAGCTCTATACGAGTACGGTTCATCAAATAAATGAGAATGTCCGATTATACAGTCTATAACACACTGACAGTAGGTGCCCCTACTACTACGCTTAGACTAGTTGACTTTTAAAGCTAAGGTATTAACATGAGTTTTAGGTAATAATGACTTAGTGCATCTAAAAAGTGGAAAAAAAGGTTGTCGATAAAATTTATCATGTTACTGCACCCTAACTTACGGTCTAACGGATCGGACACTGGTGTCCGGACACACTGTATAATCAGAATATAATATGTAAAACCCATGCGCAAAAAAAAATACATCCTTACATTCCCCAAATATAAAATCCCATCAAAAACAATACTTGTCAAAAAAACCAAGTCTCGCAACTCAGTTGTTCTACGGTAAAAAGTTGTGAGATCCATGTAATACCAAGTCCAGGCCAGGAAATCTTTAACGTTTTATTTAAATTATTGACTTGGCCATCGCACTAAATAATTTAATTTACACGTGTTTTCAAATATTTTAGTTTTTCCTTGATTCATACACCAAACACTACTTATATTCCAAATTTGAAGCTTCTAGGTCTGCTAGAAGTGCCTTAGAATTTTGATGATCGGTGAGTCAGTCAGTCAGTGAGTGACAAAATTAAAAAAACTTTGACCCGTTATAATTCTTAAACTACTGGTTCAAATTGAATGAAATAAGTATACCGTGTCTTTACAATGCCTGCATAGCTAATGAAAATTCAGCCTTCTAGTTTTATCTACAACGAAGTTACAGGCGGTCGAAAATGGCCAGAGCCCCGATTACGGTAATTTTTAACGTCAACAATCCAGACACGCTTCTCGATTCTGCGATACGATTGGTCGTTCAACAGCGTACGTCAGCTGTTTTGACCAATCGTATCGCAGAATCAGAAACGTGTCTGGATTGTAGACGTTTTATAAGTTACCGTAATCGGGGCTCTGAATTGCTTCGAGAAAAGGATGGTACGGCCGTGCCGCTTTTTTGCTCGACTTGGTGGGGGCACTGCCGTGCCCCCAGACAAATCCAAACAAAATTGCATTAATTTTAAACCTTGTATAGACGACATCAAGCTTTACACTGTGGCAAAGTATTTCGATATGTGTTGCAGTCAAAACTCATAATCAGTCAAACAAAACCACTTTTGACAAAAGAGTAAAAATAAAGACAAAAAATTATTTGGATTTGATTTGTCTCATATTTTTGGGGAATGTACTCGTATTCATTAATAAAGTTTATTATTTTTAAAAGATACTAATGATTTATCACCGTGTAGAATATAATAACTTATCAAAATTGCAATAATTAAAACCTTGTATAGACATCAAGAAACCAATAACTTTTATTTAAATCTAAATAGGTATCTACCTAACAAAAGCGTAGCATGGGCAGGTCTCCCACTAGGTGGACCGACGATCTGGTGAGGGTTCGGGAAGAACCTGGATGCGGACAGTGCAGGACCGGTCGTTATACATAGAAATTAGAAACCCTTGGGGGAGGCCTTTGTCTAGCAGTGAAATTAAATTAAATAGTTTATTCAGTACATAGGCCCCTTTCAGGGCGCATAAACGCGTCCCAAATATAGCTTGCCCTACCACCACATCGGGGTAACATATGGGCTGGTGCTGAGAAGAAGTGGCGGAAGAAACTCAGTCACCTTTGTCAGTCTCTTTTTCAATCAAATACAGTAAATTTTATTACTACCATGACACGTAATACCTAAGTGCGAGCTAGTCAGGTAAAGTCCACGCACTCTTGTCATTAAAATAATCGTTTACCTTAGAAGTACCTATACTTTTTTCATAAGGATTTTCTTAACCTGTACCTACTGAATTTGTGAATTGGTAGTTCTATAACAGTTTGTGGCTGAAACAACTACGACGACGACCTAACAAAAATAATGTGCATTACCAGGATACCTCTTACTTATGTAAAATAACAGACTCCAACAACAACAACGGATCCAGTGCGTCGTTTGAACACCCGCACCAAGGGTTCCTTCATAAAATATGGAACACCTAGAACTTTATCTTTTTATTTATTTGATCTATTCTAGTACTTTCATAAATTGACCATACAAAAAATGTCAAGAAAAACGTTCCTGGCATAAAATTTTAGTTTTATTTCGTTCTTTGTTCTCATAGAGACAACAGAAATATAGATTTTGTGAAAGTCTCGACGAGACACCTGCGTAGGTGTCCTCCTCCTTCGTCTGACTTTCTATCGGCGCCGCGTCCCCGGCGACAGAATGTCAGACGAAGGAGGTTTATTAATAGACACCCTTTGGGTACGAATCCTTGAACAACCTGGGTACACGTGCCAGAATGAAAGCCTTATTCAACTGCGCAACTGCGTAGGGAAAATCTTTTCGACACGAGGCAGTATTGAAATTAAAAGTTATTTTTGTTTTCTCACTTCTTTTGTTTTAAAAAAAACAAAGAAAAAAGCCTTTTAGAAAACTCTTTCGTTTGTTCCTTTCAGCCAAATGACGTCAACTACTGGACAAAGGCATCCTTCAAGAATTTCCACAACGACCGGTCCTGCGCCGCCCGCATCCAGGCACCTCCCGCGATCTTCACCAGATCGTCGGTCCACTTGGAGGGTGGCCTGTCCACACTACGTCTTCCGGCACGTAGTCGCCATTCGAGAACTTTACTGCCCCATCGGCCATCAGCTCTGCGAGCTATGTGCCCCACCCACTGCCACTTAGACTTTATCAACTCGGCCGGCTAGAAGTAATAGAAGGAACAGAAAATAAAGTAATCGAGTTAAATTATCCAGAACACTACTGTTTGTTACCAAAACTACCAACTTACGTTTTGGCCCATTGTCAAACAATTGACTGGAATCAAACGTCAACATCGTCTCATAAGTGCGTACGCGCAACAGACAGCCGGTAAAACAATTCCTTGTTGAAAGTATTGTCTCTAAACATCCCCCAACACCGCTACCATGACCCAGTCGCCTTCCGAGCTATGGCGCGTAAAAACCGATTTTGGACTCTTGGAATTCTATTTTTCATATTACCACTCCGAATTTATTGTTATGAAAAAAGTAAGTTTAACTTTACCAATCACAATTTATTTTCATAAGACGATTAGTTAATTTAAAATGTTGTCAAAACCATTTTGCAGCCTTACGAAAAATTGTGAGAAATCAATCAAAAATGGTCCAACGACCGTTCAGTGATGATAATCCCGGAGGTAGCATAGTTTGGAGAAATACATCACAATTTCAACCCAAACACAATGAAGCTTTAATGCCCCCTGGATACGCTCAAGTGAAAACTCTCTTCCACAAAATGCAGCGCCCAAAAATGTCAACCATTTTGTCATCAGTGGAGACTGGCAGAGGAAAATCAACGTATTCCAAAATGAAAATAGCGAGGAATGAAAACCCCCTAGAACTGAGACTGGCAAGAAACACATTTAACAATATAACAATGGCCCTACTACAGTCATCTACTGAAGAGAGCATACTTTTTCAACCGCCAGGAGCCAAAAATAATAGTTTTCCAGGAGAAGTCACTGTGGAATCATATTATCAAATACCCTCGCCTTCTAAATTTTTTCCATCTGTCGACGATCGTGACCTACAAAGTGTTGAACAAAAAATCAACACCAAAGACAACACTATTGTAATCCCAGCCCGTCCAGTTGAAAAAGATAACAGTAGTATTCTGGTTAAAGGTATATTTATAGCAGATGCTAATGAGAAATCACCGAACGCGGTAAGCGATTTGCGGAGTAGTGGTACTAGTGGTAATATGATAAGTTCAGAAAATGATGAAAAAGCTGATTTTTTGCTGGAAGAACTCTCGGGAGATGGTTCTTTCGGTTCCAGATACAGCTACAACGTTACGACCAATCCATATACTTGTGTGATTGTGCAGGGAAACAAAGCTGACATCGATGCCCAAGCTCAGTTTTCAAGTTTTGACATAGAGGTACACTTTATATTATTTCTCTTAAGAAATTCAATTATTAAGAATAAAAGTTTTCATGTTTTTCAAACCTTTTATAGCCTTCGTGGGTAGTCAAGAGACAGTATTGGGATTACATTTTTGACAGTCGCTATGAAGCATTGATGAGAAGTCCAAAATGGCCAGCTTTAAATGTAAGAATTATTAAAAGTTTTTTTTTAAGTTAACTCATTTGTTTATGTAGCATTCAATAGTTAACTTATCTGTATCATTTGTCATCTCCAGGTGATTTTGTTACCGATTTCTCACGTGGATTCCATTTGGAAACGGTCCTTTGAACATTATCACAACAACACTGTCAGTAAGATTATTTCGAATATAGTGAAGAAACTTCAATTTTACAACAAACTTACTTTTACTTGGAATGAAGTGTCGCACTTAAGTCAATGGTGGAAAAGGACCTCACAAAAGAGTCGTTCGGTAACTACTGTCGTTAGCACACTTGCCATATTCATTACCTATTCATGAACCATACCTAAATTAATATTTGCGTTTTTGATATACAGGTTTTACGGAAATTAGTTAAAAGTGGAAGATTAGAAATAACCACAGGAGGCTGGGTTCAATCGGATGAAGCGTCCACTCATTTATTCGGACTAGTCCATCAACTCATTGAAGGTTTGTGTTTATTGTAGCCTTAAATATTATCCTACATTTTGCAATAGCGGCGCAATTCAGAATAAACCTCTTTTCAGGTCATCAGTGGCTAAAAAACCATTTAAATTACACACCTAAAGTTGGTTGGCTTACGGACAGCGTGACTCATAGTCCCACGATGCCGTACCTACTCTCTGCGGCCGGGATTTCAAAATTCATCATCACTAACGTCCATTACTCATGGGAACAGTTTCTTGCTGAATTTCAGATCAGCGATTTCATTTGGATACAGAATTGGGATAACGACAAGAATACCGCAAATCCCCTGAATCAAGAATTAAATAAGATCGGCAACGAACGCTATCCTAAAAACTCGGTGTTAACTCACTATTTGCAGTTCAATTACGATAACTTCAAAGCTTGCGGACCTAATAAAAACGTGTGCTCTGGAGAATTTGACTTCAATAAATTGAACAAAAACACAGATATACATACTTATAATGTTAAGCAAAAATCCGAAAAGTTACTCGAACAATATTCTAAAACGGGAACTATCTCACCTCATAATGTGGTCATCGCACCTCTAGGCGGGCCATATCGGTATGAGTTTCAAACAGAATTTGACTATCAGTACAATAACTATCAAAAATTGGCTGATTTCATAAATCTTAACACCGATATTTACAAAGCGAACATTGACTTCGGCACACCGAGTGATTACTTTAATACGATTCTAAGTAAACATAAGGCTTATCCTACCTTACAAGGGGATTTTTTGAATTTTGCTGATATAAAATCGGGAAGTCCAGCTTATTGGACTGGCTTCTTCACTTCCAGACCTCTACTTAAAATATTAATTCGACGACTTCAGTCCACGTTACGTTCCACAGAAATATTACTTACATTCGCGATCAATTACAACGTTTTTACACGACATAATTCGACTAGTCTCTTAGAACTCCTGACCAAAGCAAGGGAAACTGTGGCGAGACTTCAGGACAGACATGTAGTAGGAGGTACTATAGCAGTTAACATCCTTCAGTATATCTATAAAATAATTCTATCTACAGTCAAGGACTGTTGGCACATCCAAGAAGTCGCTGCGAGTTTATTGACTATGAAACCAGACAACAGTTCACCATATCTACATAAATTAGTCTACCGAGAAGGAGAATTCATCTCTGTTTTTAGAACAGTTGATGTTGGTGATCAGATATACGTATTCAATTCCTTAAGTCAAGAAAGAACTGAAATCGTAGAGCTAATAACAAAACATCCAAACATTAGGGTGGTTGACCATAATAAAAAAGATCTTACTATCCAGATCAATCCGGTCTGGACTTACAGTTCCGATAATTATATCAGGATTTCAAATGTTTTCTACAAAGTTATGTTCGCCATAGTTGTGCCACCTATGACTTTAGAGCTATACAAGATCAAAGAAACTTACGATGCCACAAACAATGCAGCCACGATATATTGTGTGCATTGCACAATAGACAATTTTGAAAGTCAAACTTCCGTATTTCCCTTTAATATTCTACCACTTCAGCCCGGTGATATACAGCTGGAGAGTTATAAACACAGAATCATTATAGACGAGCTCACTGGATTTCTAAAAACTGTTATAGAAAAGGAAACCAATACAGAGAAGACAGTTTTAATTGACTATGGAGCATTCAAAAGTGCTGATGTCAACGCTGGCATATTTCTGTTCAATACGAACGTTACAAGACCTCTTCATGACATATTGTTGCCTTTCAGAGATGGCACTAAAACCAAAGTATCAATAATAATTGCTGGACAAGTTACTACTGAAATGTCTTCAGTCTATGGGCGTTTACTGCAGCATACTGTTAAATTATACAATCTTGTAAACGTTCCGTTAGCCAAGTCTATCTACATCGAAAGCAAATTGGATTACGAAATATCTCCGAAAAATAGAGAACTCGAAATTTTTCTATCCATCAAAACTGAAATAGCCAATGGTAACCATCCTGAAATATACACAGATAATAACGGATTCCAGCATACTGCGCGAATTTTGAATATAAGTAGACGAATAGAGTCAAATATTTACCCTATAACAAGTATGGCTTTCATACAAGACGCCAAAAGCAGGCTCACCTTAATTACTGATCATGCTCAAGGGGTGACATCATTACAAGAAGGCCATTTGGTTGTGATGTTAGACCGAAGGGTGCTTTTCAACGACGGCAGGGGTACACAGGAAGGTCTAGCAGACAGCACTACGACATACCATCGACATTTCATTTTGCTCGAAAACTTTGTAGACTCATCTAACCAATATAGTCAATACATATCGCGCTCGGAGCTGAAGTTGCCTAGCTTTTCAGCTTTGTACCTTGCCAACTCTGTAGACAATATTCTAGACCTATTCGTAGTCGATAAGAAGCTCGCGGACTTGTCTCATTATGCGTTCCTTCCTTTGATCAAGACTTCATTTCCATGCGATGTTACAGTTGTTAATTTTCGTACTATAGTAAACAGGCATTCTCTGCAACTTTTCACACCAAATATGGCGTTACTAGTGCTACAAAGGCAAAGTGTTTCTTGTAGAATCGACAATGCTGCTCAACTAAATTGTAATGGAGACAGTAGTTTTTCGCTGGAGAAAATTCTGCGTAACGTAATTGCAGTGTATCATACTAATTTGGTTGGAACTAATGAAGGGGTACCTATAGGCTACATCAATCAGGAGAATTTCCCACCCATGGAATTGATGACTTTGAAAATATTTTTCTAAATAGGTACTCTTGCTTGAAACTTATCAAGACTTTCTCCAACTATTTAAGCCGTGAAGATAAGAATTTCAAACTGTCAATAATTGACTAATCAATGGCCTGGAAAGCTAATGGCTTTATTGTGTTGAATATATTAGGCGTTAATTCGGCGTTAGGCGAACATTTCTACATTTGTGAGCGTATTAATTGCTTAGATTCGCTAACAGTAGAGTGGCAATTAAGATCAGCTTTTTATTATGTTCAATGCCGGATCATGAGGTTCGATACTTCACCATGATGCGGCCTGGTTAGGTCTTCAATAACCATGTCTTATTGTAGGAAGGTAGTCTTCTGCAGGTTGTTCTAGACAATAAGAGGGTATTTTTATTTGGTACTCCGAGATCAGGCTTGAATAGAAGTCCCTGTAGAGCTCGTCATCGTTTACCGTCTTTTTTTAGGAAGTTTTTACTTTATTGTACCTGAATCCTGAAACTCAAAGTTAAGTCCTAGAAACTGCAAGGCGCAGTTATGCCCAGTTTTTCATGACCTCGCTAGTAAATAAGAAGAATGTGATGAGATGAAGTAAACTGTAAGTAGTTTCGGGATTCAGACCTCAGAGTAGGCACTTAGGTTGTATAGTTTTAACCGACTATTCCAATAATTATGTTCGAAGTTATACTTGCATGATCAAAACTGCAAATTGTTATTTATATTCTTAAAATTGTAATAAAACCGTTAATACGTGTTTAAATAATTACCCGCATTTTATTCAACTATATTCCTACTTTAATCAATAAAAAAAATCCGAGCTAAGATGGCCACCCCCTTTAAAAGAGTAATTTTTTTAAAGGGGGTGTTTAAAGTTAGACGACAAGATGCGTAATTATGTATCAACTAAATTCAAAATAAATGCTTCGATCGATCGAAATTATATCGTGGCGCACACATCCTAACCTTGCTGGAATTCTAAACCTGCCAAGTGTTAATTGAAATTGCAGACGAAGGGTCCCATCGTACTAGATCTACTTTTACCTACTCTCCAAGATTCCTAAATCGAGTAGAAACAAAAACTGTTAGGTCCTACCTACTTAGTGTGTAGGAGGATTTGTTTTGCATTTCCTCACATTTTTACTTGTTAATAAGCGAAAAGTGAAATACCTGACATGTGAAAATTCGAAGTAGCCATGACTTTACTTCCCTGACTCTTTAAATACTCTTCATGGAGAGACATTTTAACAAGTGGGAACAAAGGATACCTTCCCTTACCCTCTTGACAACAGATACATAAACAGCGGAGGCAAATTACTTAATAGGATCCCATTACTAATTATAAGAAATAAGAGAAGGCCGACCCCCTCCCGAATATTTATTACAGAATCTAAAGGAAAAAATGAATAGCACACGTACTTACCTATAGTACCTTAAACACAAGCGGGGAATTCCGCCCGAGGCGCAGTGCAGATGGAGCGAGAGTTTTTCTACACGCATCCGAGCGAAAATTTTAACTTTATGTATTTTTGTAAAAAAAAAATTAATTAATAAATACTTAATGCCTTTAATATGAGCCAAAAACAGATGATAATAATATTAATAAAAAATATGCTTTTGCTTGATAAAACCGTAAGGCGATGAATACTTAGGTATCAATCGCCAAATCACAAAGCAATAAATTCATTTCGCTATTTGAATCGAATAAAAAACTTCGTTAGTTTGTTGGTAACTGTAGTGTTGCCTAGTGAAGCCTACCTAGGTATTTTCAGATGTAAGGGTTCCAAATGAATTTCACATTCACAAAATTGGTTGAAGATACTTTATTTCTCTTCTAGAATACAAAAAAAACACAGAAAATAGTATCATATGTTATACATACGAGTATAAGTTATAGAAATATCGTATAGTAGGTACAAATTTTCGGGGTAAATTGTAAAGTTTTCAGTCAGAATTTAGTGTGATACAATGCAATAAATAAATACCTACAGATTTGGTTCGTACAAATGTACTTTGACACAATTTAAAACATTTTTAAAAGTGGATAAAAATATAACATAATTTGGTAGTAGGTACATTTACATACTTTTAGCATTACAATGTCTCCTTTAATTCAAACAATGAGTAAAACATGTAAAAAATATTCCTGATTATTAATTTTGAGACATGTTTTTACATTGTGAAGTAGTAAAATAAATACACACATTGAATGGGATATTGGTTATTACACTTATATGGTACGTGGTTATATACGGATAATACTGAATACCAATAATCATCGTATTTATACGACGTAAGTACCTTAAAATCTAAACAGATCTTGAGACGATACAATGCTCAAGATGCTGTTTGTATATCCACGCTACGCGCCTGATTCGCCGACGCAGACATCGCCCGGCTCCAAGAAACCTCTTCTTCGTCAGCCGTCTCCAGAAGACGCTCGATGGCTGCCGGCGAAGGAAGGTCCGAGTAGGTGGATTTAAAAGGCGGTCTTGTACAACAAGCCGCAGGTTGTGCACTTCTTGATAAACATCAAGTTTTTCAAGGGGTCATCTGGATTAGTCGACGACACAGTGCGCTCACTCCTAAAGGTGTTGGCCATATCCACCACCTTATCAAACGTCAATTCAGAAAGCTCCAGTTCCAGCAGCCTCTCCCGATCCGGCCCGTTCAGCATGCCCATCAAGAATCGATCGCGCAGCATCTCATCTAGTATAGTTTTAAAATCACAAGGATCAGCCAAGTCTCGCAGCCGGTGAGCCCATTCTGAATAGGACTCCCCTTCTACCTGAACCGCTGCGTAAAATCGAGCCCGCACACTGAAATTCATACTTTCTGCTGTGGAGACTTGATTCTTCAATTCTTCAGCGCGGGCGAGTTGGGCGACAATGGAATTATGTTTTGCAATTATTAATCTTTTTGCCAGACGAATTATATCGTAAGAAACTAACCACTTCTCTAGCTTGGCTTTGGTACGCGTATCAAGGGGACTTTTGTCGTCCTCGGAGTGCGACTCGCGTGGAACGCCCATTACTTATATTTGAGCAATGTAGGTAGATACCGGCACCACTCAATTTAGCTAGGGGTCGCGCAGGGGTTTGCGCACTGATCGATAAGGAGTCAGTAGTGAGGAGGGTGTATTATTTAATTCCCACTGCATTGAAATTTCGAATGAACTACTTGGAATGCTTAGTTGATCACCTACCATTCAAGATGACAATGTGACAACAATAGATTTTGTGATTCATGATGCTGCAAGACTACTAAGTAAATTAATTACTAAGCAACATCTTTGATTAACAGAATGACGAACACTATGGAACTCAGCAGGAGCTTTTATTAAGCCGCTCAGTACTTACCAAACGGTTGCCTATTTCTGCAATTTGTTGCACCTTTGTATTTATTTTATTTTATTTTATTTTACTTAATTTATTTATATTCAGATAGCTGAATCACCCATCAGACAGCATCCAAATCTAACTCGGGAGCTTGCATCACTCATTCATATACAGGGTGTGGTTTTGTAAAACAACGCCCATCTCAGGGGTGGTAGTATACCTACACGACACTGAAGCCAAAAAAAACAAATAATGGTAATCCGTGAATTCAGAAAAATGCTATTTTATTACGCGGGCGAGCTAATCGGTCAGTCCCCCCGCTCTCTCGGGGAGTCTCTGCTCGGTGGTGTAGCGGGGTACGCGGGGTTGGTGGGGGCAGTAACAAGCGCCGTCTCGAAAGTTTTAGGAGACGTTTGAACAAGGTCTTTTACTAACAAAGTAGTATTTCAAATTGTATTTCTATTTTTCTTGTAATTACTTTCATGTGTATCTACCTACCTACCACTACCCCTGAGATGGGCGTTGTTTTACAAAACCACATCCTGTAGGTACTTATCCTATCCTATCCTACTAATATTATAAATGCGAAAGTTTGGATGTCTGGATGTTTGTTACTCTTTCACGCAAAAACCACTGAACGGCTTTTGATGAAACTTTTCAGTAGCTATTATTGTTTATAACCCAGAATAACATATAAATTTATGACAATCTGTGACAAACGAAATTTCACGCGGGTGAAGCCGCGGGCAAAAGCTAGTAGAACATAATATGAACCGGCAGACCCAAAGTTCCAAGACCCATTCTCCATTATTGGGCAATGGTGTCAAATAGAGAATGTACTACGTGTGCAAAATCACTTGAAACCTTTGTTACAGTTAAGTTTTTACATTTATACAAATTCATTTGTTTTTATTTCATTCAAAAATACCAAGTAGGTGGTAAATCAGTTATGATTTTATAGGCATTCATCAAAAAATTCAAAGTTCGCATAAAAAATATCGAGTCCCGCCAACGGTCACGTGACCCCGTGTGACTTGGTCCGCTCAGTCGCTATACTCGTAGCAGTTGTAGGTATCTCGCGCAGTGTTTTGTGTTCTGTTGTTGTGTGTTATATGTGGTAGGTATTTAATTAAAAATGGATGAAGGATTCGAATACTAAACGAACGAGCCCAAACTCGATGTAGTTAAGTTGTTTTATTCCGGAGTTCCTATAGCCACCTTCCAGCTCCATCATCAGATCAGCTCCATGTTATCACAATATTGCATGGTCATCCGACATGTAGGTATATGCGAAAAGACAATGCCGGAAATTGGCGTCTTTTTTTTTTCGCGCGGCCATCGACCAAACTTTGTTTTTTGATTACAAAATAGTGTAGGTAATAAACCAAACTTACTATGACATGTATACCTCTAAACTCAGTCTGAACTGAGTTACGAGCATTAGAAGTTTGATGATTTTCATACTAGATTTGCTTTTTGCGCGCAAAGTTTTCTAACAAATTGCAACAAAATAGTGAGATTGTATGTGTAAACAAACAATACCATCCATTAAAGGCTCCAGACATCAGTATGGAGCAGAATCAGCCCAATAAAAAAATAGCGCAATATTTTGTTGCAATTTCTTACAAAACTTGCGCACAAAAAGCAAATCTAGTATGAAAATCATCAAACTTCTAATGTTCGTAACTCAGTTCAGTTCAGACTGAGTTTAGAGGTATACATGCCATAGTAAGTTTGGTTTATTACACTATTTTGTAATCAAAAAACAAAGTTTGGTCGATGGCCGCGCGAAAAAAAAAGACGCCACTTTCCATACAAAATCTGGCATTGCCATTTCAGCTTAATCTTGCAAGTTGAATTAAATTAAGTGGATTTAATTCAACTTGCAAGATTCCACATTCCATCTATATGTTACGGTTAATGTGATAAATTGAAAATTATTAATAATAACCGGTTATTATGAATAATTCCCGACAGTCGCGGTGAAAGTGATAAATTAATCACATTTAACAGTGATTATTTAATAATTCAACCTTAGTACTAACAAATTTCATAAAAGAGAACAACATCTTGTGTACGTGCTCGTGTACAGCCAAACTTTTGAACGTTTTGATATCATATATTAATATAATTTGGCATAATGAGTTTGAAATGTTTTTTGCATAATATTACTTTTCCATGATGCCTATAACATAATGTTTTGATTTAAAGTGAAAAATAGGTTAAGGTGCGGCGGGGGTGGCCCTTGGGCCACCCCTAAGCCGCCTATTTAGTTTTATACACACATAAATGACCTCATATTAATCACATTTACCAAATCATGCGATAATTATTCATAATAACCGGCGATTATTCATAATTTTCACATTTATCACTTTGACCGTAACATATACATATTTTGAGCCAGTACTATAATATGACATGACGTCACGCGTATGTGGCCCGGACCTTTAAAATTTAATATCTTGGAAACTAATGACGTATCGAAATAATTCTTTCACGTGTATTTTTTATTTTTAACAGAGAATACAGAAAGCTGAAAAACAAAATTAGTGAACATTCTCTATTATATTATTTTTTTATTACATCCAGTAAACTGGAAGGAAGAAAACCATGCAAAGAAATTAGCTAATTAGTAAAGTCGACTAACTGTTCAATTGAATTGTGCGTGTTGAAAGCGCACATCACTATGAAATTAGTTGACTTTGACATTTTGTCTATGGTTTGCTGGTGGAACTGACATTTGTTTGCTTGGTTGTCTTTGGTCACCACTAGCCTGACAAGTTTGACGGTATCACATCACTATGTACTGTAATACCGATTGCTCTTCTTCCTCCGCAAAGAAATGAAAGTTCGACGCGTAACATATTTTTCGCATATATTCTAAAAATGTAACAATTTAATAATTTCGAAGTGAATAATAGTGCGAGTGCATACATATTACTATCCTTGAAAGATTTTATGAAGTACTGGAGTTATTTAATTTGATAAAAATAAATGAGACAAGGAATGAAACAAGTACCTTGTTTGCCTTCCAGTCTTTGTCCCTTTGATCTGTTTTATTCAGTGAAGGGTATTTATTTATAATGGGGTTGTTGATTTCGAAAATTTGGAGCCTCTTTGGAAACGAGGGTAAGTCGTATTTTATTCGTATTCTAAGCCATGATGAAAAGTAGAAGGTAAGGTAAGGTATTTATGTAAAATACTTGCCAGAGTAGTAAATTAAGGACTCTATTTTATCTCAGTAATTGCTCGGTTGTAAGTTGAACAATGTTGATTAATTCTTCATGTTAAGAAAGTGCTACTGAAAAGTAGGTTAATGTGAACCTACTTTCTAACCTTTAACATTTATGTTTATTCATTAAAATATCTATGTTTATAATTAGTTTTTAAAGGAAACAGTAACATTGTTCTCCCTTCTGTTCTGTTGAAGAAATACAGCAGATAAACATAGTTAAGTTAATGATATTGATGAATACTTGGTGTTTTATTCATACTTTAATCTATATTAGCCTGACAAAATATTTGAGTTCCAGGCAAGTCAAGCCAGGCATCGTCAAATAGGTACATGTAAAAATAATATAAATATATTTATTTACAGAACACAAGTTGGTCTTGGTCGGACTTGATAATGCGGGCAAGACTACAATCCTCTACCAACTGCTACTCGGCGAAGCGGTGCATACCAGGCCGACTATCGGGTCTAACGTAGAGGAAGTGATCTGGCGGAACCTACGCTTCGTTATGTGGGACCTGGGAGGACAACAGAGCCTGCGGTCAGCGTGGAACACCTACTACACAAACAGTGAAGTATGTTTATAACTTTAATACTAACTGACCCGGCAAACTAATGCCTACCTTCATCAGAAATAATGTACGATTGAAATAATTTTTCAAATCAGTCCAATTGTTTCAGAGCCTATTTAATTCGAACATAATCAAATCATTCCTCTAAGGGCTGATTTTTCAATCCTCAGATATCTTTTATCTGAAGAATAACCTTGTCATTTTGACATATTTCCCATACTGAAACTGTCGATGTGCCAAACTTATTCTTCAGATAAAAGTTATCTGACGATTGAAAAATCAGCCCTAATTCGTATAATAATAATAATATAAGCCTTTATTACTGGATTACAAGATATTTTACAACATTAATTAACCATTTCATTTTACAATTTAGCTGCATTCATCTCCAGTTTGTCCTTGGACATAGGCCTCCTCCAATGATCTCCATGCTTCTCTGTTTCTAGCAATTAGTATAGATATAGATTAATTTTGGCCCACCAGTCAGACAAGAACTTGTCATTATAAATAACATTAAACAGATTGACAGATTTTTAGAAACATTTTGGCCTTTGATTAAAAACAAAAAAAAATAAAGGTTAATGAACACATTATAATGAACAGTCTTAGTCCAGTCAATAAAGCATTATAGATGGAAAACTGTAGAACACAATTTCTGACTTCAGGACTTTATTTAGCCTAGTTAGGAGGTGAACATAGCAAAAGTCCCCGCCCTTAGCCCTTGAGCCGGCGGGGAGAGGGGGGTTTAAAGGTGCCACTTTTCGGTTTTTCGCTTAAACCTCGGAAACTATGCGTCTTAGTGACATGACTACTTTGAACCAAAAAAAGCATATTCAATTTGCTACAGATGAGATAGACAAGTTTTTCTATAAATTGTATAGTTTTCGCGGCATCTGCTCTAGAAGGTCTGTAATATTGGAAATTTTATTTTTGTCTTACATGTTCCCATCAGGAGAAAATCGACTAAATCAACATTGAGCAATCATTCTAGACATGCGGGAGCATGTTAAGCCTAGTTCCAGCGAGGGGACTACACCGTGCGTATATTTAGACGAATCACTTTGAGCCACTTTTGACTCCTCATCACTCAAAAACTACTGTGCATTAACACTTCAAATTTGGCTCATGTGTTGAGACTTGCAAGATATACATCAGTTTCAAATTTCATAAATATGCCTCAAACGGTTCTTTAGATATTGACGTCCAAAAATCTACATGTCTGACCTATAGACCAAATTCTAACCACTTCCAGATGACCTCGAAGGTTCAAATTTGGCATCCAGAAAGGTAGTTATGTAAATACAAAGGAACAAATAAAAAACCAGTAAATTTTAACATTTCACATGTGATAGATAGATAGTAGTGCTCTAAATATCGATTTTTGAACGTCAATACCTAAATAACCGTTTGAGGTATATTTATGAAATTTGAAGCTGATGTACATCTTGCAAGTCTCAATACATGAGCCAAATTTGAAGTGTTAATGCACAGTAGTTTTTGAATGATGAGGAGTCAAAAGTGGCTCTAATTGGTTCGTCTAAATATACGCACGGTGCAGTTCCCTCCATGGAACTAGGCTTAACATGCTCCCGCATGTCTATAGTGTTTGCTCAATGTTGATTTAGTCGATTTTCTCCTGAAAGGAACATGTAAGACAACAATAAAATTTCCAATTTTACAGACCTCTTAGAGCAGATGCCGCAATAACTATACAAGATATAGAAAAACTTGACTGTCTCACCTGTAGCAAATTGAATAAGCTTTTTTTGGTTCATAGTAGTCATGTCACTAGGACGCATAGTTTCCGAGGATTAAGCGAAAAACCGAAAAGTGGTACCTTTAAACCCCCCTCTCCCCGCCGGCTCAAGGGCTAAGGGCGGGGACTTTTGCTATGTTCACCACCTAACTAGGCTAAATAAAGTCCCGAGGTCAGAAGTTGTGTTCCACGGATTTCTCTCTACACCGTCGTTAAGGCATTCATTGACTGGACTATCTGTTAAGTTTTTTATGTAAATAATAAATGAAACATATATAGCAATTGCACATGCACTTGATATCTTAAATAATGCTCTGCGATGTAAGTTATAGTAATGTAGTTATTATATTATTTATTTAATTTGTTTTGTCACATAAAAGATGAACTTAAAAAAAAAAGAAATAATCATAGCAAAAGCGAATTGCAAAGCTTTTGTAGTTCACACTGCCATATTTTTGCGAGATCATTGCACTGCAAATGTTTTATTAATCACAAAATATGTTTAATAAATTATTAAAATTTGAATTCCCCTAATACTTTTGATATGACACTCAATCTATTGCTTATCATGCAATAAACTGGAGACGCAAATATAAGTAAACTCAGGAATTATTTTTATCAACATGCTTATCATACATGTGCGCTATAATTGTAGCAGATATGATAATTAGATGGAACTTTGTATTTGTTCCACATGTGTTGTCTTTCGTAAGAAGACAAATATCGCGATCTACAGGATGATATAGAAAACATACAAGATCTTAGTTTCATTAAGCCTTATTAATAAAATATGTTTTTAAAAAAGTAATAAAAATTAAATACACACATTTCTGAAGGGATTAAGAGGAAGTATTAAAAAATAACCTGTGTTTTTTACTTTTTAGAGACTAAAATAAAATAGAAATAAATAAATAAATATCCTTGGACATTTACACTGCGCTTCTATTCCCAAACATATAAACTTAAATATGTGTGTTAGTAACGCGTCTACACTTCGCGATCACAAACCCGCTGGCGTTTAGGTATAATTGATTACCTCTAGTCTGCACACGCGAAAAGTTATTGCTTTGTAGGTTTTTCCTGAATAATCTTAGATTTAATTCAGCATTAAAGTTCCAAATGGTTTGCCCTCAGTTCGTGATAATGGTGATCGACTCGACGGACCGACAGCGGCTGGGCATCAGTCGCGAGGAGCTGCACCGAATGCTTGACCACGAGGAGCTCAGTCGCGCCTGCCTTCTGGTGTTTGCCAATAAACAGGTACAAAATTAGTAGTAAGAAAATTTTTCATTTTTAAACCGGCAGACTTGACTGAGTACTGACTTCTTCTCAGCACTTACTAAATGTTTGTCTCGAAGCGCTGGTAGGGCAAAAAAAATAATGAGACATGTATAGGCTCCTTAAGAGCATTTGACGATTTGTAAGTACTAATTTAATTAGTCTATAGTGTAGACTCTACACAAATAAAGATAGGTAATTTTGATTGTTTTTATTTTGCGTCCTTTTAGCAGTAAGTGCTATCACTGCTAAAATGTGTGGGAATTATCAACCTCATCATCATCTGCCGGGCCAAGAAGCGTGACTACGATCTTTATACCGCCAAAACGTCTTATTTATCTTAAAATCTACTTATTATCTAAAATCGATAAAATATCTCGGTAAGATGATATCATTGCGCACGTTTCATTTTATCTCCACTGAAGGAACATAAACCTTTGCAATTTAACAGAGACAAGTGGATCATTTGGCCTGCCCTCTGATGTTCACATATTATTTTATTAGGAATTTGAACCTTAACTTCGAATTCCTCCTATGTTCTTCTGATTCATTACGTTGCGGGTCCAATGACAGTTTAACTTTCCCCCGGAACAAACTTGACCTTTACTGGTTGTGTTTTTATTGGCGGTCAAGCTTTAGATCCTGGCTACACAGGAGTTGCAGCGGTGGGAACGTGAGGTGGGAATAGTCCCGATATTATTTTATCGCCTTAAAATCTGCGCGTGCAAATCTTTCGTCATCATCATCATCATTTCAGCCATAGGACGTCCACTGCTGAACATAGGCCTCCCCCAATGCTTTCCACGTTATCGATTGGTAGCGGCCTGCGTCCAGCGCTTCCCTGCTACCTTTACGATGTCGTCGGTCCACCTTGTAGGTGGACGTCCCACGCTGCGTTTTCCGGTACTCGGCCTCCATTCTAGAACCTTTCTGCCCCATCGGCCGTCAGTTCTGCGTACTATGTGCCCTGCCCATTGCCACTTCAGCTTGCGAAAACGAAAGATCGCTGACATAACCCGATGGATTACCGTCGGGTTATGTCAGCGATCTTTCGTCAACCATTCGCTCTTTCGTACACGGCGACGGGGACATACCAGTGCAGTTACATTGCAGAGGATCTAAAAGTAGTATTTTAGAGTTTGAGTATTAGAAGTTATACTCCTCCCTCTGTATGAGTAAGTCCACTCCAAAAACTGTTACCGTTGGGCATTAAAATAGATGTATTTAGGTTTTCAATTATCCGTCATTTTACACACTTTTCAACATCACAGAAATCCAAAGTTATTTTTAACAATCTATGTATTTGAATTTGCATAAAGCCACATCGCATACACAGATGTTTTCTTTGAAGGCATAATGAAATAATTTCATCGTCAAAAATAAGTGAGCGTAATATAGAAAGTGCTCATTTCATATGAAAGACTTTGTACACGATTATAATATTAAGTAAAAATACGGCTATGCTTATGAACAAGTTATGAAATATGTCGGTTACGGTGCGTGACGATTAGGAAACCTTTAAAACTAATATCCACTCGTCAACACTTACTTACGTTTTTGAGAACACGTACCACAGAATAGGCGTTGTGACACGTTTTGCACGTCGATTTGTTTGTCAAATATGTTGGTTAACGTTTAGTACGCCTTGCACACATTTATTATCTGGTAATCATGATCTAGAACTATAAAAAATTGTGTGAGAATTGTGCGACATGCAATAAATGATAGGTCAAGGATGTGCAACAATTGCTTAGTGCTTGATGCGGAAAAAACAGTTTATCATCTTGCAAAACTATTTTCTCATCATTCAATGTATTAATAATTCGAAGTAGGTACTTACTTCAGTATGATACCTAAACAAGCGACAGTAACATAATTCTTGTCGACTACGGGACCCTAAAAATGTTAAGTGTCTTTCAATTATTTCATTTGAAATTTATAAGACGCCACGACAATAATTTGCAACAAAGAAAGCACTTAGTTTAGTAGACCGATGCCCACTCATGAACCTCAATTATAAAACCTGGAATTAGACGAATTACGGAGAATCCAGCGCTCGTATCATTGTATTACCTAGGTAATTGTAGAAAATTACTGCAGTGCATTGCAGTCTTTTTATTAGCTATCGGATCGGGAGCGAGCGAGCATTTATTAATTAGGTCATTCTGCGGTGGTGGTCGGCCAACGGCTCTTAGGGTATTAATGTTTTGGTTTATGTACAGTCGCGGAATGAAAAGGTTCGTCACCTTAGTGTCGGTTTTCGCTTGCACTAGGTACTGTAAGAGTCAAACCTGCCAACATCACCGTGCAAGAAACAGTGCTGCTAACATTTAAATAAGTATGACGTTTGCTAACGAATAAGGTTTTGCTTGTTTATTTTTCTATCCCATCAGTGCAATGTTACAAAATGTAGTTTTTTTTATTTAATAGATAATGGCAGGTTGAACTAACAAGGTTTTAGTTTATCAATCATAATAATCTTCTTGACAAGTTAAATCGTCAAACAACTTTGATCTGAATAATTTTGAACTTTACTGGCGAACAGTTAAAGATTATTTTCTCTAACTCGAGATTATTCTGTAACATAGTTTCAAAAGGTAATATGTGCTCGCGATTCGTTGAAGGAATCAATTTGAAAACTGACGAACCTTTTCATTCCGTGACTGTACCTACATACCAACTTCACAACAATCTATAGTAATACTAGAGTAACTTTGAACTCCTCATATTGTTATTTTGATTAATTTAATTACTGGTTAAATGCCAGTTCAACTGTCCCACGAGACAAACTTGACTCTCACTGGTTGGGTTTTTATTGGCGGTCAAGCTGTAGAGATACTGGCTGCATAGGAGTTGCAGCGGTGGGAACGAGAGGTGGGAATAGTCCCGTTACTAAAGCACACATTTATTGAGTAGGGTGGCTTAAATTGAGAACAGAGAGAGAGCTAAATCTTGGACGAATAAACCACTTCGTCCAAGAGCTAAATGCTCCGTTACTTTTAATAAAAATCATCACTTAGTTTTTTGCGCTCTTTCGACCCGCAAGGTTAGTACCAAGGTTTAAGTTTCACCTGACATAACTTAGGCTTACAAGGAACTGTAGTAAACCTGTTATGTCAAGTGGCAGCCAAAATGTAAGGACACTTTTAAGTCGTCGGTCTTGGCCGCCTAAGTGAAGGTCGTTAACGTACACTGTCACCAATACTCACTTTTATATCATTGTTATTGAGTTAATTTAAGGAAAACGCTTGTCCAATGGTTATTTTATAAAATTTTACTCGTTTAACGAATATTTATACAAATTGCACAGTAGGGCATGATGTAGAATTATTAGAATAGAAATATGCGTAAAACATCTTTATCCGTTTCATATGAAAATCCAATCCTACGTTCAAAAAGGTAGTTTTATAGATATGCCTTTCGTAATTAGGCTCATAATTACATATTCTCGATTTTTTATATCTTAGAGCAAGTTGACCCTTCACCAAAGATTTATCGTTATACTAGCTTTCCCGCAACTTCACCTGCGTGAAATTTAGGTTGTCACAGATCGTCATAAATTATAGTCTATAATGTTATTCTGGGTTATAAACAATAATACTGTAAAGTTTCATCAAAATCCGTTCCGTAGTTTTTGCAAGAAAGAGTAACAAACAAACATCCGGACATCCAAACTTTCGCATTTATAATATTAGTAGGATAATCAGGATTTCGGTAACTATCTCACGACACGAGAAACCTCAAGCAAGCGGCTACATTTTGCCAAGTGACGTAAACTCATGCACAAGGACTCCAAGCCTCTGCGTTCGTTAACACTTGAGTAAACACTTCAGTAGTACGAGACGAGCGCCTGAACAACTTCCTCGTTATTTTGATCAAATCGACCTTCTGTTTCGACCTTTTTGTGAACGCTGCGTTTTTATCACATTGTAAATGATAAAGTCTCTAAATGCACCTACTTTATGTATTGTGCTATTTACGCAACATCTTGCCAAGTGGTTCGCGTACCAGACTAATCTGCCTTAGGTTCGATTCCCACACAAGACTTATTTAAGACCGTGAAATGTATCGGTCTGGGTGAATCTAAATTATCTAAATATTTCCTAATAGTCCAGTCACTGAATGCCTTAACGACGGTGTAGAGAGAAATCCGTGGAACACAATTTCTGACCTCGGGACTTTGTTTAGACTAGTTAGGAGGTGAACATAGCAAAAGTCCCCGCCCTTAGCCCTTGAGCCGGCGAGGAGAGAGGGGTTTAAAGGTACCACTTTTCGGTTTTTCGCTTAATCCTCGAAAACTGCGTCCTAGTGACATGACTACTATGAACCAAAAAAAGATTATTCAATTTGCTACAGGTGAGATATTCAAGTTTTTCTATACCTATCTTTTATAGTTTTCGCGGCATCTGCTGTAGAAGGTCTGTAATATTGGAAATTTTATTTTTGTCTTACATGTTCCCATCAGGAGAAAATCGACTTAATCAACATTGAGCAAACATTCTAGACATGCGGGAGCATGTTTTAAGCCTAGTTCCAGAGAGGGGACTGCACCGTGCGTATATTTAGACGAACTACTTGGAGCCACTTTTGACTCCTCATCACTCAAAAACTACTGTGCATTAACACTTCAACATTTGGCTCATGTGTTGAGACTTGCAAGATAAACATCAGCTTAAAACTTCATAAATATACCACAAACGGTTATTTAGGTATTGACGTTCGCTGTTGAGACACAAAAATACACAATTCCCACCGAAGATCGTTTTTGTAATAACTAATCATTATTTACATTAGAATTGTTGTTTGTTTCTGAACTAAACCAATATTTATATTATCCGAGGCGTCAAACGTGCTCAAGCGCTGCTACTACATCATATTAAATCGTTTCTTTGTTGAGTAATGATTTATTGCATAACGTTTGATATCTTATCACGGTTTCAGGGATCCATACATGTTTGGCAAATACTTAAAAGATACGTATATCGTGTTTTACTTAACAATGAAAGTGCTAATAAAGATATCGAAACTGTTTCGTCAAAATACATACATATCAAACTTAAAGAAAAATGAATGGTGACTCGTATAAAATTGTAAAAGAAAAACTACAGCATAATTTTTTCGGAAGTTATTTACGAAGATAAGAACTCATTCTATTTAGCTTTGATAAGCGATTAAAATGTACAGAACCCTCTGCTTATTATGAGTTAACTTTGCTGGTTTTTGAGAATAAGGTCACTCCGCAGCTTGGTTTACGTATCGCTTAAGGAAGTCTATTGTCGTCATCTATCTACACTCGACATCAAATAAATCGAACCTCCCGAGACAAGCACTTTCAAACGTATGTATCCCCACTTCCCACCAATATTGGCAGCATTTAAAAGCCTAGTTCTAAACTTCATTTCATTAAAGGAAAGGTTTTTACCCCAAAAATGTGTCCGCAGATGAATCCAGAGTCACTTTTTCAAAAAATAGGTAGTTACGCTTGAGCCAACTTTTATTGCTATAAAACTGTTAAGTTGGGATTTATCGCTATCAATCTGTTAAAGAGGACACGTGAGATCATTATTTGGTTTTATAACCATAAAAATTGGTCTAATTGATCCCAGAGGTGAGCCCAAAGTAAGGTCTTTTTTCAAGTCACATTTACCGTATTGTTTCAATATTGGGGGCTGGGGTACCATGATTGTATCAGAAGAAAATCTTTAAAGTTCGCACTTCGCGTCGCCGGAGGGTCGATTTATTTGATGTCGAGTGTATCTATCATCCTATGTTATTATTGAGATATAGGATCTAATGGCGCTTGGGAATACAGGTTAAGGTTAATTTCTAGAAAAAATATGCGACAACGTGGAATTTTAATTAGGAAATGTTCTATTCTACGAAGGGATATTATACTGAAATCTTTTTGCAAAAGTATTTTCTCTATAGGTTTATTCTACTTCTTTAATTAATGCAACCACTAGTTTACTTTTTACGAAAAGACTAGCATGATAATCCTACAAAATCACCGGTCAGCTGTTACAATTTGTATTGTGTATAATGAAGAAGTGTATTGTTTTTTTAGATTTCATTATTGGCCCCAAAACTTCTTGAATTTGAGCAGTACAGTTAAGAGAATGTCACATGACTATTCTGTTACATACGCTTATGTATGCACCTCGTCATAATACCAGATAATCTGTATAGTAAAGATACACAGCGCACCGGCATATTCCCATAGCCGCATGCCTCAATGGGAGTGCGACAGGAAGTGGGGTGACGCGCGCTCCGCGGCAATTGTCGTGATCCAGCTCTCACTGGCTGAGCTATACCTATTTCCGCGGTTATATACAAACTTGCCGTGTGGTGACGGCAGAGTAGAATACATTTGTCACCAACCCCTACTCTTCCCGCGGGTGTCGTAAGAGGCGACTTAGGGACTACACATCAAACAGAGAATGGGCAGCAGCGCTCTCTGAAAAACATCAATCTTTTAAACTGCGATCTCCAACCCGCCTGCCAAGCGTGGAGATTATGGCAAAACCCTCCACTATAGTGGAGGAGGCTCATAGTCCAGCAGTGGACTGTAAAGGGCTGTTGATGACTGTGTTTTAATGAATACTTGTCCTCGTTTCAGGACGTCAAGGGCTCGATGACGGCGGCGGAGATCTCGGAGCAGCTGGACCTCACGTCCATCAAGCAGCACCCCTGGCACATACAGGCCTGCTGCGCGCTCACCGGCGAAGGGTAATCATCTAACGGCCGAATACTGAAACACTACTCAAATCTTTCACTCAGCTGACGGGCTCCTAAATTTAAGTATCCTTCAATTTGAAATGGTATTCTCAAACGCCACTCAACGGATTTGAAGCCGTGATCAGCTAAGAAGCTCTCAAATGTTTACATAATGGCAACATTTACCAAAAAAAGTATGTTTTCATTTACACAAATGATGACTTTACGTTTTTTATCCATTACACGCAGCATCGTTTTGTTATGTATTGTCTTTTATGGAAATATACTCAATCAACTTAACATAGAACAGTTTATTTTTAGTTTCTATTATATCTAAATCTCGTTTTATTATATAAAAAAAATTAATGCTTGCATTTTTATTTAATAAAAAAGATAATTTTAAAGGTGATACTTTTTATTGTTGAAATCTATTAAGTGGCGATCGTGGACCGAAACGTAACCACAATTGACATTTCAAATTGACAAATCAACAACTCTTGGAAATGCTGCTATAGCTTAAATCCATTTGCGATGTCCCCATATTCCTCAGAAATAGGCATGTTTATGTAATAGTGCGTCCAGACTGGGCGAATTTGCTCGCGCGGCACGCTGGTCACTATACGATGCTGCACAGTTGGCTGTTCGATGTGGAAGATATCACCTAGTACACGTTCATAACTTCCCGTTGCGTAGAACCATAGGGTTATAATAAGTATTTGGTCCACTGGTTGTATGGCGTTTGGTGAGGGGTTTCAAAGAGCTTCCAAATTATGAATCCAGATGCAGGCCGCCACCAACCGGCCATTGTGGAAATCATTGGGGGAGGCCTATGTTCAAATGGACGTTTTATGGCTAAAATGATCATGATGATGATGATGAAAGCGAATAAAGGGCTAATAGCTTGGGTAGTTCATCGTAGGTATAATGCTTTCCTTTTCAATGCTTCTTTTAGTTATATTAATAGATTGTATTAAATAATACATACTCGTATACATGGATGATTGTGTTATACTTTCATTATAATACTTAGTGGAATTACTGCTTTCAAAACGTGAATTAGAACTGGCCCCATAGCAGACATTTTCCTACATCTAAAGGCCTTTTAAAATATATATTGGTTATGGCTATTGGAGCGGGTACCACTTTCCATACATTTGTGCCCATCATCCTTTAAGTATCCTTCAATTTTAAATGGTATTCTCAAACGCCACTCAACGGATTTGAAGCCGTGATCAGCTAAGCAGCTCTCAAATGTTTACATAATGGCAACATTTACCAAAAAAAGTATGTTTTCATTTACACAAATGATGACTTTACGTTTTTTATCCATTACACGCAGCATCGTTTGGTTATGTATTGTCTTTTATGGAAATATACTCAATCAACTTAACATAGAACCGTTTATTTTTAGTTTCTATTATATCTAAATCTCGTTTTATTATATAAAAAATAATGCTTGCATTTTTATTTAATTAAAAAGATAATTTTAAAGGTGATACTTTTTATTGTTGAAATCTATTAAGTGGCGATCGTGGACCGAAACGTAACCACAATTGACATTTATCATTGTTGACAGAGCATCAAATTGACAAATCAACAACTCTTGGAAATGCTGCTATAGCTTAAATCCATTTGCGATGTCCCCATATTCCTCAGAAATAGGCATGTTTATGTAATAGTGCGTCCAGACTGGGCGAATTTGCTCGCGCGGCACGCTGGTCACTATACGATGCACAGTTGGCTGTTCGATGTGGAAGATTATCACCTAGTACACGTTCATAATTTCCCGTTGCGTAGAACCGTAGGGTTATAATAAGTATTTGGTCCACTAGTTGTATGGCGTTTGGTGAGGGGTTTCAAAGAGCTTCCAAATTATGAATCCAGAAACAACACCGTTTCTTTTGAGACGCGGAACCTCGCTCGGAATTGCATGTCATTAATATTTTTCAATAGCGTTCAGCTTTATTGCGTTCCTGCGATTAGATCTAGGTATCTCCTCGAGGCTCGAAAGAAATGATAACGATGACACAGACATTATTTACCACTATTTAGGTCGATTTAGGTATAAGAATAGGATTTAAGATACCGCGCAAGCACTCTCAAATTTAACGGCTGCTCAAGACGATTTGACAGTTGTTTGAGTAATGCTTAGCGTTGAATGGCGTTTCAGTATGCGAAAATTCATTTGAGTGGCGTTTGAGTGCAACCACGTGCAACTTAATTTGAGAGGTGCTTAAAAATTGAGAACTACTCAGATATTGTTTTGAGTATGCGAAATGTAAGTTTAGGAGCTGCTTAACTATTTGAGAAGCCGTCAAATATTTAAATGGCGTTTCAGTATTCGGCCGTTAGTTTATCAATCATAATAATCTTCTTGACAAGTTAAATCGTCAAACAAGTTTGATCTAAATAATTTTGAACTTTACTGACGAACAGTTAAAGGTTATTTTCTCGAGACTCGAGATTATTCTGTAACATAGTTTCAAAAGGTAATATGTGCTCGCGATTCGTTGAAGGAATCAATTTGAAAACTGACGAACCTTTTCATTCCGTGACTGTACATAATCTTTTGTCCATCTTCAAGTTTCAACCAAGTATTCTGGTTAGAATAGTTAGCGAAAGAAAGATGTAAGTAGGTAAATTATGCCTGAGAATCATAGATCCATTTCTAAAATGGATCAATGAAATCATAGACCTTTTTAACCGACTTCAAAAAGGAGGAAGTACTATACTAGAATCCCGATTGCGTTATGGTTTGATGTTATTGCATTAAACATAATTTTATACTTCTAATAAAATTTCATAATTTTGTTTTCAGGGTGTTCAACGGTCGGCGGTGCTTTCACCCCTAATGTTTTGAAGCAAATGGCGAAAAATACAGAGAGGCCCGTCATTTTCGCCCTGTCTAACCCCACTAGCAAAGCGGAGTGCACCGCGCAGGCTGCCTACGATAATACTGAGGTATGTGACAAATGTGATTCTATTGCTCGTTTTCATCATCAATCCCTCATTTTTAAGTGACCCCTATGTAAACAAAATTCATGTTATTTGTTACCATAGGGTTCACTTAAAAATTAGGGATTAATCGTGAAAACGGGCATAATATTACGAATATAGGACGACAAAATATCCCAACGTCAGTTATGCTACCGATTTTATGTCGATAGTGCGATCTACAACGTCCGCTGTACTATTGTGATAAACTTACTCCTAACACAATCATAATATTTAGCTTATCTGTAGGCCTAGGATGCGCGCCACGACAAAATTTTATGAAGGCATTTTATCGATTTTTCACGATAACTTCAGACATTTGTCGTCTAAAATAGTCGGTAAGATTTTGTGATGTGCATCCTAGCCCGGCTGAATGGACTAACAGGGCTATCTATCAGTAATATGTGCTGTTGGGCACCGGGTGTGCCCGTTACTATACCTATTGTATATATTTAANTTCGGCCGTAAATCAATCAATCTATCTATACTTATAATAAATCTGTAGTAAGGTCAATTCTGTACATGAAATATATTTTCAAAAGAACTATCAGGGGGTGATAAGTGATCGATACTGATGCCAAAAATGCAATCAGTAAAATTTTTGTCTGTCTGTCTCGTCTGTCTGTCCGTCGTATGTTCCTTATATAAACAAAAACTACTTGACGGATTTTAACGAAACTTGGTACAATTATTCTTCATACTCCTGGGCAGGTTATAGTATACTTAGGAATTCCCACGGGAACAGGAATTAGCGCAAAAATCCTTTTGTATGAAAAATCTAAACCGCTTAAGTTACGACGCTTGAAATTTGGCATGCAGGTACCTTAGTAAACTTAAAGCTTAGTTACAACAGGATATTGCAAAATTCCCACGGGAACGGGAGTTAGCGGGAAAAAACATTTTTATGAAAAAATCTAAACCGCGTAAGAAATTTGGCATGCAGGTACCTTAGTAAACTTAAAGCTTAGTTACAACAGGATATTGCAAAATTCCCACGGGAACGGGAGTTAGCGGGAAAAAACATTTTTATGAAAAAATCTAAACCGCGTAAGATAGTTACTCTATACCTATTCGACTCGACGCGAAGCGCGATGATTTGAAGGAGGCCAGTCCATCTGCTGCCATTCACTATAACCACAGAATAATAATAAGTACTACGCACAGAAGTTTTACTTCGCGAAGGTATTTAAAAAAATGTATGCTCAATGTCATTAACAATATGGTGTAATTTAGCCTGTCTCAAGAGTCAAGCACCATTTTGTTGACAAACGTCAGTGATCGGCACAGCGCCGAAGCTATAGGGCTGACTTCGGTAAAATGATGTGACGTGAAGTGCCAAACTGCGGAAAATGGCGGAGGAAATACATGATTTAGCATGAATTATCATGAATAATATTAACTACTTATTTACCTCTGAGTGTCTTGAGGCAACTTAAAAAAGTACATTCTGTGTTTTTATTATTATTTAGGCAGTTATTGCACAGTATTTAGTACACCATTTTCTTTATTTTCTTCCACCATACACAAGAATACGCGTGCGTGAGTCAATGTTCGCTCGTATGTGAGGCCTTGTCGAATAGTATCCTGTAGGTGGGCCATCGTGCGTGTTTTGTTTTCGATGTAAACTCGCGGAGATGAACAGGCCTGGTAATAGTTAAAATTTTATTTATATTTTTCTTGTGTAATTACTTTCATGTGTACTACCACCCCTGAGATGGGCGTTGTTTTACAAAACTACACCTGTATAGCTTAACTCCGCAGCATATAACTTAACTATAGCATTCATAGCAATAAAACTTCTATTGTGTCTAGGTTACTGTGGAAAGTGTTAACTGCTAGAGCTATGCCGCTTCTGGCTGACTTACTGGAGATTTTATTTAAATTTCGCTTGACGCAAGAGATTTTGTACCTTAATGATCCTACTATTATTATAAATGCGAAAGTTTGGATGTCTGGATGTCATGTCTGGATGTTTGTTACTCTTTCACGTAAAAACTACTGAACGGATTTTGTTAAAACTTTACAGTTTTTGCGTGAAAGAGTAACAAACATGTTGACATCCAGACATCCATACAAACTTTAGCATTTACTCGTATAATATTAGTAAGATAACCCAGATTAACATAATAGGCTATAAATTATGACGATATGTGACAAACCAAATTTCACGCGGGTTAAGCCGCGGGCAAAAGCTAGTATACAATAAATAAATATTAATTTGGGGCATTTGGCCGAAAATAGAATTGTTAGAGCTTATAAGAAAATGGCGATTGCTAAGCGGCAAGTGCTATCACTGCTAAAAAATACCCAATACACTGAACTGTTCCACCCTTGACATTGCAGAGGGACGCCACCGTCAATACCGGATCGCTGATTCCGATTTTTGCCATGTTAGAAACTACATGTATAGTTGAACGAATGTTGCGCCCCCCCGTCAATGAGTTTGGTAGGACAGTTCAGTGTAGGTCATCTATACTGGTCATCACAAAAATCGACCCTCCCGCGACAAACACTTTTAAACGTATGCATCCCCACTTTCCACCAATATCGGCACCATTTTAAAGCCTAGTTCTAAACTTCATTTCATTAAAGGAAAGGTTTTTACCCCAAAAATGTGTCTGTAAAAGAATCCAGATTCACTTCTTCAAAAAATAGGTAGTTACGCTTGAGCCAACTTTTATGGCTATAAAACTGTTAAGTTGGGATTAATCGCTATCCATCTGTAAAAGAGGACACGTGAGATCATTATTTGGTCCACCAACCATAAAAATTGGTCTGATTGATCCCAGAGGTGAGCCCAAAGTGAGATCTTTATTCAAGTCACATTTATTGTCGTTAATAATAAATTAATCGTTTATTAAGAAATTAAATGTGTTTTTGTGGATATTTATTGGACTTTCAAATAACACCAATATTGTTGGGGCACCATGATTGTGTCAGTAGAAACGAGTTTTCCTGTAAAACGTAAGTGGGCCGATTTTTGTGATGACCAGTGTATACAACGTGTCCCAAAATTCAAGGATAAGCCGGCGCCGCAGGATGGACATAGTCATGACTACTTTAGGAAAAATAAGAAAAAAAATCTATCTCAATTATTTTTTAAGTTACACAATAAATAATGAAATTCGTCGAAAATTGACACCCCTTATGACATTTTACATTACCACGGCCACAATTTTTCAAATACTTCTGTTTTTTTGTTTGTATCGGCAACTTAAGTAGTGCTGCTGTCCACCCCAATTCTTAAAACCCCCAGAATCCTTGCAGTTTTTACACAAAAGATAATCAAAATATGATATTTCCTTAAAATTTTGAACGATTTTTACTTTCACTCCACTTTGACTCGTCGTTTTGTAAAAAAAAAGTATGAACACTACTGCGGCAAGTTTTTTATAAAGTTGACGCAACTATCCAAGATTCCAAAATGGTATAATACTCTAAGAAAACTAGTCGCAAAAAAGATATGCGTACCATTTTTACAAGCACTTCGCTTGTTAGTTAGTATGGGATAAATCTTGCAACTGAATTTAAAACCAGTTCTCCTCAACCAGTTGAGCTGTTTGATATGCTTGTGTGACAATGCAATATTATGGTATCATTGAGCTGGATGGAGTCTGGAGGTGGCTATAGGAACTTCTAAACGAAACGGCGGAATTGCATCGAGTTTGGGTTCGTTGGATTTGACTTCCCGAGCACTTGGACCATGAGATTGAGAACCTACTAAAAAGTGTAAAATAAAGTTATAATAAAAAAAAACTTTTTTAAAAACAAGCATTAATGCGAAATTTTACAAAAGAATTTAACGATAAAAATAATTGTATGCAAGGTTCAAATAATTTCGAAAGCTTGTAGCGCAAACAGAAAAAAAGATGAATAAATTCCATTCGCGATTATAACTTTATTTTATACTTTTTAGTTGTTTCTCAATCTCATGGCCCAAGTGCCCGGGAAGACAAATCCAACGAACCCAAACTCGATAAGCTTCCGCTGTTTCGTTTAGGAGTTCCTATGGCCAGCTCCTGGCCACCTCTTGACTTCATCATCAGGACCCTGGACATCATCTAGCACTAAATTGCTCGAAAAGACAAATCCAACGAACCTAAACTAGATGCAATTCCGCCGTTTCGTTTAGAAGTTCCTATGGCCACCTCCAGACTCCATCTAGCTCAATGATACCATAATATTGCATTGTCATTGTACTTACACAAGCATATCAAATTTCAGCTCAATTGGTTGAGGAGAACTGGTTTTAAATTCAGTTGCAAGATTTATCCCATACTAACTAACAAGCGAAGTGCTTGTAAAAATGGTACGCATATCTTTTTTGCGACTAGTTTTCTTAGAGTATTATACCATTTTGGAATCTTGGATAGTTGCGTCAACTTTATAAAAAACTTGCCGCAGTAGTGTTCATACTTTTTTTTTACAAAACGACGAGTCAAAGTGGATGAAAGTAAAAATCGTTCAAAATTTTAAGGAAATATCATATTTTGATTAACTTTTGTGTAAAAACTGCAAGGATTCTGGGGGTTTTAAGAATTGGGGTGGACAGCAGCGTAGCAGCACTACTTAAGTTGCCGATACAAACAAAAAACAGAAGTATTTGAAAAATTGTGGCCGTGGTAATGTAAAATGTCATAAGGGGTGTCAATTTTCGACGTATTTCATATTTATTGTGTAACTTAAAAAATAATTGAGATAGATTTTTTTTCTTATTTTTCCTAAAGTAGTCATGACTATGTCCACCCTGCGGCGCCGGCTTATCGTTGAATTTTGGGACACGTTGTATATTGGCCGAAAACAGGCTGTTATCGGCAGTTGTCATAGCGATCGTCGTTTTGCTTACAATTTCTATTTTCGGCCAAACGCGCCCATTGATCGTGCATGGTGAATTTCTGGATCCTTGAAATAGCCGACTTTATCAAGTCATCGTATACCGTAGTCTGGACAGAGTAGTAGTAACAGGGGAATAACACATCTGGTTTGGATCTACATAATTTTGACAAAATTAGTTTTGTTTCTATGTTTCAAAATTAGTTTCGTACGCTTTGTGATAGATAAGTATTTGCTTAGATTTTAAGTGTCTGAAGTGGTGTCCCGTGTCCCCCCACATAAAAGTATACGTACCTACATACAGAAAGCGAGTAGTGTCTATGCCTAGTAGTAAGACATACTATACTACATAATTAATTGTGCTAATATCTAACGAATTTCCTGTCTCTGTTCCAGGTTGCATTTGGGGCTTGAATGGATTGCAAGCCGAATAAAGAAGAAATGATATGTTCCATTAGAGCTAGATATTCCTCTTTGTATTGTAGTAGATATAAGTATCTAATAATACCTGTCTAAAATGAACATCCATGTTAGAGCATTGTTAACGTTACATTTTACATTTCAATGGAGGATTATATTTTTAATAAATGTGTAATGTAAATGCAAATTAACTACGATTAATAAGTTTTACTATATGAAAAATTGAAATACAAGATTTTACGACCGTTTTATGGATGGATGTGTTATTAAAATGATATAAATAAAATATGTTTCTGTATTTTATCTATTTATTTCATCTACATAATGCTTGAACAAAAATTGTACATACACGTAGTCCCTATTTAATGAAAAATATGACTAATTGAGATACAACCAAGTAAGAGAACTACAACCGAAAGGAAATAAAAATGTACAAAATACTCAATACACAACACAAGTTCTGATTCCTATTAATTCAAAACTAATAAATAAATCTCTAAATTAGTATCATCTAGGAATTGAATGAAAATTATTACAGCACATTTATTACATGACATTTGACATAGTATTCTCACACAAATCTAATTATTTTATGAACGGTCAGATGATAGTTTGTTGAGTCACTGCTAGCCAGGGCCTCCTGACCTTACGGCCGTACTCTTTGTCGTGTAGTGGTATCGCGAAGATTTACCTTATGTTGAAATGGAGACAGTTCGAATTACACGTATCTCACTAAAATACATAGGGTACGGTCGTAAGACGTTTCATAATATTTAAAAAGTACAGACATGTAATATGTATTAACCTTATTGACGGCCCTATTCTATTACTTAACATCTTTTAATGTGATTGCCACTTGGAATATGCGTAAGTCACCAAAATCTCAAACAAGAAGTTCTCCACAGCAAATTTTGTTTATCAAAAACAGTAAGAAAAGGTAACAATATTATGGACAGGACTGTCAGTCTACTCGCAGACGTGCAAAAATTACAAAATTCTATTAATGAAATATCAACCAATTTTGTTTATCAAAAACAGTAAGAAAAGGTAACAATATTATGGACAGGACTGTCAGTCTACTCGCAGACGTGCAAAAATTACAAAATTCTATTAATGAAATATCAACCAGATAATATAAGATATAAATAAATTATACCAAATTGTCGCCAAACAAGACATTCCTTTTCCCAAAAACATTTTGTCCAAAAGCCAGTTTCTAAATACAGGTCCTTGGAGTACATATTTATTCTGATAGTACAGGCAAAACCACGTTAGAAAAGAAGTTAAATAATAAAATATGGCCGTATATTGCAAAATTGCTTTACTATTACAATATCCCGAATATTGCATTATATGAAACATCAACTTCTCTACGAAATATGAAAAGTATTATTAGATACTATTTCCTATTTGATTATACATACAATTAAAATATTTATATACAAATGAAATTAGGGAGCATTAAAATAAATCTATTACGTTAAATGCATGGGGATCAAATAACCCATAGTAATATTTGATAAAAACAACATTTTGATTCTATTAAATATAACTTAGTTGCCGCAGCGTATTTTCACCGAAAGCAAACCATCACTTTTAATGGAAATATGCAATAATATGCATACGGCAATAATCAAAGATATAATTCTAGGGGAAACAACGTCACCTTGTTGCAACAACAACGAATTATAATACTTTAACTAATAATTAATAAATAATTCCAATAACTTCTTGGTGATGGAATGAATTGTCTGCGCACACTTACTAATCCTAAAGTTATATAGATTCATTAGTTGTGTATAAAGTGAGTTTATCCACTTCCCTTTCGGTCGAAACGGTTCAAAGTCCTCGAAATTACGATGATAGGAACGAATGCGCAAACCCACAATGTATCACTAGCTTTCATAAAACTTCTCCGAGCTTCTAGAAATACCAAGACAACGATAGACAAGTGGACTCACCCTAAAATGTCAAGTGTTACTAATAAAAATTATATCAACATCTAGTCATCGCAAATAGGCGATTCTTAAATATTATAAATCCTACAAATAAGCCTCTGATACACAGCCGGCTGACTGCAACATAGTGTGAGCGCGGTATGTCATTTTATACTGACAATAAATATCATTTATCTTGACAGTCGCACTCATCCCACTGTATACCAAAGGCTTTATCGTTCATGTTCCAACTGAGATTCCATAAAAACTAGAAAAATTACATCATCAATCATAAAATAGCGTATTTAATCATAAATAGCATGAAAAACTGTCACATTGATAAATAAATAAACGTGTTTATAAATGTGAAAGCTTCACAGCATTATAACAAGAAACGGAAAATTTGTCTAAATCAATAAGTTGTGTGGTAACTTAATTACAATTTGAGATTATTGATAGTAAAATGGTCCAAAAAAAATCTACATAAAAAAGAATTACACACACATTATAACTACATACCTTAGATGGAACATGCTGTCTGTCGATGAACGACGATTACAAATACAATTCATTACTATAGAAAATTGTAAAATGCTTAATATAAAGTATTTCTACGTGATTCCTGACCTCCATTTAACTCTATTTAGGCTATAATTTTTAAAATGGCGTATAGAAATGCATCACATGAATAATTATAGCAAACGAGTAGAAAAGGTGCACACATATTATGTCATGGACACTATCACAGTTAACTAATCTAATAAATTGGAATAAATATCTATCTACAGAAACGATAAGTTAAGAAAATAATGCGATAGCTATGCAGAGTAGTTGTTTGCAGGAAAAGAGCTGTAAAAGTAAGAAGAATAGATACAAGAAATATTAACAAGTACCCGGTAGTTCCGGAGTTTAGTCAATTATAATAATGGAGTGAGATCCATTTTATAATTGACGGTACAAACAATCACAATCGCGTTCTTGCGTTCATGTTTCGCCCGGGGGTTTAACTAAAAGCCCTTTCATTTAATTCTTCAAAGATGATGCTGTTATTTTCTGATTACTATCAAGAAATTTGATTTCTTCAAGCCATCATTACTTGATTCTTTGTTAATTACAATATTTGATGTGTCCAGATTTGGTCATTCATTCTATCCGGTCATTTGGACTAATGAGATCTCTTGGGTATGATTTTTCTGAAGAGATCTTGGTATTACAATTAAAGTAATAAAATTATATGCCATTGATTATATTATAATGTCTAAGGTCAAAGATTATATAAAAGTAGTACAGTACAAACCTAACTTATGATAGTTAATCAAAGGATGTCCCTGTCAGAGATTATTTTTTTATTAATAATATTATCTAAGAAAGAAATGCTCCTTCGAGCTGCAAAACTCAGCTGTTCCAAGAGTAATTTACTAGTAAACATGTCCAATATTTGATTAATTATTATTTTAATAATTAATTGCAAAATAACGCGTTATAAAAAAAGAGTGGACGTTTATGCTTTATATTTTTAAATTTTCTTAAAGGTAGAATGATAATTAATTATTTATAGACTCAAAAACAGGTATATCATTTGGTCCTGAGGTAGATAATCTAGGTTAAACAAGACTTTCCTGATAAAATAATATATTTGGGGTCAACATGCAATAAATAAATAGGTATTTAATTTTTATTATTTCGATTTTTGCATTTACAAAAACTTTGCGCTTTCAAAACGAACTAGTTCAACTGTACCTTTCATTTTAAATTTCATAACCATTAGGCAAGTCACTACACGTTTTTTTTTATAAAATTACAAATACACTTATCTATTCGCTAACAGTCTTCAAAACCTGATCTTGTATGTCTTCACCTCCATCGGCTTTATTTTAATGTCGTACAGTCCAGTCAGAACCTTGTACTCCTTCAGACCGGTCAAGCTGACTAATGTCAAGTTGTTGATGGGTAGGCCGTTGATTCGTGCTTTGGGCGAGAAGACGCCGGACTTCTTGGTTCTCTCTCCGACGGTGCAGCTGGTGGCGGGCCGGTGAAGCACCATGTAGGCCTCCTTGCTAGGGAACTGTTCGAGAGCTTCATCCGTGATCGTCCGCAGCGTCAACAGATGCACTCCTGGAGGGAAAGCATCCACGAAACCTTGGTGCGACTTCACTTCCACTTCACCCGCCTCACTAGAATCGATCAGGTAAGTATTCATCGGGTAGTTCAACGTCCGGCTCAAATACTCCGCGGTCTGCGAGGGCAGTTCGTAGCGAGCGTCCTTCTGGTCCGGGCTGAAGTGACGCTGGTTGACATGCCCGAAGCCTTTCTCGCTGGTGTCGCGCTTCGTCCGAGTCTGATCATTCATCGGCTCAAGTAACAACCAGTTGTGGAAAACGGTCGGCTTGTTGTCCACTACCCCTTCGCCAATGCCACGGAAGTCGTCGTAGAGAGTGCGCCGGTCCAACATCACTTCCAACCTACCCGGCTCAAACGCCGCGGACCCTTGAGCGTGATTGGTTATCAGCGTCAAGCGAGTCTCCTCATCCTGCAACCAGGCCATAGTCGTGATCGGATAATAGTTGGCCTCAATCCCCAACTTCTCGATCTTCACCCGCTTCTGATACTGGAATCCGTTTTGGTCGGTATAGTACTCCGGAACATCACCGTTTTGGATGTCAGTTTGGATTCTCATGAACAATTCCGTCTCCCTGTTCTTAGGCGGGCTCTCGAAATCTACGATGTTCTCAATGAACACGCCCCGGGACAGCGAAGGTTCATCCACGTTGTAAATGCGCAGGGTGTGAACGAGGAACGGCAGGTACATAGTTGTAATTTCAGTTGAGATCGGTCCCGAAACGATGATGATGTTGTCGTCTTGCAAGCTGTTCATGTTGGAGTAAGGATTCAGGACGGTTTTTTCTGGTGAATCGTAGTCAGGCATAAACAGATAGGCGCCGGAGTGTCGCTGAGCGCTCTGGTACGCACCGAATTGCATTTCAACCACGTTACGTTTCCTCGCCTCCTTCCTGAATATTTGCCGTAAGAAGCCAGTGTTCCTGTTGATCAGAAGTGTCAAGTACGAGTTCTCCAGTTGGATGTCGCCAGGCATCATTTTCTTAGCGCTGAAGAGTTTCTCTGAGTCGGGTTTGTCGGGCTGGTTGCAGTTGTTGCAGAACACCTCACAGTGCTGCGATTTGTTGGCGTGCTCTTCCAGGTTGAAGGACACGGACATCAGGGGAGGGACGGTGGCCACGAACAAAATATCGAAGTTAGTCTCGCTGATCACTCTCT